GTTTCAGCATATTCTACGAAGTCTCTAATAAAAGATTTAAGGCTTAAATAAAATCGTTAAACCGTAACAGGAGTTGTCATGCTTTTGTCATACAATTTTAATGTGTAATAAGGTGTGTTTTTCTCTGACTTATGTTCCATCTCAATGTCAGTCAATTGAGCTCAGAGTCAGATAGTGAATAGCTCAGTTTACGTTTTTCAAGTTACCAGCATTTACAATTGCAACAAGAGAGCCTTGGCTGGCACTTACAGATACAATGTACCCTTAATAAGTACCCTTAGGCTATAATTTTTTTTATATAATTCTGCATATAATATTTTTATATAATATATAATTAAGCATCTGGCATTGAAGAACAATTAAGGTGCTATGGAGAGGGTAGATTCAGGTTGACCTACAAATGTACTGCGGAGCATTCCTTCCTAGAACTATCGCAGAGTGGAACTCACTGTCACCAAGTACAGTAGGGGCATTGTCAATAGATAGCTTTAAACAATGTCTAGAGCTAGAAGTTCAAGGGTTAGGTGTAACAAGTCGATCGGTGTAATATAGCCAGCTACCGCCGCGCCGCGTGCCTGCGAAGCTGGTGTGTTACGCCGAAAGGCGGTTATACAGGCTATACAGATACAGATACAGACAGATAATATATGAAAACAAAAAATGTCCTTGTCCAAATAAAGAGTAGCGCAGACTGGAATTCTATGGCTCCTACTTATGCCTCGTCATTCTACTCTACTATAGAAAGACATTACGATGACTTTGGTTTAAAAAAACATGAACAGGTACATGTACTGTTTCTATGATTATAAAAGCACTGTACAATGTAGGTGTTGATAACATCAACCAAATACAGATCCAAGAATTTAGTTCACACTTCTTGAATACAATCAACAGCAAATTTAAGCATCTTGCCCCAGTTACTGCAGATATTAACAGCACAAAAAGCTCTCCATCACTACTGACCACATATTATAATTTATCGATCGATTAATTTTAGGGAACTGCTATTTTCATCTGGAGTTTCCACGACTGATATTAAAGGGAAATAAACAAGCTTTTTAATGATACATGTATATGAAAAAAAGGGGTACAGAGATTCTTTTGTACTCTAGACCAAATTGATTTCTAGTATCAAAAAACGTTCCTTTATCTAGAACAACGTCCCTCTGACGAAGACATCAGATCTCCGACCTCTAGTTTCTTATGATAACAGTTTAATTTTACGTCATGCTAAGAGCTAATTTCTTGTCTTACCTCGAAAGAACGTAACGAGTGTTTTTCAGCACCACGCCGCAATTTGCAGTCGCCATTTTCGTCACCAGTCTCCAAACTCCGCCCGCGAGCGCCAGGAAAAATACGCATTTTCTCCCTTTAAACATCCAAGGAACGGCACACATCTAACATGGAAACGTCCAGACGATATACTGTATACTTTACACGGATAATTTGCGGGGGAAAAAAGCCGAAAATGTACCTCAAATGTTGGAGAGAATTCGCACACAAAACGCCGCGCCGCACACTTGGGAGACCCCAAGCCCAAGTGTCAAAGGTTATGGAACTTCAGCCGACGCACACAGGCGGGACAAGTATCCAAGCGCAAATTTACGCCGACTGAACACGCACCATAATTAAACTTTTACAGTCTCAAAACTGACGCATTCCTCTAAAATTTACCACAGGTGCCATCTCGAAGCCATTCACAGAACAGTCTCTGCACTTTTCTCTATTATTGTGCAGCACTACTTTGTGCCCGGACTACTTTTGAGGGGTTCGCCCATAAATACTGTGTTGTGCGGCCTTAGCGTGGAGCTGTCCTTGGTGCTGAACTCACCATCAATTCCATGTATTAAGTATTGGAGCATGTATTAAGTATTGCAGCTTGTTTGACACAACAGTACACCCATGGAAAAGCGAGGGATTGATGTATTTTAGTACATGTATATACAGTATATAGTACATTGAAGCCTGTATATCAACAAGATGTACATTTCATCAAGTTTTATACATGTTCTGAGGATTAACACAAAGGAACAACAGGGTTTACGGAAAACCAGGTACCGGCCAGGCCAGGCTACCACAGTATCAGGTATCATTTCTTGCTTAACAAGGTTATAATGTAAAATGCCAATACCAATGCAAGTCAGTCAACATTATAATTCTATATCGTATGCCTGTAATGTTTGTATGTAAATCATGAATTGGAAAAAAATGTGAAAATGTAGGAATGTTGTTATTTTTAGCCAGCCTTGTTTTTTTGCCCTATCGCATTAGATTTGAATTCTGCTGAGGATGCCATCCATGAAATTTACTTGCTATGGCCTAAGTGTAAAAAGAATAATGAAATCATTGTTATAACACTTTTCTTAAGAAATACAACATAATTAGTTTTTTGCTGCACCCAATTTTTTGTGTGCATCCGCTTTTTCAGGTTGGGTGCACCAGCGCACCTATTCCCAAAAATGAATTTCGAGCCCTGCTACCTGAGGAAATACAATCAACAGCAAAAACATCTCGCCCCAGTTACTGCAGATATCAACAGCACAAAAAGCTCTCCATCACTACTGACCACATATTATAATTTATCGATCAATTAATTTTAGGGAACAGCTATTTTTATCTGGAGTTTCCACGACTGATATTAAAGGGAAATAAACAAGTTTTTAAATGATATATACAAAGCAAGCCTTGCGCTACGTTCATGTCATAAGCGACTTATACTCGAGTATTTGGCGGATTCAATTATGCACACGTGCACATTCCAACGGGTGTTTTTGAACCACGTGGAGACAAACAAAAGACAGTTTTGCTAGAGTGTTCTTTCATTGCAATAGAAACTTAAAACGTATAGATGATAATAAAGACATACGCATTTGTTACTCAACAAGAACACAACACATGGAAAATGGGCAAAACGGGGAAAAATGACCGTTTCCAAACATGTCTTATATCAGGAATGGTCGCTCAGAATTTACAGAGCTTCTCTATTTCCTATAAAGCATACAACTTAACAACTTTTTCTGAGTTGCGAGGGAATAATTCAGCAAAATATTAATTGGTATTTATTTAATATTAAACGTACCTCCAAAGACAAGGGATGTCGTCTCCGAACCACGCCGCTCTTCCCATGCCAAACTGCACCTCGCCATTTTGGTTTCTTCTCCAAAATTGACGTCAATAAATCCGCATTTTCTCCTCCAAAACGGCATGAATTGACCATGAAAACTTTCAAACCTCCTGTTGCACTCTTTACAAAGGTATTCTACCAACAAAGACTCGCAAAAGTACCCGGAAAGTTACAAAAAATTATTCCAAAGCATCCCCGTCGGTTGAACGAACAGCCATCTTGAATGGACCATACCAAATGTGTTATGCACAGGTGTTCGAAACAGCCCTATCGAATTAATATGAAGCTGTTAATCTTATTACGAAGACAACTTCAATCTTAGAAAGACTTTTTATAGGGCTTAAAAATCCACTATGTCTGATATTGTAAGCCTCTGTATTAAACGAAACCTTTTTGGCCCATTTTCGTTCTCTAAACTCATTCATTTTCGTGGTAACATTTACTTCCGCGGCAGCAAAAAGACGGATTTTTTTGAGGTGTTTGAAGTTCGTGGTTAAAATATGTATTTCCTTTGTTCTGAAAACCATCCACAAACAGGTAGACACAGCTGTCTTAGCGCCGACACACACAGGACAACACACAATTCACACACAGAACAACACACCTATCCTATCGTTTGTGCTGAACACCATCCAATTTTAGTAAAGCACAATCATAAGCTAGCCACAAAATAAAATCTTCGTGGCCATTTGAGGCAAACTGGGTTAACTCAAAAGGACAAGAACGAGAACGAAGGAGTAACACATTATATTCAAAAGCCATTCTGTCTTTAAGGTACTAAACAAGAAAATGCCGCCTTACTTGTCTGAAATGTGTAAGTGGATGCCACCCCCAATGTTGAACAGACGGACGAGGTTAGCTGTAAACCAGTTAGCAAATTGGGACCCTCACATGCTGGTTGTTCCACCGGCAAACATTAACACATACAAAGGGAGCCTGCAGTACCAGGGTCCAGTGCTGTGGAACCAGCTCTCAATAGAACAGAGAAAGCTCCGAACTGTAACGGCCTTCAAAAACTCATTGTAATTATATTGTATTTGTACTGCTGTATGGCTATTATGTGCTATGTTATGTGCTATGTACTGTGTTGTTATCATTGTATTGTTTCTGCATTTTTATTGTACCCAGATCTACCTGAAAAACAGGTCAAATGACCTGAGTGTATCTTCTGGTTAAATAAATAAACTGAAACTGATTCTTTTTGGAAATGGACGAAAATTGATGCGCGAGCGGATGTCATATTTATGATTAAGTCAGTGTGGCCTTAACAGGTGGGATTTATCGATGACGGTAAGTCTGGTTATGCTTACTTAAATCTTGCTGTAGGGATCTTTAGTATCTGTCAGTTAATTAAGAGGATAACTCTTGTTAAGATGAGCAGATGTTCATGAGTTTAGTCGACTAGTATGACTTTTCTGGAAACGGCCGTGACCGGTACGGCAGATAATGCTCTAATTGGGTATAAATATAATTATATACTCCTGTTTTGTAAACTACGAAAATATTCCAAGCGCCACACAGCCCAGCTGTGACATAGGTCTCGGCGTCTTCACGTAACTTTATAATGTCCGGAAAGACTTTTCCGTCTACTAAACCAGTTTAAGGCCACAGCAAGAACATTTTATGGATGGCATCCTCATGTCTAACAACATAAACAAATCTGGAAATTTGAGACTCTTTTGTTGGCGAAATACGTTTTTGAAAAGGGCATTCTAAAATTAGGCGAGGTAGGAGATGTAATGCCAGAGGGGTTTATTTTTCGCTCTATTTTCAACACTGTGTTAATAATGTTTACAGTAAGGTTTGTTTAAAGTATAAGTTAAACTATATGCTTATGTGAGACAAGAAACATTTCAACACAGTAACATTTATGCTGCTCAACTTTATTTATTCATCTTTATTGTGCGTCTTCATAGTTGTGCGTGTTTCTGAGGTCTTCCACTTGAGACAACGGAAAACGTTGTCACTCACTCTTACTTTCTGACGTGTGTCACTACTAAGAACTAATGTCTACTTATTGTCATAAACGTTCATTTCTTTTTGTCCATGCGCTTTTTTAATGTTTTTTGTCCATGCTCGTCCTGTTACGGTTGCACGTTGCTTTCTCCTGTGGCAACAAAAAAAAAAATGAAAACAAGACTTAGTTTTTATCAACATAAACAAATTACCCCAAATATATTTCCGATTAAGTGATGGAAACGGTTGATATAATTTTTTTCATACATATCAAGTTAGTTATTTGCAGAATGTTAATGCTAAATTAAAGCTTATTGTAATCTTCTTACTTGCATTTTTCCATCTCTTTGATAACACATTATCGAATTTTGTTTGTGGTGTGTGTGTTTGAGGTTTCCGTAACTCCCATCATTTTAATAAAGGTACAAAATGGGTGGAAGAAGGTGTTAAAAAAGACGACACTGAAAATGATCCCTACCTTGACAGGTGAGACACTGGCACTCCGCAATGTTGGGGAGAATGGTGTCCTCAGTCTCCCCATTATCACACTGCATTGTCACGAATCTGGGAAAATAAAGAATAAAATATTAGAAGAAAATCAACATGTTTTTACCATGTATGTAACGTGGAAGTTGTTAACGAATCTACCTAGAAGATCTTGCATGATATAAAATAACTGTCAGGCGTGAGGGTATTAGGTGCTTGACAAATTAATGCAGACACAGCGTAACAATCTGGAAGGAGCAAGTTATCGTCGGCGTCTGTATTAATACGTACTTTGTCTTCATTCATATGGCTGTATCTGTACAGTTATTATTTAATACAAGAAGGCTACCGGTGTGGTAATGCACAACACAAATGCATCTAAATGATTCAAGAGTCTTTTTCTACATCTCCGTTGACGTATTTATAAAAAAAGGTACGAAATAACCTGATAGGCTGCATCTCATCCAGGATGTAGGTACAACACTCGCACACCGTCTCGAAGTAAGGATCAAAGGACAGCAGCTGGGTGTAGGAGTCGCACATTCCGGAGCAGAACTGGACCTGGGGGGGGTGCAAGTTCAAGTTGAATATAACGTCCAGGACGAAAGTATTGCATTGACTTCCTCCTCCCGAAAATAGTTTCATCGTGTTGGTAAAGTATAGGATACAAGGGCTTTCTTTTACACAACTAAAAGTTCCTACCTTGCTTATGTTTCGGTGTCTATCAGAGCGCCACCTACATCGGCTACATATAGCGGCGAGAAGCAGAACTCCAGTCAGAAGCTCTGAAGAAGGTGTCTAATAGACACCGAAACGTAAGCAAGGACTTTTGATTGTGTAAAAGAAAACCCTTATATCCTGACTTCCTCCTCGTTTTATGTCATTCCTCCATCTCAGCATCGTTTCTTTAACCAACGAATCAAAATGGTCTGGTGTAGTTCAGAAAAATTGGTGTCTTAAGATGGAGAAAATGCGTCGTAGACTGTCCTTATTTACCTCCACGTTCTCGGCCCGACAGGAGTCGGACGTGAGGTTTCTGATGTCCTGTTTCTTTTCGCACGGAGACACTTCTGCAGTAGTGGTGGGGAGGGGCGTGGTCGGCGCCGGGGTAGGAGTGGTCGGGGGAGGGGTCGTAGCTGTGACGGAAGAAAACAGAAGAAAATGCGTTAATGTCACATTCGACATGTGAGATTTGGTTATGCGATTTTCAGAGAAGATTTTAACAGAATCTGCTGTGCAACAACATTTTATGCCATATGAGACACAAGAAAACACACAAGCCCACCTGGACAAGTTTGCACATTGCAGGACTGCTCCTCCGTGCTGACCCCAGGGCAGGTGTCACAGCCCTGACACGGCGCGACATTCTCACACGCCCGGGTTCTAGTCTGGGTCCCTTCGCCGCACGACGCGCTGCAGCCGGACCACTCCGACCAGGCAGACCAGTAGGACAGCACTGATGTAAGAATAATAGATAGGAAAATTAGAGTAATTCTGTTGGTACATGTATACATCAGTATACATCATCATACTTCAATGGAATGGTGACACTTAAGTCCCTAATTAAGTGACCGTTAACAAATCAAGAATATTCTACTGCATGTACGTGGCAAGTACAGGTGGCGGCTTTAGTACCTCCTTTCGAAGTCATACAACTTGATGAAAGATTTTATGAAGCACTTACGACTACAGGAAGGCTCGACGTCGTAGCACACCACACTTCCATCCTCCATGCAGATACTGCGGGAAGAAAAGTAGAGACGAATTGATAACATTACGTATACAGTCAAGCTTTTCAACACATATAGATGTGAGTTCTTGTTTACATCAAAGGTGTTAAAAAAGACATGTCAAACTTTTGTAAGCATCGTTTTCAGTAGATAAACAAAAACAAACATAACTCACACAATTACAAACAAGTGAAGACACAAACCATTCGCGGCAGTCCACAACGACCGTTCCCCCCACGGGCACGACCTGTCCCAGCCAGTCGCAGACCGCGGGACAGTCGTCCGCAGAGCAGGGCTGAACCTCCTCGGACGTGGCGGGCTCGCACGGCTGGCCTCCGTTAGCAGCCGACGGGTTGTTGGGAGATCTGTGAAACAGCAGATTAAAAACTGTAATGTGGATGCATCGCCGATACAAACCCCATGGGCTATAACATTAAGGCCATTCCGTTACAGTACTACAAAATGTACATAATTATGTACATATTTAAAAACGATTTCACATGTAGAACACTAGAACTTCAGTTTTGGATAGCGTACAGAGCAACTTTTCTATTAAAGCAAAATCAAAATCAAGAGATGATATAACTGATCATGACAATTCTGAAAGTGTCCAGGGTGCCGCAATACAACATAACTCTAATAGGTTAACTGTTATCTATATCTGCTCTGTATCTTAATTACCATCTTAAGTTACACTAGGCGGGCAAGGCTTAAAACTGATTATTTTTAGCGTCACCTGTATCTGCTCTGGGTTCCGTTGCCGCAGGTGGCGCTACAGATTGACCAGGGTGACCAGGCGCTCCAGCCACAGTCCACCGGACACGGCTCGTCCCCACACTCAAACTGGCCCAGCGTGCACGTGCTGAAATATATAAGGAAGTGTTACAGAGAAGAACAAGAACATGTAGTATGTACAGCGGATACCTGTCAACTTTACCTCCAAAATTTGCGTGCTTCTCAACTTTAGTTTCATACGTGCAACGATTAGGACTAGGGACTATGACGTACATCACCCCATCCTAAGGGCTGAAATTTAGTTTAGAAATAGCTACACAAGGAGATTGTCACTCAAGCAACTGAATTTTGAAAAGCTGCGTAACACTTGAGTCTTAAGCTTGACGTGTGTACCTCATAGCCATTTTTCATTAAATAATATAAAATAATTATTACAGACGCTATAAACGGTCAGTTCTCACCAGTTGTTACAGCCAACCCGTATCACCTCTCCTTCCTCGTATATGGTGTCGTTGCCGGGGACGACACAGTAACAGTCGTCCTCCGTGACGCACTGCTGCAGGTCGGCTCGCCAGACGTACCCGTCTGGACACACGCACCCGGGCTGGCAGTCATCCTCGTCCTCTATACACGTAGCACCCAGCTGGACATCGGAGCATCTGTGGGGAAAGGACGCGTTTATTTATTGCCATCGGGGAAGGAGACATCGATCCGTCCAAGGAAGGGTTCTGTTCTTGGTCAATGTTTGTGTGTTCGCAGGTGTAATTCACGGTGGGCATTACTAGAGAATTCTTAGTAAGTTTTATGTATTTTTCTGTCCATTTTTATTGTTTACAATAATTTTCTCACTTCCAATGTACTTGCCACTAGCCCTCGGGAATAAATTTGCCATGATGATTGATTTATCAAATTCACAACAAATGTTCACGACAAAAGTTCTATGTTCACTTAACGTTACCTTTGTCCACATCGGTTCGCACATTCTGAGTAGATCATGTCAGGAGGACAGCAGTCAGTCAGGTTGGAACTCGGGGCGTTGGGAAGTGTGTAGTTCACAGTAACATTCACACATTCTGTGAGAAACAACAACAGTACCATGAAATACAGAGGCGCCTTTATGCAAAGCAATTTACATTTCGAGGTAAGCACAGCACTGTGCACTTCAGCATAACGACTACTAATCATTGTGGCCATTTTTCAATGAAACAGGTCCTTACCACACGGCAGAGAAGAGCAGATCTTCACTTCCACACTGTCTCCCGGGCAGGTCGGCCCGTCGTTCTTAGGCGGCGGGTTGTCACACGAGCGGTTACGGTAGGCGTAGCCCTCCACGCCACAGGTGGAGCTGCAGTCCGACCATGGGCCCCACGGGCTCCACTCCCCAACAACTACAGGAGCAAGGTTAAATCGGTCATAATCTAACCTCCCATGTCAGATTTGGTATTGTTGTGGTCTGTAATATGTTGTTTGTGTTCTGCCTTTTCTAGCATTTCTTTTCAGGTTTTTCAAACTATCCAACCCTGGTCACTTTTTCATGGATTTTGTCGCTGTTGCCCTTTGTATAAAAAAGACAAAATCGTTAATATAAACAATAATACTACGATCTCGGTCTATTACATCTGTTAATTTTTCATCTCATTTACATGGCCATGATACTGACCCTTAACTGTCAACCTTTCACCCTTGCCTATCCACTTCTGACCCTTACCTGAGCAGGCATGGGTGTTGCAGATCTGAATGTCGTTGTTCTCTGTCATGGCGGCGCAGCTCGCTAGTCCGCTGGACGTGGTCGGCTGTGTGTAGGTCCTGGTTCGGGTTGTCATGCCGACGCCGCAGGACTGGGAACACTCCACCCACGACTCCCAGGCGTTCCACGAGCAGTCCTGGTCGCAGATGTCGTTCGTGCACTCAAAGCGGCCATTCACACAGGTACTAGGGTAGAGAAAAGTCAGATTTAGATTAAGAAACGTTAACAATAGAACTCAAACTTTTGACGAAATTTTTGAACACAACAGACTTATTCGCTACTTTGGGGAGCTTTCGATACGCAGTCTTTCTCTTAGAAAGAGAAATTAAGTCTCAAAATCTCAAACTTTTCAGAAACAGGGTTCCTTACCAGTTATTGCAGTCCACATTTAACACAGTCCCGGCTACATGCTGTTGTAGTTCATCAGCTGGGAGAGAAAAAAAGATTGAGAGAAAAAGATTTAGATGTATGCTTATTTAATTGTTGAAGACAGCTGCCAGTACCAACTACATGATGTTAACTCCATAAATACTCTCTTAAGTACAAAATTTCGAGTCTCTCACATTCAAACGGATTGACGAAGATGCAGGGGCATTCGGCCATCTCCACACACTCGCCTGCCTCGTTAAACACCAGTCCTTCGGGACAGCTGCAACCCGGAATGCAACCTGAAACAGTTAACAACGGCACAGCCTGGTTTAACAGTCATTTGGGAAAGCTACAACCATGAAAGCGAACTACAACATCAACTACAAAACAGCAGCAACAGCAAAACAGCCTTGTACACAGCTGTACAAAACTAGGGCTTTTGTACAGGAACAAGTACCGGAACAAGTCAAAGTAAGTCAAGGAAGCAACCCGGAACGCAAACTAGAGCAACGGTGGTGCAGCTTCATCAGATACCTGAGAGGAGCTGCAACAAAGAACACTATCTAAAACAACACGACTACTGCCACAATCCTTCAATAAGATTATACCAGGCAAATGTACCACTATCATGTAGAAACCAACTGAAGTCAATATGGATATGAATCAAATGTACATATAATATTAGCACAGGTTATAAAAGTTTTCCCTACCTCCGTCTGTACAGATGACTCCCTCCTGAATGTCCAGGCAGGTTCTGGGGCAGGGCAGACAGCCGTGGTACACAGTACCGTCTGGACACTCTGATGCGGGAACGGTAAAGGATAAAGAGTAAATATGACAAGGACTGGACTCTGCACGTTAACAGTAACAGATAAAACATATCGTGAATTGCAAAGAGTGTCGGCAATAAACCTGTAAATTGTATAATTGCAGTATGTCAGCTGATGTGTTCCACCAAAGTGTGGGTTTTACCAGATGGGCCAATGCACATTCAGAAGTTGTACAGTAAAAAAACGACACCGTAAACAAAATATGTGCATTCTGCAACACTATACAAATGATGGTTCTGTCCTTGGTGCTGATTGTGTAGTCTGTAGAACACTATATTGCCGTGGGAGAATGAATCTGTATAGTGCAATGGTAAAACAAAAGAAGGAGACCTACCCTCACACTCTGCAGGTGCCATGCAGACCTGCGTCTCCAGGGCCGGCCCCACACAGCCCAGCTCTGGGATCTGGGGCGGCGGATCGCTGCACGTCCTGGTCCGGATCATGGATCCAGCTCCACAGATCGCGCTGCAGTTCGACCACGGGCTCCAGGGGGACCAGTTACCCTCAACTGTCAAATACGTTAATGGTAGCGAATGCGTTAGGTACAGTCTGGCTGTAATCATTTATTCAGATCGCGCTGCATGCAATTTGACTAAGGACGCCAGGGAAGCCTAGTTTCGTCCGTCATGAGGTGAACACTACTACATCTCATTCATTCATTCATTCATTCATTCATATATTCATTCATTCACTCACTCACGCACGCACGCACGCACGCTGCCAAGTTCAAGAAAGACGCTGACTCAACCGAGGTGTTCACATGCTGGGATAGTTTAATGCCGCGACTTTCTCCACATCCTTGACAGAACAAAGCAGAAAGGGACTAACAGAATATTGCAAGTTACATTAAATCCTCAATTCCCTGTTCAGATGTTACACTTGATATCATTGATGACGTTCACAATATCTGGGATATATGTTACACGTGCCTTGCAGGTTGTGTACAACAGAATCACAAAGTTTCCGATCGTTAGAATATAGCAATGTTAAACATTGGCAAATAACTAATGTCTTAAATTGAGCCAGAGCAAAGTTTGTAAAGTTGTCTTAGAAATGATTTCAAGGAATGCTTTAACAGAGAAGGTCCCAGCTAAGGAAAAGTTGGACTATCGTAAGATAGTTGCAATATCGTTGTCATGTTCTCCGGTCCGGTTGATCGATTCTTGTCTGTTCTTGTTTATTTAAGATGAGGGTAGTTCGTCAGGATTGCCCCCTGTAAAAATAATGGAACTGTCCGTTAAATTGGGTGGTGCCGTATCGGTTATTAGATCAGTGTACAACAAATATCATTAGTGGTTTCTCTTCATCATGTTGAGATGGTACATAATTATGGCCTATGGACTTTATTTATTAATTGACTTTAGGAAATTTGAATTATAACTGTTAACATTAAAATAGAAGCACAACAATAGCGAGGAAAGAATATCATTTCAAACAGGTTCCTTTCTTAGAGAAGTGGTTGAATGAGTCAATTGTTAGTTTAATGGTTTCATAACAACAAAGTCGTTTACCCTGGTGTGAAATCTTAGTATGAAATTACTTAAACAAACAAACAACAATGAAATGTTCACCTCCGCACTCCAGGCACTCGCAGCGGTCAATGACCGGCAGCACGATGTCGTCGGTCTCGCCGTTCGGGCACGTGAGGCTCACGAACTTGACCGGCTGGCTCTCGTTTAGGATGAAGGTGCAGCATTTACAGACGGTGTCGAAGAACGGCGCGTACAGGTGGTTCTCGATGTACGTGTCGTTCACCGGCGCGAAGGAATTGATTCGGGTGTAGGAGTCGCACTTTCCTGAACAGTACATCACTTCCACATCCTGGGCCACGCACTCGCCCTTCGTAAGGTCTCTCACGTCGGTCTGGACGCTACAGACACCTGGAAGACACAAGTTGGGGATGTAACTTGACAGAAAGTCTATCGTACAAAAGCGTCTTGTTAAATCAGTATCAATCACATTTAATGGATACTTAATGTTACAGTTACTGTAACAGTTCAAAACTGTTGTCTGCAAAGCTTCAAGGCTGTAACGTTATATATGTATAAAGTAACATACTTGGACAGTCCATGAGGTGACATGGCTGTGTCTCCGTTGGCGGGTCTCCCATGCAGGCGTCGCAGCACTCGGTCTCCGTAGCGTTACAGATCTTGGAGCGGGTCTGGGTGCCATTTCCGCACGACACGTCACACGCAGACCAGCTGCCCCAGTCTGTCCAGGCAGCGACTGGGCATTGTGTGTCCTGGCAGGTGAAGCCACCCTCCTCACATGTACTGTAGGAATAGAAACACAGTTAGTATGTAGTGGCAACTATTTAAGCATTGTGAGACAAGTCAGGCTAAAGCAAATTACATCAAGCACATAAATCATACAAATACAGCAGAGTGCTTAAGGTTTACTGGTTCTTCACTTGAATACTACCGGCCAATGAAGATCTGCACATCTTCTACTATTGTTTTCTCCACTTTCTGTACTAAATGTTACTTGGATTCAACCTTTTTCCTAATTTCCGTTCATCTCTCTTTCTTTTCCTTCTCTGATATCTTTTAGATAAACAGAGACAGGGCTGCAGGAATCAAAATCACGTACCATTCCCTGCAGTTGGATATCTCCACCACAGCGCCCACAGGATACTCCTGGCCGTTGTACAGACACGGGGTCTCACAAGGATCATTTGTACACTCAGTAGTCTCCTGGCCCTCTCCCTCACACTCCGCTCCACCGTTACTGGCTGGAGGGTTGTTGGGGGACCTGAAAACGAATTCGAGTTGAGATACATTTAGATGAAAAATGTCTTATAATAAACACCGGTCAGTTACATTCCCGAATATTCAAGTTTTTTTCACATTTTACACAGTCACACATAGTATTTATAACTTATTACTGTGTACGCAAACATATAAGTCTTACCGGTATCGTGTGGTGGTTCCATTGCCACAGGTGACACTACACGTCAACCAAGGCTGCCAGTTACTCCACTCACAGTCAACTAGAGACAGGGGATGAAACGATGTCAGTGGGGACAAAGGGGACTGATTTAACGCAGCAAAACATGCTGTACAGACTGTAGATATGCATATTGTATACACAGATGTCTATATATATAATTGCAAAATCAAAATCATCTAAATCATCAAGAGTAAACGTAATGGAGGGAGTAGTGTATTACTCACACCAAAGTACAAAATTTGTTTAAAAAACAGTGACCATATTTTACCTGGGCAGTCCTCATCTGTACAGCTTAGCTCTCCATTCACACATAAGCTGGTGGAGAAAAACACAGAAATGTTTAATGAAGGTTGAATTCGAACTGAAGATGCAGTGTACCTAAGTTGGTTTTGCTTGCTTCTTTACTTACAAAACGCAGAAAATTGATACTTTATTATTTCATATTATGCTGTAGATAATGCACGGCTATATCAAGAATGACCTCAGAGTGCGGGCGATCAGACAACGTCTGTGACCGGGCCCTTACCATTCCTTGCACTCCTGATAGATGATATCGCCTGGTTGGTATTCAATTCCGTCGATGATACATGGACATTGCGACACGGGCACGCAGTCTCCATTCAGGGACATCGTATTGTTGGGGCAAACGCAACCTGTAACATATAGTTAGGCTTATGTTTTGTGTAGTATATTAAGGGTTAAGTCACATTTGCTTCTAGTTATATTGTGTAATATAATATAAGATGCATTGTTATTGCTTATAGTCAATACTACATTAGTCACTGACGAATAGTAGCTAGTGGATACTATTTGAGACAGTTTTCAGAATCAATCCTGCTTGAGTCACTATTTCGTACATCACTGACGAAAGGTAGTGGATGCTACCTGAACCATCTGGCAGTACAAAATCGTCCAGTTGCTGGCTTGTGAATGGCAAGTTCTTGACAGGTGTAAGTCATTACTACAGTGTTGATGTTTATTTACTACAGTAACTGTCAGACTGTACATTGTACCTGACACACACTCCTCCTCGTTTACACAGTTGCCTGTAGTCTCCCCACACTGGTGACCGCACTGGTTAGCACAGCCAGACAGAACCGTGGGGTACGGACAGGTCTCATCTGGAACCATGCAGAAACATGGGGGATAGTTAGGAAAAACAAATCTGATTCAATGTTAGAACTTGTTAAATAGGACACGAAGGAAAATAGTCTAATTGATTAATAGTAAAAAACACCCGGTCAAGACAAAAAGGCAATTTTGATGGGGAAAACTGAAAAATTTACAATCATAAAGTAAAATCTTCACTAGTTCCCTTCATAGTATTACGTTCATGTATTTTTCCCTAGTAAAGTGGAATGAGCAATACTAGGACTTGTAATATTCCACCCTAAAATCTTTCCCCTTTCCAGTTGTATGCATACATGGTACACGGCAACATAAGGTGTGATCATAAGTTTTTGGTAGGTGAGTTGAGAGACAACAACGGGAATTCAAACTCTAGACTCCTAGCCCAACAGTATGGCCCTTTACAGCTTTTATGAAATATGTAACGTCTACGTACTGCACATTTGAGCATTGCAAGGCATAGTTTCCACCCCTCCATTAGCTGGGCAGTCCGTGCCGTTGTTCTTGGGTGGTGGGTTGGTGCAGTTCCTGTACCGGTACTGAATACCTCCGTCACATGGCACATCACAGGGAGTCCACTCACCCCAAGGACTCCAGTTGCCATCAGCTGTAAGCACAACAGACTATTTAGCATATGCATAAACGGATGGTAGGCATCCGTGTAAATGATAATTATAGACAGTGCAAATTCTACTACTTGATTGAGTACGAAGATTACTTCTGGACGTTTCGCTTGGCATCTGTCTGAAATATAATTTTTTGCCCACTGGGCCATACTTACTTGGACAAGAGTCAGTGTTGCAGTGTTCTGTCTCTGTGGTTTCCGTCATGTCAACGCAGAGACCGTTCCCGACCGGCGCGGTGTAGGTGCGCTGGCGTGTGCGGATGCCACCGCCGCAGGTCTCTGTGCACGGTGACCACGTCTGCCAGGAGTTCCACTGGCAGTCCTGGTCGCAGGTCTCCGTAGTACAGGTGTACTGGCCTTCTGCACATGTGCTGCAAATAGACACAAGAACATAAAAATCTTCCTTGAACAAATTCAGTTTTCCTTAAAGCTTAATTTCACCAATTGTTCACAGAAACCTTACAAAAGTTAAAGTTATTAATTTTACTGTTTCTGTAAAGAAAAAACGCTCATAATAAGACTCACCAGTTGTTACAGTCCACAGTTGTGCTATACCCTTCTGGGTAGCTCACAAATCCATCAGCATCTGCATCTGTTTGAACAGATATAGCAAAGGATGCTCAATCATACAAATTATACATGAATATATAATTCAGAAAGGTAATTGCTGATATTACCGGTATCAGATGCTGATTCATTTTAGCATTAACATCTCAATGTATAAAATTTTAACATGAATTTCCAGCCCTCAGAAAGTACGAGTCTTACCAGGATTTGTTGGATCGTGGACTATGCAGGGACACTCGTTATACTCAATGCAGGTTTGGTTCAGCAGCACCATTCCTGGTGGGCAACCACAGCCCGGTGTGCAACCTGCCGGAACAGAGATGCAATTACCTGCATGTAAGTCATGCTAAAGTAATCTCATGCATAACATGCTCCTGATACTTTGTACTGATGTGAAAGCTCGCCAAAAGTTACGTCTCTTAACATACGTCCCTTGCATCTTTTATAGCATACAATATATGCCCATGTTTCTTTAGTTTACAATGATAATGATCTATTATGAGCCATCAATTGTAGGTGTAAGTAAGGCTTAAAACATGACAGCAAAAGCACAAATATTTCACATGACTGTACATCTTTACATCTGTACATCTGTACATCTTCATCTTTCTTTTTGAAGCCTATAAGCTACATGACACTCACCAATGTTGCTACAGTGCGCTCCGCTCTGGATCTCCAGACATGTCCTGGGACAGTCCAGACAGCTGTAGTACTGCTGGTTCTCTGGGCACTCTAAAACGTGCAAGTGAAGAGGGTTATTTTCAGAAAAATCTATGATGTAAAATGTAACATCAAACATGGCGGAACAAGGATGTAACCAGATGTGTTTCATTTTCAGTCCTCACTTCATAATCTTCAACATTTTGGTGGCTTCCTTGAACAATATGTAAAATAAACCAGGAGAAAAATTTCATCACATTTCACTGTATTTTTGTAAACATGCTGTATTGCCGTTTTTTGTCTAACCCACGAACTCTACAAAATCTCGTAATGAGATATTAGATACACAAAAAACAGTGAAATTAAAAAAGAAATCTATAAACCTGCTGTGGAGCTTACAGCCTCAAACAATGCACTTCTCTAGACCAAAGGTCTACCAAAACTGGACTGCTAATGAACTAAGCCTACCATAGCAATCATCAGGTGCATTGCAGATCATGGTTTCCACTGTGGGCCCTTCGCAGTCCAGTTCCATGGTGTCCGGCGGGGGGTTACTACAGGTCCTTGTCCTCACGATGGTCCCTGCCCCACAGGTCACACTGCAGGGGGTCCACAGGGTCCATGGGGTCCAACCTCCGGGTGCTAGGGATACCCAAAAACAGTCATTATAACGACTGATGCCAAACTACAATTAAGGCACTGCACTTCTGTATCAAACTACTTTATTCTTTAATTTTGTTTTTTGAGATAATTGTAAAGCCTCATATACATAGTTTAGTTATCATTGAGTGACAATGCAATGTCAGTTGAAACAGATTGTTTTGGTTCATAAATGGAGGTTTAAAACTCAGATCTCCTTGATTCATATTTTGCCATTTCAATTTCTATAAAATTATTTACCTTTTTTTATGGATATTTTGTGATTTTCAAATGACTACTGTAACAGTACCATAACTTGCATAATTACAACAGAAACGACTATGAAGAGGTTTTCCACCGGATTTGCTAGCAGCTCTAGTAGCTCTAAGCTCTAGTGTCACATAGAAAAATGATGTGTAGAAAAATACACAGCGGCTCTTACCAGCAATGCAGAATTGCGGAAGGCGTCAAGAAAAAGTTCATTCCTTGCCCAATGCTTATGTTGATAACTTCCAAAAGGTGATCGAAAAGATGCTGAAAATGCGGAACAAAGTCCCGACCATTCCCTAAAAACCCTGTGCTCTGATTTTGTAGTTTATTTCTCGAAACTTTTTTGTGTCCTTTTTAGGGTTCATATTCCCTGTGATCAACTACACATTGGGCATGAATGTGTGGAAAAATGGCTTTGCGGCAGCTATTTAAAAATATGTGGCAGAGCATCAGGGTGGAATCTAGGAATGGCAGGGTAGCGGGCAGCTCTTCTATACGAGTTGTTAATGCGCAGAGTGCAGACGACCATGCGAGCGATACTGGGGTAGCGTTGCAGGGGGTGTAGGGAATGGGTCGAGGGATGCAGCGCACATTAATGCATAAAGGTCCTGTTTATTCCTTCTAATAGAAAAACGGAACCTTTACGCATGTTTAAGGCATTGTCAAAGAAAGATCAGAATCTGTGCAGAGTTTAGAATCACTTTCCCATACAATCACTAATGTAAGGCCACAGCAATTTGATCGGTTGGTTATTAAATCTAAAACAAAGCAAGATTTTGAATACCAACATGAAAACAGAGTTCTGACTGGATAGCCAGTGTTCTCACTTTCAGTGAGTGAATAAATTTCCTGTGAGCTTTTGCCCCAGCCGTTTGTTGTATAGACTAGATTTAAACATAACATCTCTGAGAAGTTTTGAAAACCAAGAGGAAAATTGGTATGACCTTATATCCATAGGCACATATTACATGTAGAACATAATTAAATTTTTCATGCATTAAATAAGTGAAGAGTACAAGAACTGGATACTTACTGTTACATATTGGCACATTGCAGGTGGTCTGTTCGTAGTTTGAACCTTCACAGTCCTCATCTGGGTTCTGAAACGTAAGTAGTGTTTAATTCTTGATAATTATTGTAGGTCTTTAGTTGAATTACTGGTAAGTGAAACTCAACCTCCGGCTAATCACTTTAGAACTCAAACAAAGTAACATAACATATATATATCAAGTAAGTGCTGCACAATCGGTACTTAAAGTCCATACCTGTGGAGGCGGATTGTCACAGGTCCTGACACGCTCTCGCACGCTGTCTGTTCCGTTAACCTCGATACATGTCTTCGAACAAGGCGTCCATGGGGTCCAAGAAGACCATCCGGGTGGTACTGTAGACAAAGTAGAGAATGGAATTGTAAAAAAGAGTGACTGTGTTATGGTCTCTTTATCCTTTTGATTATTTTATATAAGTTTCATTATGACTTTTGAACACACTTCTTTTAAATTATAGTCATATTGCTGTCATGCAGTCACTGTACAGAGCAATGTTTAATATGTGAGTTGAGCTGTAGATTTCCATTTATTTACATCATTCCGTTTACAACATGAGTTTTATAATAAATTCACCAATGTGGTAATATCTTGACGAATTGACTAGTTTGTTTGGCATAGTTTGTATGTATATCATTTTTAAGGCCGGGATGCCTACTTATAATTTCTATCACCATTCCTTACCATAGCAGCTTTCATCTGTTGTGCAGTTCAGTCTACCCTGGTAGCAGATACTGTGAAAGAAAAAAAATTGTTCCATTACATACATGGTGACATACTAATGCTGAGGTCACAATTCCCACACGGGGCCTGGCTGGGCAGCTTTTGGGAACGAAATATACGACATAAAAGACAACAAAGCACAGAGAACTTGTTGATGACAATCATGGGCACTATTACTGTACATTCTTGATATGAATTGTTATTTTTGGTTCATACAAACAGCCCGACCGGGGTTTGGAAATGTATAAGATAAGCATAAGATGGACTGAAACATGAATGTTTTGTGGATGGATTCATTTACATGTATGTGACTTCAGAATATTGACAGATAGTCTAGGATTAAACTCTGAGCTGTAGATTCTTATCTGGTGCCTTACCAGACGGAGCAGTTTCCGATGATGACGTCCAGAGCGTCCATGATGTAGTTGCCGTTGCCAGCCTGTGTCAGGTTCTGGAACTGGTCAGGTGACAGGTTGCTGTCCGAGATCATCAGTGCCGTGATCTCACATCGACATTCGTCCGGAGGCACGCACGTACCGTTCTGCTCGTAGGTTCCTGAACAACAACATGTTTGTTTGTTATGCAAGACATACATGTAAGTAAACAAATAAACAAGTTTGAAATCATTAGCGCTGTGATCTCACATCAACACTGGTTAGGATGTATACAAACAGGTCGTAGGCACCTTAACAACAACATGCTTTTTTTCTGTGAACTTCACAAACAGGGACTGAGGTGAATACTGCAAAACATAATTTTTCGTCTTCTGGGGGCAAAACCAACGTTACAAGCTAAGCTATTTTAGTTAGAAATATTAAAAAACCTCCCAGCATCTCGACGTGATCTGTTATGAATGTTACAATTTCTTTGTTCACTACAGTTACTTTCCAACATTCCAATACACCTAAGGGAAGAAGAAAGAAGTGAGTTCTAAATGTACTGACCAGGTGGGCACTGGCATCCAGGTGGACATGGGTCAGGTACAGTACATGTGGATGTTCCGCCAAATTCTGCACAGGTGTTGGGACAGGTGCATTCTGTGGTGTACACCTTTCCATCCACACACTCCTCCTCTGTACAGCAAAGAAATTAAGGCAATCAGAAATGGCAGATCTATAATGAAAATAGTCAGTAACATTGAGGAGGCTGGCAATGTGTACATTAAGGTGTACATATTGTACCAAATCATGCCCAAAATTGTAAGGAACGTACCACAGGGTTCGCGGTTGCAGGCTTCTGTCTCAGTATCGTTGTTCGGGTATCCAGGGCAGGTGTCGCACGGCGTGGCCGTTATGACCTCCACGCACTCGCGTGTTCTCTGTACAGTGCCGGCGTCACAGGTGACCGGGCAGTCGGACCACTCAGACCACTGTGTGTACTCACACTCTTGACCTGAAATAGGATAGTATGACGTAAGTTATGACCAGTATTATAACGCCATAATTATGGTCTATGTTTTGTTTCATACCATGATTACACAGTACACATTCTGTGCGACCTCAAAACCACATCCTAACACCTGGGGCATACGGGTAACAACCTTGTCAATCAACAGAAACCCAACCTCCATCCACTCATTTCCAATCCTCGCTGCTGCAGACAAAAATACATACGGACCAACCTAAACCAGTGCCAGTCAATACGATACTACCATCATGATGATCTTGAAAGCAATTCCACTACTTACTGGCCTGAAAGTATCAAACGTCTACTGACCACAAGGATCTCCCCAGCAGTTCTTGGTGTCTGTGTCGTCTCCTGTACACGGGTTCCCTCCGCAAGCCGGCGTGGGGTTTGTGCAGGTCCGGGTTCGCTCACTGGTGCCCATCTGGTCACATGGAGCCGTGCATGCCGTCCACTGAGTCCATTCTGTCCAACCACCGTCAACTACAAACATCACAGGAAATAACATCGAAACAATGTGTAGAGTCAAATATTACAATAACGAAAGCACTTGAAGTACTTAGATTCAAACTATTGGCTGTAAAAGTATATTACTGTAGAGTTACTGTTAATAATAGTAACGCTAAATGCCATCAAGGACTTTATACTGTATAATGTCCTTGATGCCATGAGAGAAACAAAGAAGTCTTTGCAGTATAAAGAAGACTTTCAGCCATAATCATTATGGTCTTGTACTTTTGGAAAGGGACTCCTCAAAACTGTAATTTGCCTTGTTACATCAGATTCTGTATTTTGCCTTAATGCATGTTGTACCTGGTGTTCCAGTATCTGCACAGCTTGTCACACCGTGTACACAGGTACAGGTCTCACATTCACTGATGCGAACCTCCACTCCTGGCTCGATGGTGTCACCATCATATACGGGAGTGCCGTCATTAAGGTTCCCAACAAGCTGTCCAGTTGTGTACTCCAGGACGTCCAGGATACAAGGACATTCCTGGAAGAGACATTATACATTTGTCTCATGTTGTAAGGAGAGTACACTATACTCCCTTGACAAATGTTCTGTATGTTGTCCATTTTGCATTCCACATCAGATTAACAAATCAAGGGAAAAAAACTTAAAAACAAACTTTGATCAGTTTCTGTCAGCTCAAACGAATATGAAAACAAGACTTCTGAAATTGCAACAAAAACAGAGTTAGCATTAGATTGCTACATTTTTGTATGCCTCAGCATTTAGAAAAGTTTAGAAAAGAGCTGTGAATAAACTTGCAATCGTGATGTCACCACATACATGTAACACTTTTAATCTTAGCAGATACTGGCTAACAAACATTGCAATGATATGCCATTACAAATGTAAAACATTTGTAGGTGTTGATTTAACATTTACCTCTACACAGTCACCATCGTCCTCGAACGTGCCATTAGCACAGAAGCAGCCGGTCTCACACTCGGGCTCGATGCACTCCTGTTCCCCTCGCAGCTGGGCACAGGTGCGTGGACAGGTGCTGTTACATGGCATCTCCACCCTTGGGTAAGGGCATCCCTCTGTACAAGAAAACAAAGTCCAACAAAAATGCCTTAAGACGTCAAAAATAAACTGAGGCTTAAACTTAATGCTCGGAGAGTTGGTAGTTAAGTGTAACAGTAGACCTTTAACACCACATTCTTGGGCATCAGTGACCTCTAACTGCTGTTGGAAGTTAATGCTATGCAGTTGCGAAATTAAGCGGGGTTACCTGGACACGGTTGTTCGTTGCATGGCTCGGTCTCCTCTCCAGTCCCGCTGCAGGTCTCAGCCTCGCAGCTAGGGGGCGGGTTGGTGCAGGACTTGGTCCTTGTCCTCTCACCACCATTGCATGTGGCAGAACAAGCAGACCACTGGGTCCAGGAGGACCAGCCTGGGGTGACTGGAAGCAAAAGAGTGGTGTCAGCAAAGATATCATTTAGCTTCATAACCAGATTCATACAAACTCCCCAGAAAAGAATGCCAGAACAATACATCTACTTCCCAGAAGTAACAAACACATTCGTTAGTAAAGGTGAACTAATGAAGATTTCCACACTTACCCACATCTCCAGCTGTGCAGTTCCAGCGCCCACCAAAGCAATTACTGTACAGAAATCAGAAAAAAACAAAATGAGACACATCCAAAAAAAAATTGTGTTGGGAAAATGCACTTATCTGGATGTTAGTGAATTGTGTAAAGTTAGATTTCCTACCAATATTTGCAGCCGAACTGCAGGACAGTGTTGGCGTCGTACGTCTCTCCGTTGGCAGGGAGTCCGTCACTGTCAGTAGGGAGGCTCCAGCGACATGGACAGGCTGTAACACAATCATGTCGAACAACGATATTATCCAACGTAACGGACGGGAAAACAGATTGTGAGTTCTTACGACTGCATGCGCTGCATTATACCATGATGCTACCTTCTGCAAACAAGCTAAGCTTAAGCTCAATTTTTCAGATAGAATGACCACTATTTCTGACAGGTGCACTTAGGGACTTCTACGACTACAATTAGAGAGTGTATGGTGTTCCATCTAAATTTACCTCTTTGACCAGAAGATCTCTTATCGATCTGATCCTACCTTCTGCTAGCACACAGATGCCCTCGTCGTTCTCGTACATGCCGGGTGGACAGGAGCAGCCGGGGATGCAGCAGCCGGTGTGGATGCACACATCAGGCTCCAGCTCGTAACATGTCCTGGGACACTCCTGGGGGCAGGCATAGTACTGCTTCCCTCCTGTACAGTTGTTAGCTGAGAAGAGATGGAAGAGATAGATTACCAGGTACATGTATGCTAGGAAGAGAAAAAAGAGACTGTTTACTCCTGTGAATGTGTAAGGCAACAAGATTTATTGTGGTTTAAGGTTTACCTGCACACACTGTCTCCATACAGTCCACCTGTTCGAAAAGCGACTCAGAGCACTGGTCGCCACCGTTAGCGGGGGCGGGGTTGTTGCACTGTCGGGACCGCGTCTTGGTTCCAATCCCGCAGGTCGCAGAGCAAGCCGACCAGAACGACCAAGGGCCAGGGTTACCATGCACTGTTGGAACAAGTTAGAAAGCATAAACAGAAGCATTGGTCACTTGATTTTGGAGGAGCCATATGGAATTCAATTTTTAGGTCTTTGAAGACCAAGATCACTGAGCCATGACAATGGAAAGAAAGTATTTACTAAATAAAACTTTCAAGTGTCACTGACCTGGGCAAGGGTTCTCGTTGCAGCTGAGTTCCTCCACTGCCAGCCCAGCACAGGCCTGGCCGCCATTTGCGGGCGGCGGATCATCACAGCTCCTGTGTCGGTACTGAACACCGGAACCACAGTCCACGGTACAGTTGGTCCACGGTGACCAGGGACTCCAGTTTCCGTCAACTGAAGAGGGTAATAGAGAGGTAATAATATTGTAAGGTCTGCTGGTGCCAAAAACATTACGTTATCATGCATTGTAGCATAAAGTAGAGGTAGTAGTAGTAGGTGAATATTCCATCTAACTTGTGTTTACAAGTACATGTAAAAGGGCTTACAGGGTAGAAGGGTTCTGCAATGATTTTAACCTACAAGACTAAGTAGTACAGTCAAACCAATGAAATGCACCACAAACATTCCTTGTCTGCCCCTGATGCCTACGAAATTACAGACAAGAAAATAGGGAATTTTCTTTACATACATACCTGTACATAGGAAGTCTGTACAGGTCAGCTGTCCCATCAAGCAGGTACTGCAAACATGAACAGAAAAGTTAGAGTCAAAGAAAATTCTGATTCAAAGCCCTTGCATTATGTCCATTCCTACTTTAACTCTAGCCACAAGAAGAAGCCCGCACATACATTTAATATCTTTGATTTTTTTTTGCTTTAATTTAATTATTGTTTCCCAGACTATAATGACATAACAAAATAACTGTACAAAATTTATAATTGCTCACCACTCGTTACACTCGTAGCTGATGACTTCTCCCTCTTCAACAACAAACCATTCTGTACCGTTGTTTTCAGTCGTTGGCACGAAATCTGCAACATCAGTTCATTTGGTTTGATTTCTGAAGCTCAAACACGTTGTGAACTATTTTATATGAATTAAGTATCAATATGAAAATTCAACATTTAAATGAATTTGAACCATTTTCCAAAGTGTCAGTCATCTAGCTACCTCTCAGAATGATAGAAGGAACTAAAGACTATGCCTACTTGGTTCCTCGATGAGTCTGTATCTGCAGGGACATTCGGCCCTGTCCACGCAGGTGCCATCCAGCAGCACCTGGCCGTCTGGACAGGCGCACTCGTACGTACAGGTGTTTCCTTCCTCAAAGTCATTATGGTCCTGAACGGCAGAGAAAAGGATATATCAGTGTAAGAAAATAAACATTAGCCAACTCTTTTGGAGCCTTTTCCTGACTTATATATGGCAAGCATATCTTTTCAATGCAGATTTCATATACATGTAATATTTACCTGAGGGTTTGCCTTGTTTGGACAATCTCTGGTAAATAAGTATAGAAATGTGATGTGTATGTCAATTGCATGTTATGTGTAACTGATGTAAAAGATGATCATTTTGAATTTTGAAACCCACAAATCCAAGTTTCTTCCATAACCATGGTCTAAAAATGTACAAGTTTGATGTAACACTCAGTGTTTTATGTATTTAGCAATCTGCCCACCTGGATGTCAGCACATGTTCTGGGCCCAGACTTGCATTCGTACACCTGCCCCTCTGCACATGTGATGTCACACAGGATTGGGTCCACGTAGCACGGTCTGGACGCTGTGTGGTTCCCAACGCATGGCATGCCTCCGTGCTGAAAAGTATTAATTGTTCGTTTCATCATTTGTATCTCCATTAACACTGAAGTCATTACAATTTACACACACAAAATTTGTCTTTTTCATGTTTCAGTCATAAGCGTTACATTTCTAGCCAGCCCTAATATTAGGGCTAAATACAAAACATGTCAAAAAGTCATGAACCTGTGTTGTTCCAATCTGAACCTGTAGATTCTGATCCACAACCTCAACCACAACACTCAATTGCCTACTTTATGCTGGACAGGTGCTTTGCTCACCTGAGCAGCAGGGTTGTCACAATGTCGTTCGCGGATCTCACTTCCTGCCGTGCAGTTTCCACAGCCAGACCATGGACCCCACTCTCCCCAGTTTCCATCAACTATAGCATGTCAACATATTCACATAAGGAGAGTGTATAGGAAATGCCGTATGTTTATAATCAGAAAACATTGTATAGATACAAAATAATCTACAACAAATATTTGCAAGATTATAGATGCCTTGATAAAATTTGCATTATATTACACTAACTTGACACTTTATAAACTTATAAATGTGAAACCATCATTGTTGTTAACTAACAGGCCTTTAGCTTGTATCTTTTAAAAGGAAACAAAAAGACAAGATGGAAACTATCATTTATTCAAAGGCTTGTTAAAACAATAAACAAACTGACTTGGGCAGCTTGTTGGGATGTCGCAGGTGCCAAACTCGATCTGGCCGGCAGTGTAGTTGTTAGAGGCCATCGGCGGGAGGTTGAACCCATCACACAGCTGGCCTCCGTTCGCAGGCCGGGGACACTTGCAGCTGTGCAGTGACAGAAACACAGATTTGGTGACATCACATCAAAATCTATGGAGGTTACTGGTTAACATAGCAAAACATCTTAAGACAGTTGTTGAATTGGGTGATGAAAATGTTCCTATGAACTAATGTTTGTTATATTCTACGTGCATTCCTGGCTCTTACCTTTGGCAGATTATAATTTTAAATATTGCTCTCAGATATTTAGCTAATCTATCTTTCGTTTCCCTGTTCAGTTTTGTAAAACACTCATAATTGCTTTTCATGACCTTTTTTACCTTGCAACACTTAAGAAATTTAGATAAAACTACTTACGCCTGGAATGTCTTCTTGCTTAAATATTGATTCAAAGATAAATTTTTTTTACTGACTTTATTGATTTATATTTAGTTAAGAAGGGAGTTAAACTCACTCTCTCATCCTGTATGCAGGTGCAAAACCACAGGTAGCCGTGCAGCCCAGCCAGGGAGTCCAATCACAATAACCACCATCAACTGTGGGAGGGGGGGCAGACAGAAGTCTGTTTAACCCTACTGCGTAATATTGCTCTCGTACTGAAACATTTGCTTTGAATCTGTTGTGAAACACTAGTCACTGCTGATAGTCAAATATAATAACATCAGATCTTCATGTAATATCTTGACAAATACAAATGATTCCCATCCTTTCGTTCTTGCCTGATAGAAATTGAAAACAGCAATAAAAGACAAACTGCGTTCAAGGCTGAATTTTATACAGACAATGGTTGATACAATAAGATCAAGACCGCTTACCCGGGCAGTCTATGTCAGTGCACTGGAACACCCCGTTCACGCATGGACTAAAAAATAAAGAGGCAACAAGGTAAACATGACAAGCAGTACGTAATGATAATAGGGTCTGTCCTTGGTGCTGAACGCCATCCATTCCAATGGCTTGTTGAGATCAAGGCTTTCGCCAATGTAGTCAAGAAATTTAGTGATTTCCTAGCTGTAAATGATGGTATGAGTGTACCATTAAGTATAAATAAGAAAATGAAAATCCAGCTTCTTTCCTACCATTGGTTGCAGCCCCTCTGTAGGACATAACCTGGTGGCCAGTTCAGACCGGTTTCCTCGTCCACGCAGTAACACTCGGATGGTTCCACACAGGCAGTCTTATCCTCGTTCAGTACCTATAAAACATTAAAAAGATATTAGATTATTTTAAAGTGTTTTTACATGTCAACTGCCAGTAATTATATGTTTAGCAATATGTAGATTCCAAATAATTCCATTGGCCTTTATTCTTTGTGATCTGAATAACTTCTTCTTATATGTATCGTACAATGTATCTTATATTTTGATTCACTCTATCTTCAATTCATTCATATGCTCTGTACAGTTTGACTAACCCAACTTGCCAGCTGCCGTTGTGTACAAAATCTCCCCATAGCAAGTCGGGAAGATCGTCGGAAAGCCAGAGATTTCAGAGACAGCTGCAGCTTACAGAGTCTTATCGTATTTTTGTTTGAATTCAAAGCACTTCTTTTGTCACCTGTGGAAATTAACGTTCAAACTAATGGGAAGTATCAAAGGCTTAAGTGCTTAGAGAGTCAGCAATGCCATGGACGGCTACAGATCAGATAGTATCATCTACTTTGATGAACATTGTATTGCATATTGCTTGTTTAAAGTGAATGCTTTAAATGCATTAGAGATTTGGAATAAGTCTCAATGATTGTAAAATCGTGACAAATGTGAATACAGCTGAACTTCGTAAAGCATCATTGGCTTAATCCGACTTGCAGGTAATAGGGAAGGTCTAAATGTTATTATAGAAAGATTTCAGAGACAGGTGCGCCTTTGCTATAAATATTTAGCTCTCAGCCTTGCTAAAAACAAGATCTGTTCAATGTAGAGCTTCAGACAGATAGTGCACATCGACATAGACTCCTCCACCAGTCATCATTTTCCTCACCGATAACTGATCAGCAAATCTACTGAACATGTTCAACAACAGCTCGGACTCTCTACTGTTCCACAACACCTCGGATCCTCTACGGTTCAACAACACCTCGGACTCTCTGTGGTTCGGCAACAGCTCGGACCCTCTAAGGTTTGACAACAGCTCGGACCCTCTAAGGTTTGACAACACCTCGTACCCTCTATGGTTCAAAAACACCTCGGACTCTCTACGGTTCAACAACACCTCGGACTCTCTACGGTTTGACAACACCTCGTACCCTCTATGGTTTGACAACAGCTCGGACTACATACCATTTGACAAAATGCTTCAGTGTTACTATTGGCCACCTCCGCCACACGAACATGTCCTACCTTCAGGCCAGTAAGCTTGCCCTGTACACGACTTTGTGCTTGCTAGTAAAGGGTGGCCTCTGTACATGTTTGGAGTTATGGGGATCTTCATCATATTGGCCAATTTTACGGTCCTATTCGGCATCATCGGAACACAAAGCTTCATAAGGCATTGTATCTGTATATCGCAAACCTCGCAATGTCAGACCTCCTGCCAGGGGTTCTCCTTATTTGTCTTGCTTTCGGTCAGTTGGGTCAATACGGAGTGATTGCTATGTTACACTTCTTTATCTGTTTGGTATTTACACAGACGATATCTGCATCAGCTCTATCTTTGTTATCAATAGATTGTTACACAGCTGTGAGGCACCCTATTTTCTTTTACAACAACGCCTCTAAGGCCAAGCGGAATGCTTGTGTAGCAATTGTTTGTTCATGGATTGTCCTGTCACTGTGTGTCTTTTCAACCTCTATGGGCTGGAATTGTGTATATGATCACTCCATTGCCGTAGAATATTGCTTTGCTTTTGTTCCCGTTAGCTATGTCATTCTAATAGCTTCTATAATGGTATTCCTATGTTTTGTCTTGATGTTCACAAACATGAGTGTTTTTGTGCGTATCAAACGACGCCAAAAGACAAGACCGCGACAGTTTAGAGGAGGTATACGTCGTAGGAGTAGCTATAGATGGGCTGAAGCTAGAGAAAACCAGGCCAGAGATGGAGCAAGCGAAGGCCGCGATGCACAAAGCGAAGCTCAGCGGAAATTGGACTCCAGCACAAGGAAGGCAAGGACAGTGATGATCCTTGTGACGCTGACATTCATCTTCTGGGTGCTGGGTTTTACAGCTCTCCCGTTTAACCGATTCTGCTTCAGGAACAGGCATATATGCTCACCTCTAACATTCTCGAGTTGGGTGCTTTTCTTGATGGTGTTGAACTCGGCGCTCAACCCATTGGCAAACATAATTCGCATGGCTGACTTGAGAAATGCAATCTATCAACAACTGATCACTCCTTACCGTGGATGTTTGAACTGTTTGGGGAGATTTTGTCTGGAGCAGACAGACCAAGAACAGAATATAGCCCAGACGTTAGAATAGAAACACAACTATAAAGGGCTAGACAATATGTAATCATTATGATGAGTGTTTCAGAGAATTGTGTACAATGCGTAGTAGTAGCAGTAGTAGCAGTGCTACTGTAGAACACAAGACTTGAGATCTGCCAGTAGATATACGTCTGCCCACAATGGCAAGGAAACCAGCGCTGCAGACATCTACATGGACATGGACATGGACAAGTGAGAAATTTGTCTTTTATACTGTTACTTCATTCCTTGCTTTATACTAGACAAAAGTGTTGTGATAATACTTGGAATGTGTATACAATGGTAACCAGTAGCGTTTGTACATTTATCATTTGTCGTGAGTGAAAATAAATATGTGTCATAATACAATTTTCGGTGCTTTCTTGTGTTCCGGTACTTTTCCAACCTGTCAATTAATTAAAGTGTCTTAAGTGTCTAAAATCCCATCGCAAAGGATATGCTTTCCCTGGTTTTTGTGCATATGTGAGACGAAATGTTTGCTGATTGTATATTTGAGATTGGTTGTGGATTGTTTTGTGTAATATTTGTCTAAATGCTTTATTCTTTGCAATAGCACCATTTGTCTAATTTATTTTGATTCCAATGCTCTTTAATGGGGATAATGAATTACAAACGCGTGAAGAAATTGCTCTAGTTGAATTAATTGTTTAAATCCTGGTCGGTATCTAATGATTGAACAGAACCAGTCAGGACATTATAAAGACAGGCCTGAAATATCTGAAATAATGGAGGGTTACAGTCAAAATAAATGAGAAAAATTATTGTCTCGGAATAATCTTGCTCTTAGCAAAAATTTGCCCTGGAATTACATTTTGTAGTGAAATGGATGGAAAAAAGGTTTGCTACGCACAATCAAGACTTTGACCTCAGTATTTTGTGTGTGCCTGTACCTGTAACAAGGATTTGCCGAGGTACACACAATGTACAGCGCTCTAGATGCAGCCCTTGTAGACTTGGTATTACTCTGTTACATTTCCTGTTTAAAGAGCATTGTGCACTCCCGCTAATCCACCTGCATTATCTGCTTAAACTCATAGGAAACAGGAAAACAGTGACACTAATGTGTTTACAGCCAACTGCAGGGACCAGCTGCATGTCAGTTTGCATGATATGTTATGATTACGTATTTATATGTTCTGTACAGTATGACTAACCCAACATGCCTGCTGCCATTGGGTACTAAATCTCCCCATAGCAAGTCAGGATGATTGTCGGAAAGCCAGAGATTTCAGAGACAGCTGCAGCTTAGATAGTGTTATTCACGTCTTTTGTGTTAAGTGCAATCTTCTTTCAAGCATCACCACAATTCACATTGGTCACCTGTCATTATCTAATTTCAATGTTCAAACTCAATGGAAGTACAAATGTATAAAAGACCTTTTGTTTTTAAATCTGAAAAATAAGAATCTTTAAGGTAATAATCTATCCTAAACTCCACATGGGGGTGCACTGCCAACTCCCACTTTGGTTTGCGCTCGACCCCTGATATTTCTGAGGCAGTATGCACCATGACTTTGGCTTTTAAGCACCTGCTTGCAGCTTGAAAACTTTAAAAAGTGTGTACGCATGTGGTGGAAAGGCAGTAAAAACAATTCTTACATATCCCTCTGGGCAGTAGCAGCCAGCCTCACAAGTCCAGAAGTAGGTGTACAGGTCCTGGCAGGTCTTGGGTCGACCGGTAGGGCCGCACTCATCATAGTACGACATGCTGATGTTGGCGCACACGGTATCTGGGAGGAAATATAAGTCTCTGGTGATGAGCTACAGTTGCTGGCATATTGATAGAATACACATTAAACAACAGCTGGGCACTGTGTTTATAAATAGTTACCACAAAATATCTTCTTTCTATGTATAACTGTACCATTAGTTTACCATAAAGAGAGAGAGAGAGAGGGGGGGGAGGGAGGGAGAGAGAGAGAGAGAAAATACCAAGTGTCCTCTCCATCACACACTGGTAGATATCATTTAACCACAAGACTTGAAGTTGGACATGACATGTAGAGGGTTAGAGGGTTAATACAATGTAGTTAGTTAAGCTGTTTAAAATTATCCTGCTCATCAATACAGACAGATAGTCAGGAGAGCATCGGGGGGTAACACATAAGGGTGGTTGGTTACATCTTTAGAAGAAGACAGATCCAGATCTGACCTGTTTCACAACTGGGCATGCCGCAGGTTTGGACCTGACTGGACTGGCCCACACAGTAGCTGCCGCCGTTGGTGGGAGGGGGGTTAGTACATCCACGGTACCGAGCTATGAGGGACGTGCCGCACGTTACTGTGCACTCTGACCACGGACCCCACGGGCTCCAGTTTCCGTCATCTGGAAAGAAAGAAAAATGATTAAAAAAGAACAACTTTGGACCAGTCTTGCCAATCTATTCTTCCTCGGTGTCAGTTCTTCACAAGAAAGGACACAGGTATCAATCTTTGAAGATGCTATTGGTTAAAAAGTGAAGATTTGAAAAGCACTGCTCAGTGCAATTTTACCCGATGGAAAGATTTTTTCCTTAGCACTGGCAAGAAAATGTTAATCTGCCAATTGCCAATTAACAATGAATTGAGATTAGCAAAGAAACTCTAATCTGCAATTGATTAGGTTAACTTTCCAATTACAGTGCAATATGCTTGCCTACTCTAAGCTCTTAAGATTGCTCAGAAAACTTTTATTTATCAGAGCTTAAATTCAGATTCCTCATTATATTCAATGAAAGATAAATAGCTGCAATTTTTATCATATCCCAAAGCTGCTGAAGCACCATCTGTATCGGTGCTGCTTATCAGTCCAACCACGAGTATGACAAAAGATCACAAGTCAACTCACAGATACACTCTCCAGTGTTACAGAGCCTCTCCTCGGTGCTCTCCCCGGTACAGTTGGAGAACGGCATGCTGTCATTACAGCAGCGGAAACGGTTCTGCACGCCAGACTCGCAAGAGGACGTGCACACGGTCCACTGGGACCACTCACTCCAGTTCGGCCCAGGAGCTGAAATGTACACGTTAACCATTTTTTAAAAACCAAATTTAACGTCATTTTTCCCCAACCGGGGGTTAGATGTGCTTGCACCAGGTACAAGTCTTTTTTTGAAGCAAGCAACCATAATGTTGTTATTATATACATTTGTATCTGTATTTATTTAGCAGACATTTTTGAAATACATTTAGACAATTGATGACAGTAATGCAATATTTTCTCAACTTTTTAACCAAATTGGCAAAAGCAACTATCAAGTAACAAATTGAATTCGAATGGATGTCATTCAGCACCAGGAACAGCCACATTTATCATTATTTATCACTTTGTAATAACATTATAGCTCACTAGTATGGTTGTAAAAAAATTTCATCTCATGAAAATGAAATGAAGTCAGTAGGGATATACGTACCATCACAGCACTGTGTGTTGCAGACAGAAGTCTCAATCTCAGGGCCTTCACACAGCTTGCCTCCAAAGTGAGGAGCAGGGCTGTTACAGTTACGGTACCTACACAATGGACAAAATTCAATTTGTCAGCTCGAATTCTTCACTAATGACAGACGTTAAGTCCAAAAGGAAGTAGTCTTGGATAATGTATTATATCTCATCCTGAACAGAAAAGAATGGAAGTGACTAAGTGGAGATTAAGTTTCAGTTGATTGACAGGGTTATGACCTAGCATGCTCTGGTATGAGGTGGCCAGGAAGGTGAACTGTGTCATCATTGGTATGAAACATGAACCATTGTACACATTATACAAGTAAGATACGACAAACAATCGTATGAGTAATACACAATTCTATGATGCAACTCAGTAATTGGTATTTTCCCATGATCATACAATACAGTTCTAATACATTCACAAAAACGCGACATACTTCCCGCATGTCGGAAATTATTTGATAAACTTATTTCTTGTTAGTTACAAGAACTTACTTCCTGCGGATGCCTCCATCGCACGGCTCTGAACACTCGCTCCACTCTGACCATGGTGACCAGTTCCCGTCAACTAGCCAATGAAAATACAATGTGAGAACCTGCACTCAAAAACTCTAGCAAAACAAGTTTTCTATAAGAATGCATTCAAAAAAGAAGAACGACAAAAACTGTATCAGAACCAAACTAACTTGGGCAGTTGTACTCGGTGCAGTCCATGTTTCCATTGATGCAGGTGCTGCAGAAAATAAATGCATGTTGACAGCAGTTATTATTATATATACTAATTGCTTCACATAGCACTAAAACTTCAAGTTCCCCTTAGCCTCTTTTATGTTAATTTCAAAGTTTGCATTGTTTTCGCAGATCTGAGAGCCAATTAAATTGCATCGCCACAGAATTTATCAGACAAACTGCTAGTTATTGACTGACCAGTTCTGGCAGTCGTTGACTGAGTATGTCTGGCCGGGCTCGTAGAACTCGCCATCGTAGAGACACAGACACTCCTCCGGTACGACACACTCCCCGTCCTGGAAGAACTTGTCCCCATCACATCGGCAGTAGCCTGTACACTCTGTGGTGTCACACATCACCTGCAGGGTAAACAGACTCCATGTTAATGTGGTATGACCGCACAGACCACAACGTTGTCTCTAATATATGCATTTTCAGTCAATCATTATAGATCGAGGATACTCCTTTCCTGTGTTTTATTGGCACTCCTTGAAGCAATAAATCTGGACAGGTGTTATCTTTGTCAAACTGGAGACATTCAGTACTGTTTCTGAGTGGGGGGGGGTATAGGTGAGCATTGCTTGAATGTCCAAAATTGCTTGAACTATGATGTACTGACATGAAAATAGTGACAGACATAAAAGCGAGCAATAACTTCACATGAAAACTCTCTAATGTGTTTCTTAATAATTATGAAAATGTTGAGCCAGATTTGATGCTATGAAATTTGATTTCCTTGATATCTATTTCTTAGATAAAATGTTTTAAAGTTAAACTTACATATTACATTTAATTTGCCTACAAAGTTAATACCACCATGTAGTACCTGTGCACTGAGCTCGGCGCAGGTACGTGGACAGGAGTTTCCACAGTCCTCTGCAGAGACCCATGTGCTTGTGTAGGGGCACTCCTCTGTAGAGGGGAACACACCGGCCAGGTTATGGAAATGATAGAAGAGCCATCTAGGGAATCATTGGTGTAGTGCAGCCTGACAGGGGCACTACTTGATTCTGCCAATGCAATAGCAACTGATTTCTCTGGTATTCTTCCTTAGGCTACATAATATTCTTTCAGTTCACTGATATTCCGAAGTACACTGAAATGGTACTCGGCTTGTTGAAAAGTTATCCCCCCTCAGAGAAAAATGGCAATATTGAATATTGTTATTCTGACAAACACTTATTTTCTGTAGCACTAATTTTCTGACCCCCTCATGATCAGAGAAGAAAGGCAATCTTGAATTTCTGACTAATTTTCTGTAGCAGTGCAATCACCAGCTTTATTACTCCGTAAAGACTGCAACTTTCTGGACATCTTTGGACATTATAAGCACTAGAGCACTAGAGATCCTTGTGATTCACCTGGGGTGCAGGGCTCGTCACACTCCTTGGTCTGCACGAGGGTGTTGCCCTCACAATCGGCGCCGTCGTACTGCGGAGCGGGGTTGCTGCATGTACGGAACCGGTACTGAGAACCGTCCACACACGGGTCTTCACAACCAGACCACGGGCCCCAAGGAGACCACTCGCCATCAACTGGGCAAGGAAAATGGCAAAAAAGATGTTTGGACAAACTTTAACTGCAAAACTATAATTGTCTCATAGGTAAATGTAATGAGATCTGAATAAGATATAATATTCAATTAGACATCAGGAGAAATGTATTCCTATCAGTAAAGATTTGCATAAGAATCATTTCAATCATTGCAGTTTATGTGGTCGATCTTATTGACAATTGTGAACCATTGTTCTATCGTTGACAAAGGGGGGAAATACAAAAAACTGGAAGAATCTAAATTATCAGAAAATCTTCTTGTAAAATTATCCCACCATAAATGGAAAAGAAAATTGGTATTAATGTTTAATATTCATTGTGCCATTCAGATGTAGACTGTACTTACTCGGGCATCTGTATGTTCCACAGTTCTGGATCTGGCTGTCCTGTCCGTCACAGTACTCCCCATATCCTGCTGGAGCTGGGTTGTTGCACTCCCGGTGTCTTCACACAAACACAAACAAAGAACATTTCCAATTTCCCTTGATTTTATGAACCAACTTACAGAGTTGACAAAATGTGATTAGTTAAATCATCTTTTTTTTAGATTCGGGGGAAATATATCAAGTCGTGATAAAATAAGGCTGGAAGGGAGACTTACTGGGCTACTATATAGGTGTGAGCTGTCATGCACTGGATATGTGGATGAAAGGTAATGATAGTTTGACTTGTAAACTTACCTGATTTGGTATGGTACACTGCCATCCTCAGAGATACAGGTTGCCGTGCAGGTAGACCAGGGAGTCCATGGACTCCATTCACCATGAACTGAAACAAAATGTTACAGCACATTTAATATCCACTGAACAAAATCAATTCTTTATATAAGCACACTTTGCAACATGTTGCAGCGCATTCAAATAACCACAGTGAAAAATAATCTATTCTTAAAGGCTAGTACACTTTGCAACATGCATAGAGGTTTGGTTCTTTGCCTGGGTGTACATGTACCTTTACGCATGATTTAAGTTGCATTTAAAGACATAATTACATGCATTCAACAATATAGCTTTCAACGTCTTGAAAACTTAATAACTTACTAGTAGTTACAGTAGTATCAGACAGTAATATTCTAAACATTACTTGACACTTACCAGAGCAGTTGGCTACCTCACAGACAAGTTGAGAATTTTCACAGGTGCTGGGAATGATAGCAAACAATAGTTATTTACATGTATCATAAATGTACACAAGATGGCACACTCATAAACAATAGTTGATAAAAACAGAATTGTGCAACATACTATTAGGCATTCTTTCTTCAACCTAATCTTGTACCACTCACCAGTTCTCACACTCATTTTTTATTATAGTCTCGCCTGGTTGCACTTCCTCAACTTCACCTGTGGGCAATTGAAATAATGCAAAATCACGATTAGACATCCGGCTGAGGTAATAAGACAGTTACTCAACTGGATATGATTTTGGAAACAGTTAACATAGCACCCACTACCTTTGTCATTGACGCTAGAGAAATTGTGCAGAAATGCAGGACTGGAGTCAGTTGAAAAAAATACATCACAAGTTATATGTGGCTAAAACTATGCCGTTGATGTTGACAGTGCAGCGACATTCTGCATAGGAGACACAAAGTCCATCCTGCAGGACGGATCCGTCGGGGCAGTAGCAGCCGGGTACACAGTCCTCCTCACAGGTCACACCCTGCTGCAGGTCCAGACATGTCCTGGGGCAGTTCCCACACTCCTTCCACACCCTTGTCATCCAAACACTCCTCTGTGGGGGTATACAAAACTTGAAGTTTCCCTATGTCCTATAATCTCCAAGCAGATCCTACAGTGGCTAATGAATCCTACTCGGCTAATGGATACTGCCTTGCCACCATAGGATCTGCTTGAAGATTATCAACATTATGTATACCAAATGAATCCAATGCTTGTTCCGAACAATTTTTTTTTTCAAAAAAGTATCAGCATTTATTGTGTTCTCCACCCATGTGATTTTATCACCTTGGTTCTTAGACATTCCAAACCAACTATTTAGCAAGACTTCATCATGAAACCTAAAAGTTTGGAGGAAACTTGAGTATACAATATACATTGTATAAATATTCACTCGGTTTTCATGCTTCGAATTTCATCTTATTTGTTACTTACTTATAATCAACATTAGAATTATAGTGGTGTGGCCTAAGTTAAAATGTTAGATACTGTACCCTGGCAGTCCTGGAGGTTACAGGAGGTGGTCTCTGCGCTGTTGCCGGGACAGTTGGAAGTGACCGGGGTGTCCTCGTACCGGATACAGCTCCTGGTCCGGATCCTCTGTCCACTGTCACAGGTGGCCGTGCAGGCAGACCACGGAGCCCACTCACCCCAGTGAGCTGGTGTACCTACATGTACAATACGATTTGAGGGAAAATCAGCAATGAAAAAAACAAACTGTACAACATACATGCATTCCCTGATTGATCATCTTCAATTTCCCTTTCCCCAAAAGCTAGGTGTTGCTTCTCAAACATGTGTCCCTGGAAATAAGCATGTCTGCCTTGGGTCATATCATGTTGTGGTAATCTTTATGAAAAAATGAAAAGATAGGAAAGGAGAGATTTGCCTCACAAAGCTCACCTGGACAGGTAGCAACAAAACAGTCCTTTGTGTCCACAGTGTTGCCTTCACATGGCAGTCCGCCGTTGCTGGCAGAGGGGTTACTTCCAGACCTGTACAGGATGAAAACAACTTAGTGCTTAAACTTTAGAATGTGTTTTACTTCTCAAAAGATCAATAATACAAATATTATTGTTGGTGAATTCAGTAAACGACATTGAGGGAAAAATTTATAACCTTATGCATCAGTCATAAATAACACAATAAAGACTGGTGTGTTGCACCGAAGGGGCGTTTATACCAACTATACAGATACAGAGAAGGACAATCACCTGTATCTCTGCTGAATGCCAGCTCCGCACGTCTTGTCACATGGAGTCCAGATGCTCCAAAGGGACCAGCCGCAGTCCACTATGGGAAACAGATGGTGAGTTGTAACTTTAGGACAGACTTTCTTAATAATATTGTGTATTTGGATATGCATAGATACACAAAGATTTCATGATGAGTATTTATGTATCACCAGATTATTGCACCAGTGACAATTAGCAATGTTACACAGATTTTAACAAATTGCCATTCGTGTCTTATCTTTTGCAAATACATACCAGCACACTCTTCATCAGTACAGGTCATGTATCCGTTCTCACAAACACTGTTGATAGAAAAACAAGGCTGAATGTCAAAGCAAAACATGCAGTTTATAAATATATAGATATTAGCTCACCTCAGTTTATCTTGATTCTACACATCCAAAATAGTACACTTCCCCTTTCTTAATATTTCTAAGGTTTGAAATACTGTAGAATGATTCATCTTCAGATCAACTTATTGGAAATTAAATTCAGTTTTTGACCTATGTTACTAACAATTAAGTAATGTACATGTAAGTTACAGCAAAAGTTACATTACCATGTGTTGCAGTCACTGGTGATATTTTGGCCAGGTTCGTACTCCTGTCCATTGTAGAGACATTTGCACTCCGCTGCAGTCACACACTCTCCATTCTGACTGTACGTTCCCTCAGCACAGTAACAACCTGCAAGGGAAAGGGAAAAGAGAATTCAAAGTGATCTTGATCCAGTTTAGCACACTAGTACTGAAGAGTCAATCTTCCACTGGTCATGACAAGAAAAGCTGTTAGTAGTTGGAGCAATTGTTATCATGATTGAAGGTAGGTGTGATGACTATCCTCTTTGCAGCCAGAGGCACAATTGGGGGCTAAACTTCATTGCTCTAGGACCATAATGGCAGCCTTCCAGCATTCTGATAACCTTACAACAACAAAAAATGAGTATCACTGAAAGATAGCAGGAGCATTTCTGTATGCCATAATGCCAGCCTGTATGAAGGACACAACTATATATAGGAAGTCAGAAACTTTTAAAGCTGAACACACCTTCTTGACAAGTCAGCTGGCAAGTCACCTCGTTGCTGAGGCCCTGGCAGCTTCTCGAGCAGGGGTCGAAGCCAGCAAGACAGTCTTCAGTTGTTACAGACTCCTTCTCAAGACAATCTGCAAGGAGGATATAGATGATGACATTCATTTTCAAACCTTTAAAGAAGAGTTGCTGCAATTAACGCATCTTGCTTTTCTTAAATGCACTTAGTCTAAAATGAAATTAATGTCATTATGCAATTATTGGAAAAGTCAGTTTACTGAGAAGACCCTATTGTGATTAGCTTTGGGCAGAATTATGACCAGTATTCTTACCTGGTCCACATGGCTCATTGATGCACATGTCGGTCTCATGGTAAGAACCATTGCAGATGTTGCCTCCATTCTTGGGTGGTGGATCCGTACAGTTTCTATATATATTAGGAAATAAGGCATGTATTGTGGAGGAAACAAAATTTGCTTATACAAATCTCTCAGCAAACACACATTGAATAAAATTGAGTCTTACTAATATTGAATTGAAATTGAAACAAGATCGGGGCCTATGCACATTACCTGTATCTGTGAATGACACCAAAATCACAAGCCGCGTCACAGTTGCTCCATGGGGACCACTGAGACCAACCGCCATCAACTGTCAATCATTCAAAAATACTGTCAGCTCAAAAACATGGCTAGGTAATTTGCAGCCTACAAAATTAATAATTCTATAATTAGATAATCAGGTGATGCAATGAGCAGTTTTTTTGTTTAAATTAAGAGATAAAATTTCGTCTCCCAATTGCAAGCTTTCAGCTACTCCACAAAGTTTTCTGTAATATATTTGTATTCTGTATTATACAAATTTAAAGAACAAAGCTACACAAACCAAATGTTGTGAACGTCTTGGCTAATAATATGGTACAGTAGTGTTTAAGTAAAGCATACAAGATTTGAATTAAACATTGGCCTTACCTGGACAAGCAGAAGTGAAGCAGTTCTTGCTCTCCGTGAAGGGTCCCGAACACTCCGCACCGCCTGTCTGTGCCGGCTGTGCGATGCCGCGGTTTCTGGTGGCCACGCCCTGGCCGCACGTCAGCGAACAGTCACTCCAACTTCCCCACTGCCCGTGGATGCAGTCAACTGTAGGATACATTGTCAACCACGTTCATAATAATCAGTATCAAAAGAGAAGAACAAAAAACCAATTATGACTTGTGACCACAATAAGTAACAAATGCCATTCACAAAAGTAAAAGTGCAAAATGCATGATGGGATTCCCTAGCAGCCAATCTATTAAACTTATCTGGGCCATAAAAATATAATCTCCATAATGTAGGTTTTTTGCAGGTATAATTGAAGTTGTGCAGGTATTTCTGATTTCTAACCTTCACTTGACAATGTCCAAGTCCTGAATATAATTTAGATTTTTGTTTCATTTGTTATCACTTTTCTAGTAAATTGGTACTAGTGTAAGTTCCGTCTACTTAGCAGACAAGGAGGCCAGACGCTGAGTAGTGTGGAGTTGAATCTATTCTGCTGTAGGACAATACACAATCTTCCATGTGTTCACCTCTGACCCCGGGTTGGCTCATACCATTCTAACCCGGGGGTGTTCTATTTCTGCTACTTACAGTCTAGTAAAACCTGACTGGTGCAGGAACGTTGCACTTAACCTGTACTATTTTAGGTAGGTTTGTTTTCAACTGACAATACACGTAGTACTAAGACATCGATTTGGCATGATATTGAAATCTCGATTTCTAACGTGAACAAGTTTGGTTTAAATCATGGAGATGTTTATTATTATAATAAATAATTTTGCAATAATATTTGTTCATTACCGCAGTTGTCTTCGTCTGAGCCGTCGGTACAGTGGGCTGTGCCGTCACAAACCTGGCTGCTACTCAAACACTCTCCTGACAGGCAGGTGAACTGAGAGTCCGTGCAGGGTGACGGGGGCGGTGTTGTCGGGATGTACAGAGGTGTTGTGGCCGGGGCAGCTGTGGTCAACCCACCTGCTGGTGTCGCTACAGCGAAGGGAAGGTGATTAGTCCTAGATTCAATATGGTACCAATTGGTTACTCTGACAAGATTAAAATGTAGACCTCAATTAGTTCATTTTGAATGTTGTTCTTAGTATCTAAACGTAGACGTTAGAGGAAATTAATTAAATTGATGTATGTGACATTATCCAGTAATCAAAGAAAATTATTGTCCAAAGTTATTTGTTACAGTGCCTTTAATATATTTAAGGTGAAACAATGTACATATTAGCTTATCCAACATAACTCAAGGCAAAAACGTGCACCAATTATTGATATATCTTTAGACAAGACACATCTTACTGTATATAACAAAAAGCATACCTCCAGATACAGAACTTGATGTCGAGTAAACAAGGGTATACATTTCATAGTCCACACAAGTTGTTGTAAATGTTGGAAGGGTTGTGAAATGAGGAGTTGTCGTAATTGTTGTCCCTGTTGTCATCAGCGTAGTGAATCCGGAAGTGGCTGTGATCTCAGGTGTAGTTGGCGTCGTAAAGCTTCTACTGGTTGTTATGCCAGGAAGAGTCGTCATTGTGGTTCCATAGGTAGTGGTGGTGGTGCTTGGACTAGCTGTAGTTGAAACCCCAAATGAAGTGGTCGTGCCCGGTGCAGCCGTGGTCGTCACTCCAGGTGTGCCTCCCACTCCAGGGGTAGTGGTGGTACCTGGTGCGGCCGTGGTCGTCACTCCAGGTGTGCCTCCCACTCCAGGGGTAGTGGTGGTACCAGGTGCAACCGTGGTCGTCACTCCAGGTGTGCCTCCCACTCCAGCTGTGGTTGTTGTTCCTGGTGCAGCCGTGGTTGTCACTCCAGGTGTGCCTCCCACTCCAGGGGTAGTGGTGGTACCTGGTGCAGCCGTGGTCGTCACTCCAGGTGTGCCTCCCACTCCAGGGGTAGTGGTGGTACCTGGTGCAGCCGTGGTCGTCACTCCAGGTGTGCCTCCCACTCCAGCTGTGTGTGTTCCTGGTGCAGCCGTGGTCGCCACTCCAGGTGTGCCTCCACTCCAGCTGTGGTGTGTTCCTGGTGCAGCCGTGGTCGTCACTCCAGGTGTGCCTCCCACTCCAGCTGTGGTTGTTGTTCCTGGTGCAGCCGTGGTCGTCACTCCAGGTGTGCCTCCCACTCCAGGGGTAGTGGTGGTACCTGGTGCAGCCGTGGTCGTCACTCCAGGTGTGCCTCCCACTCCAGGGGTAGTGGTGGTACCTGGTGCAGCCGTGGTCGTCACTCCAGGTGTGCCTCCCACTCCAGCTGTGGTTGTTGTTCCTGGTGCAGCCGTGGTCGTCACTCCAGGTGTGCCTCCCACTCCAGCTGTGGTTGTTGTTCCTGGTGCAGCCGTGGTCGTCACTCCAGGTGTGCCTCCCACTCCAGGGGTAGTGGTGGTACCTGGTGCAGCCGTGGTCGTCACTCCAGGTGTGCCTCCCACTCCAGCTGTGGTTGTTGTTCCTGGTGCAGCCGTGGTCGTCACTCCAGGTGTGCCTCCCACTCCAGGGGTAGTGGTGGTACCTGGTGCAGCCGTGGTCGTCACTCCAGGTGTGCCTCCCACTCCAGCTGTGGTTGTTGTTCCTGGTGCAGCCGTGGTCGTCACTCCAGGTGTGCCTCCCACTCCAGGGGTAGTGGTGGTACCTGGTGCAGCCGTGGTCGTCACTCCAGGTGTGCCTCCCACTCCAGCTGTGGTTGTTGTTCCTGGTGCAGCCGTGGTCGTCACTCCAGGTGTGCCTCCCACTCCAGGGGTAGTGGTGGTACCTGGTGCAGCCGTGGTCGTCACTCCAGGTGTGCCTCCCACTCCAGGGGTAGTGGTGGTACCTGGTGCAGCCGTGGTCGTCACTCCAGGTGTGCCTCCCACTCCAGCTGTGGTTGTTGTTCCTGGTGCAGCCGTGGTCGTCACTCCAGGTGTGCCTCCCACTCCAGGGGTAGTGGTGGTACCTGGTGCAGCCGTGGTCGTCACTCCAGGTGTGCCTCCCACTCCAGCTGTGGTTGTTGTTCCTGGTGCAGCCGTGGTCGTCACTCCAGGTGTGCCTCCCACTCCAGGGGTAGTGGTGGTACCTGGTGCAGCCGTGGTCGTCACTCCAGGTGTGCCTCCCACTCCAGCTGTGGTTGTTGTTCCTGGTGCAGCCGTGGTCGTCACTCCAGGTGTGCCTCCCACTCCAGGGGTAGTGGTGGTACCTGGTGCAGCCGTGGTCGTCACTCCAGGTGTGCCTCCCACTCCAGCTGTGGTTGTTGTTCCTGGTGCAGCCGTGGTCGTCACTCCAGGTGTGCCTCCCACTCCAGGGGTAGTGGTGGTACCTGGTGCAGCCGTGGTCGTCACTCCAGGTGTGCCTCCCACTCCAGCTGTGGTTGTTGTTCCTGGTGCAGCCGTGGTCGTCACTCCAGGTGTGCCTCCCACTCCCAGGGTAGTGGTGGTACCTGGTGCAGCCGTGGTCGTCACTCCAGGTGTGCCTCCCACTCCAGCTGTGGTTGTTGTTCCTGGTGCAGCCGTGGTCGTCACTCCAGGTGTGCCTCCCACTCCAGCTGTGGTTGTTGTTCCTGGTGCAGCCGTGGTCGTCACTCCAGGTGTGCCTCCCACTCCAGGGGTAGTGGTGGTACCTGGTGCAGCCGTGGTCGTCACTCCAGGTGTGCCTCCCACTCCAGCTGTGGTTGTTGTTCCTGGTGCAGCCGTGGTCGTCACTCCAGGTGTGCCTCCCACTCCAGGGGTAGTGGTGGTACCTGGTGCAGCCGTGGTCGTCACTCCAGGTGTGCCTCCCACTCCAGGGGTAGTGGTGGTACCTGGTGCAGCCGTGGTCGTCACTCCAGGTGTGGTTGTTGTACCAGGTGCAGATGTGGTTATCGCTTCTTTTTCAGGAGATAAAATTTGTTTAACTAAGAGCACCTTGAATCAATTGTTGAAAATGGTTGAAACATTTAAGAATATATTATTTCAATACATCTGTGTTTACTTAAATTCGTATACAAACTGTACAGCCATCTAGGTACTACAGGACTGGTATAGTGTATGTGTGACCTTGACTGAAAATGGGCTGATGAAGTTATGACAGCCTTGTGGTTTGGGTAACAATGAGAGTTTAAAGATTTTTAGCTTGTATCTATAAGTTACTGTTACCGTTATAGAAATAGTAATTATTTGTTATTATTGGGTCTAATCTTAAATATTATGCACTTGGAGAAGGTTATTTACACCTTTTCTTCACCTAACACTAAAATTTGCACAAAACTGTAAATTACGGTTTTGTGCTAGTTTTTACTGCCCAGTTGTGTTAACAAACATTAAAAATAAACAAACCTTTTTTACATCCTGTTAACTCTGCTCTAAGAATCAGCCCCTTATGGTATTCCACCACATTGATGCGGATGTACTGCACATTGAGCACGTCTGGCAGTGGATGGGTCACAGCAGAGGAATCATCAGTATTTGCATCAAACACCTGTCAAAGGCCCAAAAAGTTATCATTCCTAATTTCTGATAAGACTGGCAATTGCTTGAAGAAACCGTGTAAAGCAAAGATGCAGCCAATATCCCTTTGATGTTATTTTGATTCATGTTAATCTTGAGGTTCTTGCAGTTATCGGAATCAACTTGACCCAAACTAGTCCACTGATTCAGCATGTGCGTCTGAGACAGCTGAACTTTCTGGGACACATCCTACGCATGCCTGAGGATGAACCTGTTAGACTGTACGCCCTCTACGTGCCCTCTCATGGCAGACGCAGGCGAGGCAGACAGCCTACCTCCTACTTCAAGTATGTCCAGCAACTACTGGGAGATGAGCACAATCAGCTAACTGAGAAGCAGATCGCCAACCTTGCTTGCGACAAAGGGCAGTAGAGGGATCTTGCAGTCGCCTGCGCAGCAGCCGACCGATGATGATGATGAATCTTAAGGTCCAAAATTACTTGAAATCTGAGAATCAGCCACATGGAATTGGCGTGGATTATCGGGTGGATATACTGGCTATGTAAATAATAATTATGTGAAAAGCAGTGCAGAAGCTGTTGTCTCACCCCAAAGTATGATTATACCAGCTGGACAATGTAGAATTATAAAAGTTGGTTTTAGACCCAAGGATAAATACCTGCTGTCATACAATACAGAATAATACAGATTGAAGCTCATGTCACAGTTAATAAGTATGCTTTAAGGATGCATTTCTGAGGGTTTTAGATTCAAAGAACACTAAGAGAAAGAGCAGCACAAAGAACTAAGTATATATTACATAAGTTTTTATAACTTTGTATTATGAGTATTGATTAAAAAAGTCAACATTTTTTTCTCCATTTTTACTACCAATTTTACTTTTCATTCTATTTACTAAATAATAATAATACTAGAATTATAATAAAAAATAAAAGCATTTCTAAATAATGACACCTTGATGGTGACTTGGAATGGACTGATTTTTTGGTACAATACAGAAAAACTGATACACAAGCTGGTTTGTAATTTGTGTGTGTGTGTTGGTGTGTTATAAAAAGATAGTTGTATTATTCAGCAGCAGCTATACAATACAGAATGATATATACAGATATTATATGCTTTTATTGTTGTATGCAACCTGTACATGCATAAGAGTAGCCAGTTTTGGCTAAAGGGTATCGAAAAAAGACATTACAGAATACCTTTGTTGATGTGCCATCTTCTTCTAGTACATCCGACCAGTTGGTCCCATCGTTGCTGTAGGATACGGTGATTTTTGTGACATACATGTCACCGCCGCCACCTCCCTGCGTGATGACTCCCGTCAGCTCCTGCGGACTGCCAAAGTCAGCTTCCAAATATGGCGGTTCCTCGTCGTCCATGAGCGTGAACACGTCAGACTCTGCCGTCGTGTCGAACTTCAGCCATTCGTCTGAGTCGGGGATCCAGCCGGTTATTCCTCCGGTGGTGAAGTTCACTCTGCAAAATAGTGCTTAAAAGTTAGCCATCTGGCTATCATTTTCATGAATATATGCAGAGTCTGAGATATATATAGATGTTAGTATTCCAAATGAGCAGTGACTTATAACACAGTCATGATATAATTTTGAAAGGCCTTATATTGAAATGTATCTCAGTGTCCATGATTGTATGTATTGAGAACAAGCTTGAAATGTTTAAGGCCACAATTTATTTCCTTGACATTTTTAAGTTAAAAGCAAAAAATAAGGCAATAAGAAAAAGAGGTCTCTAAATGTTTTCATTTTGATACTCCAGTTACCAAGTATTATGTTTGTGAATCCTAGAACCAACCATTCAAGTCAGTGTCACCCAATATATGCAAAACTAATTGAATCAAGTTCTGATTGTGACTAACCTGCCATTCCCTGGTGGGAAGAGGTCGATGGAGGATGATGCCGACAGCTGGCTGCTAGGAACAGACCCGTCACTCAAGCCCATCGGCTCCAAACAGTACTCTGAAAACAACATTGCGTGGTCATCGGTCATTTTATCAATGGTTTATTTGCTCAACAGTGTTCCAAAGATGGCAGCCCAAGGGCTGAAATGATATCAGGAAATAACAGCCGGTTAACAACGTAGTTAGAACAGTGTAAAACATCATTTTAGCCATTAAAATTAATAATAGAAGAGAGGAAACAAGCTGGTAATAATGCCCACAAGAATTTATCTGAGTGCACCGGGTAACCCCTTCTCTTCTGAGAAAGTGTACAAGTCATGCATGTGCTGGGATCTTAAATGTGCATAAGTGTAATATCTGAGCTCCCAAGGACCTATAAATTGTAGGTACTTTTACTAGCAATCCAAGTTGGGGGTTAGGGAATAACTAGCATCCGAGTTAGGGGTTAGGGATATAAATGCAATCTATGCCTTTCCATTCAAATGTCAGGACTGGTGAATCAATCATCAGTCCTTTCTACTTTGTCAAAGGACAACAAAATTATTCAATCTGGCCTCGTGGTCTTGGTCTCTTTGAAAATTTCCAATATATGATTGTCTTCAAACCATTTCAAGTCCAATACCTTACGTCATAAAAAAACACTCCATCATGAGGGACAAGGCATAATCTAAGTCCAAAAAAATAAATATAACTGATGATATACCTGGAACCGTAGTTGTAGCAGGAGCTGTTGTTGTTGCGGCCGTTGTGGCCGGAGGTGGAGGAGGGGGCGGTGCAACGGATGTACTCGGCGGTAGAGGTGGAGGTGGAGGTGGTGATGTAGGAAAAGGAGTGGTGCCTGCTTCAGTTGTTGTTGACACTCCGGGGGTGATAGGCAATGTGGTGGTACCTGGTGTAGCCGTGGTCGTCACTCCAGGTGTGCCTCCCACTCCAGCTGTCGTGGTTGTTCCTGGTGCAACCGTGGTCGTCACTCCAGGTGTGCCTCCCACTCCAGGGGTAGTGGTGGTACCTGGTGCAGCCGTGGTCGTCACTCCAGGTGTGCCTCCCACTCCAGGGGTAGTGGTGGTACCTGGTGCAGCCGTGGTCGTCACTCCAGGTGTGCCTCCCACTCCAGGGGTAGTGGTGGTACCTGGTGCAGCCGTGGTCGTCACTCCAGGTGTGCCTCCCACTCCAGGGGTAGTGGTGGTACCTGGTGTAGCCGTGGTCGTCACTCCAGGTGTGCCTCCCACTCCAGCTGTCGTGGTTGTTCCTGGTGCAACCGTGGTCGTCACTCCAGGTGTGCCTCCCACTCCAGGGGTAGTGGTGGTACCTGGTGCAGCCGTGGTCGTCACTCCAGGTGTGCCTCCCACTCCAGGGGTAGTGGTGGTACCTGGCGCTGCTGTGGTTGTTACTCCTGGGGTTGTTGTTGTGCCTGGAGCAGTACTTGTTGTCAGACCTGGAGTTGTTGTTGTGCCTGGAGCAGTTGTTGTCAAACTAGGTGTTGTAGTAAGGCGTGTGGTTGTGGTGGGAACTGGTGTGGCTGGACCTGTTGCCGATCAATTTGAACATGTTAGCTACAGGTAGGAACTATGATTTAATACAAAATTAATCTATTACCATCCTATTTTCACATAATAGAACACTTGACAAAGTATTAGATAAATCTTAGCACTAGCTAAAGAAACACATTCTTGACTTCATTAACGACCTGAAATTTCTCCAGTATCTCTTTATTTTCCATTTTGCAAGATTTCTTTGTTTGGCCTCATTTAACATATCTAACAGTTATTGATTCATTTAAAAACATTGAAGCTGAACTATAACAGTTACTGAACTATTTACCTCTGCAGCCAAGCAGCTCTACCCTGAGAACAATGGCCTGGTTGTATTCCTTAACGTTGAGGCGGAAATACTTTGCAGTCACAACGCGGCCAAGCACATTTGTCACCAGAGATGTGTCATCTGTATTTGCATCAAACACCTATACAGACAGAAAAAAAAAACTTTAAGTTAGTGTCACCCATGAGAAAAAAAATGTTTCAATTTTTTACTTATTGGCATTTGCAGAACTGGGTTGCAACTGGGTACAAGGGCTGCAAAGAAAAGTACAGTGGCACACTTACTGCCTCAACATGCTGAGAAAAAAAATCAAGCCAATAGAGGACTCTTAAAACAGAAAATTCTGAGTGCTAAGATGCAAAGTGCATGTATCTAACAAATGGAAGAGAGACTGATCACAACTGCTGGATGTTTTCACAGGCACATTAAAACTTTGTCTAGTAGAAGAAACTTGTAGATGATGAAGAGATTCTTTTCCAGTACCTTAGTGGGTGCAGAAACATCCTCAGATGTTTTGAAGTCAAGCCAGACAGCACCATCGTTGCTGTAGGACAGGGTAAACTTGGTGACGAACATGTCGAAGCTTCCCGCGCCCTGCGTGACAACTCCGGTGACCTCCTGGGGCTGGTCAAACTCCACCTGCAGGTAGGGTGGGCTGTTGGTAAGGTCCAGGTAGTCGGATATTTCTGGACTCCAGCCCTGCATGCCCGGGGTTCCATCTGTGGTGTTCAACCTGGCGGGAGAATACAATGTCAAAAAATCACTTTTCTTTCAAGTTTTTTTCTCCATTTTATAGTAAGAGGATATTCAGTGTTGAAATTACATACCTATCAAATACTGAGTGTTAGGCAAGGAATGCAGTTACATAATATTTTCAAGTCTTTTCAAGCCCTCCTCCACTGAAACATGAGGTACATGTATGTACTGAGTCTACCCTGGCTCCCAGGACACTGGGAATCGAACCCGTGCTGTACCCGGGCAGCCAGCTTACAAATGCAATTTATGTGCTAACTGCTAGGCCAAAAGGTCCAGACCCATGTATCAGACATGTCAATTACTAGTAGTTAGCACCTGAAACCCCTCTGTTACACTTGCAACCTTCCTAATGCATTACATAAGTACACTGTTAGCTACACACTAGGCTATTGCACTAAGGTTGAAGATATTGGCGGGTACATTGTAGTTGAGAATGAAACTTGCCTGCCGTTGTAAGCAGGGTTGGTGGTGAGGAAGGAGGAAGCAGTGATGCTGGCATCTGGGATCTCCCCACTCTGCATGCCCAGTTCATCTGTACAGTACTCTGTAGCACAATGGAACATATTCTTTGGGTTAGCAAAAATGTGTGGTCTTAGTCTGCAAAATCTGCAATTTTTAAACCTACTGTAAGCAAAATTTCTGATGTTGTCAAGTTTATTGAATTTCCTAACTTTCCATTATTAATTAACATTATAGAATTAATAATTCTCACCCATACAATAACAGCATTCCTCATAAGGCTCAGGTACAACTAGAATTGAACCCTGGGAACAAAGAAATAAAGAAAGAATTATTAGTATTCAACACTTTTCTGTGTTTCTAAAAATACTTACCTCAAGTGTGACTAGAATTAGATGTGCATATCCCCATGCATTTTGCATCATTTAGAAGTCATAGTGTACCTCATCCTTGTATGATTAGCAAAAATAATTCATGATTTGAGTTTATTGAGAGGTATAAACATTTTAGTGTTGAAAGACTAGATCTGGCACCTTGCATTGTGTAGTGAATGAAGGAATAAAGGAAAGTCATGAAAGGATACCTCAGGGCAGCCTGTGTTGTGAATGGTGCAGTACTTCCAGCAGTAAACACTCCCGTCCTCGGTACACTCACACACATGGCACGGGCCGTCACTCCACTGTTCACCAACCTATACGGCATAAAAACATCAGATCATAACTAGTGTTCTCACCAGTAGCACATTTGAGTATAAGGGCTCAATGGGAGAAACAGTCAAAAGTTAAAAGTCTGAATAATTTTATTAACATTCGGACAAACTTGCATCATTGTATACACTGTGCAAAAGTTTTCCTTACCTCTTTCTCCTCTCCATTAACAATGCAAGCTTCAAATGTAAAACATCAAGAGACACAATATTTAGAGTTAGACAAACAAATTTTGTAACTGGTAACAACAAATTTTAATTAAGAGCTCTTTTGGCCCAAACTACACATTACATATATGACAAATGAATATGCTCCATACTTTTTTAGGAAACATCATTCTGAGGTAAGGAGTCTTCTGGGCTTTGACATTACTTTAAAGTTGTCTTTAATTTTAGAAAATCTGCACAATGAAATGAATGTAAATCTGCATGATTATAAAACTCACGTATGCAGTCCTCAGTCATGGTAAGCCTCATCCTCCTGTCAGATCCTGTACAGTTGGTACCATTACCCTGAGCTGGGGGAAAACCTGGAGTCCTGGGCAACAACAGAATAAAATTTGTCGAAACAAAATTAGAATTAAGGCCATGCTCTATCTTTCCTTGGTTAAGTTTGTTTAGGGACAAATCCTCAATTACATATATTTGATAGAATCGAATACCAATGACACACAAGAAATTCAAAGCAAACACAAAGCTACATGCATACACACACACACCAAAAACAATACCCTCATATTCAAGGTAAAAGGCAATATTTTTCTATTTAGGTCATAGAGGACACAATACTCTTTGTACCTGTAGGAGTACTGCTGTACCTCTGTACCACACGGTCCCACCACTGGTCCCCAGGACGACCAGTCCGACCACACACAGTCCACTGAAAACAGTACCAAATTGAATGTGCTCATTAAAACAGACTAACTACCTTTAGATGCATTCTTTGCACAGCAGAATTGAAAAACAAAGTAAAAACATCCAATTTGGTTTATTATAATTAATAAAAGGCCACAGATGAATTTGTGGATGTGGAAGAGCATTAAATTCAATGTTACATTAATTTTACAGTTTCAGTTTATAATTCAGATTGTTTATACATGTAATTAGGAAGGCAAATATCTCTGGATAACTTTTGCTAGTAATCCTCTATATTGAGGGCTAAGCAGTAAGGAAGATGAAAACTAGGAGAACATAGCGCAATGACCTTTCACAAAAACTAGATACCAAAGCATCATCCATGATCACCAATAGAAAACTGCTACAATTTTGAATACCAGTCCTGAATGCTACATGTAACTGTAGAATGTTTAATGGGTGAGCATTTAACTTTTTGTATGAAATTTAAATAAAACCCACCATCACATGGGTAGGTGTCCACACATCCACTCAGTGTCCCATTGATGCAGTAGCTGGAGAGGGGAGTAGAATAAAAGAAGACAGTTATACCCTAGATTCAAGCAGCATTAAAGTGAGAAGATCCCTTATTGAACATACAAAATACATGCAATCCTTACCAGTAGGGTCAGCAAATACTATCAATCTCTGGTACACACAGCAACATTAACTCTCAAAACTGAAGTGCATGTATACAAATTGATATTATTTAATCTATTTCTAAATTTACTGCAGACATTTGAGAGTTGACACTTCCCTGAAAAATGCAACCGTTACGGTACAAATTAAGAAACTTGATGTACCATGTTTCACAAGGTCCTACTGTTATGGGTTGTCCATATTCGTAGACGGCCCCGTTGATGAAACAGGGACACTCATTCTGACGCACACAGGTCCCGTTATACTCCACAAAACCATCCTTACAATAGCAGCCTGGATGGGCAGACAAAAACGAGTACAGTCTCAATATTAATATGCAGCTATAATTAACTGTGAAGAAAAGTGTCATTCATTCTCATCCTGTGCAGTGGTCTTTCAAAAACCTCCAGTAATTTAAAAAACAAGAGTCAGTACAACAGCATCTTCTTTCCACCATCAGGACTTCTGCATGTAGCTATAGAACTTTGCAGCTGCTGCAAACCAATGATTAGCCATGAGTGTTACAACTCAGACTATTGTTGATAGAAAAAAAGAACTGCGTGAGTATTAGAAAATTTCAACAGCTGCATGCTGGGGGCCCAAAAGCTATCTGCCACATCAAAACACGACCTATGCAATTATCAAATATCATCACACGATCTAGACCATCCTAAGTTATGATGACTACAGATAACTGCAAGTATAAACAGACAGACACACCAAAATCAAAATACCTTGGTTATCATGGAGGTAACAAACCCACCTGGTTCACAGGGCTGTGGGACGCACTCTGCCACCTGCCCCAACAACCCAGCCACCTCCAGACAGGTGCCAGGACAGGACTTACACTCATCTGCCTCAAGCCACTCCGAGTTCTCCACACACTCAGGAACTGTACATGTGGGGGCAAGATTTTGTAGAAATAAGATTTGAAAAGTTCACAAAAGATATTGTCTTAGTATCTCTACACCAATATGATTCTTAGTCATGTTCGATATCTATGAAATTAAAAAACAGTGAATTACAAAATTATTTTGTACAACATCGTCATGACAATAAGAATCCCTGACCTTGACAATCGGACCTGTTACACATGGCGTACTCCAGGGTGGTCATGGTGGCATTCAGGACATTGATACAATGTGGCGTCCCGTCCCCAATTCTGCAAGGTGTCGAAGTGGTGTAAGGTTAGCATGTGCATTAGGCTTTCAACAAATCCAAGAACAAATGAAATTGGTGTGAGCTAACGCGTGTGAGAAATTTGGAGTATGAGTTAGTGTGAGTGGCTGCACTTATTTGGCAATATTAATTAACATTCAGATAATTTGAAGAAATAAAACAAAGGACGGACCTGTTGCGACACATGCGGACACGGTACGTCATGTCTCCCAGACAACCATTAGTACATTCTGACCAGCGTGACCACGGGCTCCAATACTCCGCTGTGAAAAAAAAAACATTATGATTCTGAACACCGGCCACACAGTATTTTAAAGCTTCCATGGAAATTGCAAGGAATAATTATTCCACTTTCAACATCCTGAAATGGTTTTACTAAAAGAATACTGAATAATCTACGTGTAAGTCCAAATTTGGAAGAAATGCCAAGATATGATCAATTTCACTTAGGCCAACATTAACTACCAAAAATCTAATTCCAGACTTGACAAGCAAACAATTAAATGATTACATGATTACATGAAACAAACCAAAATTTTATCACCATTTCCTCAGCAAAGGTACTATAAAAACTTACGGCATGGCTCAACAAAGCACTCCTGTTGTTCCTCTGCGTCTCCATGGCAGTACTTGAGTGGGTCGTCGATGGGTGGTGGTGGGTCGGTGCAGAGGCGGGTTCGGGTCTGAATGCCACTGTCGCACGTCTCACTGCAGTCTCCCCACGGACCCCACGGTGTCCAACCACCTGTTGGGGAATAAAGTTTAACTTGTTAGAAGGAGATCTGTAGCTGCTTTATGACAAACAGTCAACTAATAAAGTAAACAATATTGTTCCAAGTCAACATCCACATGATATTTGGCCATAAGTAACAAGCTGTAAAAATTTACAGCGAGTTGTTATCTTCAAGTAGGTTACAAACTGTACAGCTTATACCAAACTTAGTTTTTCCATTTTGACACAAATAATGCAGTCTTGAAAATCATGTACGTGACCAGGCCCTAAGCAGATTCCTCAGATGATAATGTAAGGATTATAATTTAATAATTCAACATACCACAGTCATCCTCATCCTCCCCTCCTGGACACTGCATTGTCCCGTCACAGACCTGCTCAAAGTTGGCACAGCTGCCATCAGGACACACGTACTCTGTACAGGGGCCTGGGGAAGTACAAACAGAAATGTTAGCTGATGACAAATGACATAGCTAAAATTCTGACTCAGATATTTCAAACGAACCAAAAGCCATCACTACATACCTGTGCTAGCTTGTGCATTAGGACCTGATGTTAAACTTTTCAATCATCAAACTATACACTGATATTGAACTATCTATAAATATGACTTAAACACACACCAGTTGTGGTGAACATTGTTGTAGTTGGAGGCTGTGTTGTTGTTGGTGCTGTTGTTGTTACCTGCGTGCCGGCTGTTGTTGTAATGGCTGTGGTTGTTGTAGGTCTTGTAGTGCTTGCTGTGATGTTGCAGTGGAAAAAAGATGTGTGAGAATTTAAAGTACTAGATCTAATTACACTTTTCATAACTTTAAAAATATTAAGTTATGGTGTTTCTTAAGACTTAACACAATATTTATAATTATGAGTGGGCAAGTCTTGAAATTTTGAAATAAATTAAGAAAGTTCATATCTTTCATGTCATCATTTAAAACCAAGTAAGATATGCTAAACCCGAATTTTTTAGTTGACTTATCAATGAAAGCTATTCTAAAAGAAGACAAAAAAGGCAAACTATAAATAAACTAAGAATAAACTAGAAATATTAGACTTAATGTATTATCATCCCTACGTACCACACATGGTCTCATCCTCTCCATTTGCACAGTCATTTTTCCCGTCACACAGCTTGGTGAAGTTGATGCACTTTCCAGTATCACAGCGGAACTGGGTACAGGTCTCATCTGAAAAGGGCAGTCACAAACGAAAGCTTCAATTCTGTTTTAATGTCAGTTAAAATTCAAACTTTGTCCTGTCAACATACCAGAACTGACCAAGCTTACAACAAGATCAATAACAGTGGACACAGTTTACAATCGTGTGGAAAAAGAATATCAGACAGATAGAAAAGTACCTTACTGCAAACTTCATCGAACTCGTCTGAGCCATCCAGACAGTTGGGCAGGCCGTCACAGACATAGGTCAAGTTCAGACACCGCAGGCCGTCGTAGCAGGGGAACTCCTGTATAGCACAGGTTACCTGGCCTGGAGGAGAAATAACATCCTGGACTCAAGAAATTGAGCTTATGATATAAGATATGTACTCCTGAAATTGATAGGAAAACAAAATTCAAATCTAAAAATAAGAATGATTGATTTGAAATGTTTAATTTATCCTAGTAACATATTTCAAGTTTCCAAAGGATAACAATCATTAAACTTAGTTTGTGAGGGCTTCCACAAAAAAAGGACATAAATCTATGAAACTTTTTTCAGCTTCTTAACGAAGTATAATTATAACAGATAACCTCCTTGGTGGTGAAAGTCATGCTGCTTTAAGATAGGATCTTACAGTTTACTTCATCTGAGCCATCAGCACAGTCGTCCTCTCCATCACAGGTGTTGTTAGGATGGATACAGCCTGGCACAGTCGCACAGGGGAACCCAGTACACACTGCAAACAAGATATCAGACACTTCAGACTTCTGGTACATGGTATGCATTTTGAATTAGTGTGTTTGTTTTTTGCAATACACAACAAATGAGAAGTAACTTAGCAAGATCACCCTACCTGGTGTTGTTGTGAGGAATGGGGTCGTTGTTGGAGGAGGCTGTGTCGTTGTCACTGCAAAGGTAAATCAGCTAAATTAGATGTCAAATTTATCAACATCTTCCTTTAACAATGATGAAGGAATTAAACTATCTCTGAAATTGACTTTGACTTTATTTATAGTGTCTTTGTCCTTGGTGCTGAATGGCTGGTACCTCAGCCTCCAACAGTTTGTTAGACTGACTACATGTTATCAGCAGTCAAATTATTATCTACTCAATCAAGTAAGCAAGATGTTGAATTAGCCCTGTCCTTGGTGCTGAACAATGCATACAATGCCAACAATGCTTTAGAAGCAAAAAGTACACAATAAAATAAAAGCTTGCCAAGCTTGTGGAGGTTAATGTGAGCTACAATCTCTGTTTCCATAATACATATCACAAAAAGTAATTCACCAATTCAAGCTACAATGGAATGTAATTGGTATCATGTAGCAGTTTTGTTCAGTTAACTAACAGTAACTGAAATATGACAGGTATCCTACAGCAGTTCTGCTCGTCAGTTCCATTCTCGCAGTCGTTGACCCCATCACACAGCTTGTGGGGGTCGATGCAGGTCCCATTGGGACATAGGAACTGGTCCTGGTAGCAAACCTCCTTGCCTGCAATGTCAAAAAAATCAGTAAAATCAGAGATTTCAGACTTTCAAGAAGTGTTTTGTTTGGGTTTTCATCAAAATATTCGACCTGTAGAGAACACTGTGATGTAAAAAGTATAATTACAGTTACTTTAACAGTCAAAATGAATTCTAACTTGCACAATCTTTTTCACACTGACTCCATAATCTTCAACCAAGACATATATACTGGTAAAACCACCTCCCACTCTCTAGCTTTGCTGTTCTGGAACCCAAACATACAATACCCTTCCCCAATCAGAACTGCCCCAAACAATACTGCTGTCCAAGAAACAAAAACAAATAGATAATTGAATAAAAATAGATCTTACATATTTCATCCAGCTCATCGCTCCCATCCGGACAGTCGGGAATCTCGTCACACAGAACATCACCACAGATTTCAGTCCCGTCATCGCACACATAGAACTCTGTACAGGGAGTGGCTGGAGGGAAGACAGACAACAAGTTTTATGTTGTATACTGTAATTCACTTTATCTTCACAGTAGGAAAATTTAATGGTCTGAGGAAAATGTACATTTTCACAAATTGAAGTTTATGTTCATGGTCGCAGAAGAGTGAAAGGGGGGGTGAAAGACAGATGATTTAATAATGGTAATGATAAGTTCAGAGAAGTGAAAACAGTTCGCATTAAAGCACCATGATAAAAAAATTAGGAATCAAGGTATTCAAAGATAAAAGGTAAAGGCAGTCCCACAACTTTCTGAGGCTGTAAGAGCAGTTGGTTGGTGAACCAGATAAGCTGTACTAGGGCACAGAATCTAGACAACTTACTGGTTGGAACCTGAGTCGTTGTTGGAGGTGCAGTCGTTGTTGGCGGTACTGTGGTGGTCAAACAGTTGACTTCATCCTCCCCACGAGTACAGTCTTCTGTTCCGTCACACAGCTGAAAAACAGACAATCAACTTGAAAAATGCTGGAATGGCTGAACTAATTGAACCTATTTCACTACCTGTTGCCTCAGCATCTTCTAAATGCGTATAATAATTAAAAAAGAAATCACAGAAACGAAAACAAAGTCTTGCCTAAAAGACAAGTAATTTGGACTAGAATGTCTGACTTACCTGTGTGGCATTGATGCACTCATTGTTCAAACACTGGAAGTGTCCAGGGGGGCAAACTGTAAGGGAAAAATATTCAAATGTCTTTAAAACAACCAAATGGCCCACTGATTTCTAAAATTGAATCACACACATCAAACACCAGGACCTACTGAGTTAAACACAATAATATCATAAAATGCAACAATATGTCTTGTTAATTATCAACAAAATAGCAGGTGCAAGCAAAAGAAGATCTGAAATACTGGTATCAGACCATGCAGTGTCCCAGCAGTGGAATTCAACCAACCGACAGATGAACCAACTCACAACCAAAAAACAAACAAACACTTACTGCAGCCGACTTCATCAGACATGTCCCCACAGTCGTCGTGCCCATCACAGCGGTGGGTCAGTGGGAGACACTCTCCGTCCTGACAGTAGAACTCAAACGGTGTGGCACATGTGCTCTCTGGAATAACATGCATCTTTAATCTTTAAACTCTCTGAAAAAAGTTATTCTGCTACCCTAATAAAAAATATATAATACATACAGAACTTGGCAAGTTTCTGACTTGTGTACATGTACATGTATGCCACAAGCTCTCTAAGCACAGGTCAGTAATCGTCAGCCTTTGAAATACAAAGTGCAGCCTTTTTTTGTCTACCATTTTTATTTTCTGGTCTTCCTGACCTTCTGTAGTGTTGTGTTTCATTTATCGCCCTGTGTAATTGAACTAGAATCTTGGAAGATTAGCCATTTCAGAGCTTGATGCCCTTGAAACAATGATTCAGAAGTAATTCTGATACCTGAAGCAGGATATCTGACACTTACCACACCCTGTCTCATCAGAGTGGTCATCAAACCCACAGTCATAGTCTCCGTCACACAGAAACTGGATGGGGATGCAGCGGCCGTCAGCACAGGTGAACTCATTATCCTCACATACTGGGGGACCTGGGGATAAAATCAATCAATCTATCAATCTCAACTCATCCACGAACTGAGGCAAATGACTTTTTAAAGACAATTCAAAGTTTCAAACTCTACTACTGAATGAATTACGGAGATTACTTCAGGATGTTTTGAGTTTTAAGTGACCTACGTCACCCTTCTCCAGCGTCACTAAAAAAACAAGGCAAAGGAGATTCTTCTGGCACATAACAAAAGATTACGGCTTTATAGTAGAAAAAGATTTTTTTCCAGGCCTTTTTCTATGTGGATGGTTCTTCGATCCTCTTTCAATTCTGTACTAAATTTTAAAGGTCCTTACCACAGTCCTTCTCATCGGAGGAGTCTCCACAGTCCAAGATGCCGTCACAATGGTACTCGATGGCGATGCACTGTCCACTGTCACACTGGTAGTCATCAGGGCCACAGGTACGAACTACAGACAGATGTAGGGAGTTTAAGTGTCAGGGCTACAGTTAAAGCAGCTACATTGTAGACTGAAGCATTTCACACTAACTGATGGTTTCCTATCTTTCTCTGAGGGAATAGGGATTTACAAATTGCCAAAAGTATAATATAATCATGTCTATTTATCCCATTATAAATCAGGGCCACAGTCTGAAGAACTCAGAGACATTCCTGAATTATGATAGAAATGATGACAATGACACTACATGTACATGTATATAGCTACAATGTATAAGCAGAATGTAATTTGGATGATGCCCTTCTTTGGAAAAGCTGCAGTGGACCATGCCTTAGCAGCTCGAGGTTGAGAGAGTCAGAAATTGATCAAGAAAGACATACCACAATCCACCTCATCACTGTCGTCTCCACAGTCGTTCTCATTGTCACAGACCCAGCCAATGGGAATGCAGCGCGCGTTCTCACACTGGAACTGGTTCTCAGCACACGTCACCTCTACAAGCACAACAAGGAAGCAGACATTTTACGCTAAGTCTTGTGGAAAGGAGATATCATGGTATTTGTCAATGAATTATATCATAGAGTGGATTATTACTCATAGCAGTGCACAACGTACATGTAACTTACTTGACTACCACACAATCCCCTGTAACTCTGGAACCCAAACAGTCAAACCCCCCTAAAGCAGTACTACCCAAAACAATACTTCTGTCCCTGAAGTACTTAAGGGGAAACTCATGTTTTTCTTACTGCTATGGCAATAAATTGAAAGTCTGTCTTAGTTTGTATCTTTTAATGTTATATTAAAATCAATGATACTACAATGTAGCTTGTGTGATTTAACTAGGATATAGACAACTACATGTATACCTGGGCAAGCCTCTCCCCAGCATTCAAACCGTGCATCAATACAAGTGCTGTAAGACAGATGTATGATGTTAGCAGAACAAAAGCACAATACAGTTATATTTATAATAGAGTGGAAAAAAGGAAATCTAGTCCATTATGGCTAACCTTAAAGTTGTGCCAGGTTTAAAAATATGATTGTCAAGAATAAACTAACCAGTTGAGACAGTCATGTTGTATGATGGTGTTTGCTGGGTAAGGTACGCCATTCAGGTAACATGGGCACTCCACGGCCTCAATACAGTACTCGCCTGGAAGAGACCCCAAAATGTTAGAATCAGATGAACAACAATGTAGTTATAAAGACGTCAAAAGACAGTGTACTGGCACTCTCATAAGGATCTGGAGTGACTTCTGTCAGTTGTATCAAGAACCATGCATATGCTTTTACAACAAGATTGGCTTGATCCTAACTCAGGCATAGGAGTAGTAAGATTAGAAAGTTCAAAGGTTTACAGATTATTAGGAAAAGTGTAACTCTGCAAAAAAGGAAAAAAATATTTCTAAACCATAATATACTGAGAGTCAAAAAGTTCTGACCGTTTGCGAGGTATCCCTCTGGACAGAAGCATCCCTCGGAGCACTCTCCCTCCACACAGTACCAGTCAGGCTCATCCCCGATGTTCTGACAGTCGTCCTGGCAGATCGCACCACACGCCTCATAGATGTACCCATTGTCACACTGCATGGCTGTAAGTGTAGGGAATAATATGCATCTATATGCTTCTGATTTCGTTTTCCTTTTAAATCACGTCTACATTATACATCCTGATATTATAGCATCCAAGCTCTGGTCAAGCAATTTAAGGTAATAGTCCATATAACAGGGGTTTTTCTAAACAGGGGCATAGAGGAGCTGCTCCCTCATGTAACCAGCCAGCTCCCTCATATCAATGCTCAGGTTGAACCCTAGGTGGCTACTTACACACCATTTAGTCTTTCTCAAAATGATCTTTTTTCCAGTAAAGATGTAAAAACAATACAACAATGCATTCTAGCACTACAAACATAAGAAAATCCCTCCTCGGTCTCTTCACTCCCTCGCCATGCTTGTGATCTGCTCCCTCATGCTAAATTTTTCTAGAAAAACCCCTGATATAAGAAAGTTTGCAATATTAGCTTATTGGTGAGCTTGTCTCCTATGATTGTTTTTGCCAAAAATGTTTTTGTTGATTTGAAACATATGTCAGCATTGCATAACCTGAAGTTCCAGGATGTATCTATCATGGTTCTGCATACGGGAAAATGATACTGATATCGCTTTACAAACATGCTCCGCGCAAGTCACACAAACGAAATTCTGTAAAAAGGCAGCTAGTTATGGATTCATTGCAGCCTAATCTATTGGTAAATAGCACTCCCTTATGGACTTTAGGACTCCTTTAAGTTACAAGAAGTCTTTAACGCTGGCATCACAGAACAAGTACTTACGACAGAGTTCCTGGGACCTCCAGCGGATGTAGATGCCAACTTCATTGCAGGCTTCGGCATAAGTAGCAATGGCAGTACACAAACACTCGCAGTCACCACCTGAGTCACATCTGTACAGGAAAAAACATGATATCATCAGCCACAATGATATGTATGTGCAAGTCTAACAAGAAATTGGATATTTCAGACTTCTGGCAAGTGTTTTTGGTTTTTGTGAATGTATAATATAATCTATATAGAAATTATAAAATACTCAACTAATACATGATTTATGTTTCATACCATGATGGCACTGTACACATGCATATGGCAGCCTCATACAACATCCTATTATCCACAGCATACTGGGTCAAAACCCTGAAACCCTATCTTTGCCAACTCATTTACAATAATAATAGTTGCAAATAAAAATACTCCTTACTCAGAACTGGATATATTAACCACCTGTTATGCAGCTTGAAATACTTCCATTCCATCCATGATAAACAATGCTATTCATCTACACTGCCAAACTTACCCACAAGCATCAAAGATACACCACTCCAGATACTGCTCATAGGCCACCACATTGTGACAGGCTGAGAACATGTCTCCAGCAATGACAGCACACCTCTTCCTGGCCCAGGTCTCTCTGTTCTCGTTGGCCTGGCAACAAAAATTGTAAATGCCAAAGTTTAAAACTCTGCTTTCTGCAAAGACACAACACTAATGTCCCCATCAAAAAGGAAAATATATAAAACATAAATCATTATTCCATCCTCTTCTCCTCGGTACATTAAACTTTATACTAAGTAAAAACTAAAAGGCTCCTAGATCTATACGGGATTTTGAGAACACTCTTACTTAAAAGCACTGTATGAGGGTTTTGAGCACTACATGGGGGTTTTGAAAACACCTAATATTGAAGAGCACTACAGGAGGGCTTTGGGAATACTTGTTACTGAAAAGCACTGTCTGGGGGTTTCATGGAGGTAGGGTAAAGTCTGTTCATTGTGAGTTCCATGTTACCTGACAGGGGTGGATGATTTCATCGTGATCAATGGTGGCACAGGACTCGTCGATACGCCAACTGTTGCCGAACAGGTCCGAGCGTGTTTCGATGTTGCCCTGGCGTGTGGTGAAGTCGTTCTCCACATCTCCGTCAAAGTTTCCACACAGACCGACGACGTTCTGTTCGTGCTGTGGGTCCAGGTTGATGTAGACTCTTGTTGCTAAAAACAACAAAATAGAGGAGAATTCAGACTTCTGGGAATTCCTGGTGACCTCATACCACATCCTACCACCCAGGGCATACCAAGTCACAACCCTGTCAATCAACTGATACCTAATCTTTGTCCACTCACTTCAAATAATATCTTTTCTCTTCCTTCAATTTTACTTTCGGTTCACAAACTAAAGCTTGCAAGTTAGGATATGGACTGTTGCTATATTACCAAACAGTTACTATTATTACCATGGCCAATTGCTACCATTGCTATGGCTACCATTGCTATGACTACCGTTGCTATGGCTACTGTTACTATGACGACTCACCTCCATCCCACTTGACCTGCAGGCCAATCTGTGCGCTGACGATGAGGAACAGGCCCGCCTGGTGGATGACGATGCCCTCAGCCTCGAAGTTGGCCGGGATCGCCACGGGCTGATCATTCACAGTTACATCCTTCCCTCTCAGGAGGTGGATCACAATCCCACCGATGTTGATCGTCACCGACTTGGTGCAGGTCACTCCGCTAGGGGTAGGGGGCATCGGTTAATGGCTTATTTGAAAGATAAGTGTCTGATTATTGGTGGCTTTGCACCCTTATATGGTATGTCCCTGAATATTAACGTTTACAATATATGCAACTGTATAACAGGTCATTCCACTGTAGGGGACACTGTAAAATGCATTTACCTTTTCTGTGATTTGATTTTGTGGTAGGAGGGAAAAGGAGGTTTTCAGTGTTTGAAACTTGCAGTTGAAATCTGTAGCAGTCAGCAGAGGTTATTGTGAAAATAAAACCAGCATCAAAGTTTCTGCATTTACTATCTACTAGTTGTTTAGAACCTTGTATCACAAAAATTGGCATTGCTCTTTACAGATTAAACTTGTTTTCAAAAGGTCCCACATTAGGTGCTTTCACAAGTTGAACTTGAATGTAAAGGTACAATATATGCTGTATGGAAGCTTTCTGTTAAATTTGTGTTCAAACTTGCAGATTTTGTAGCCTTACCTGGTGCCACAAGCAACGTTTTCAGATGTGATAGTGAAGAGGTTGTCGTTGTGCTTGGAGAGGATGTAGTTACACTGGCCCATGAAGGAGAAGAACTTCCCGTCAAAGGTGATGTAGTGAGGGTCGCCTGAGGCCAGGCAAGTTCCGTCACACTTCTCCCGTGTACAGTCCCAGTGCTTACCCTTACAGATGCTGCAGAAAGGAACATAATGCATGTTTAACATGTATATTTCTTCATGATTGTGTAAACCAAAAAGAATGCATCATTTTGTACTCTACTGCAATACAACAAATAGCAGTTTAGTCCTTAACTTAAAAGATGATGAAGATGAGTACTGTGTCTAGCCTGAGTCTACATCATGCATATACCAAACCTTCCATTGATCAGGCCCCTAGCTAGGTTAATGGCTTGATGGCAAAGACATCTAAGTCATGAGAACTGGGAACATCTTAATCCTGTTTATTGTGTGCTAACATGGAGCAATTATTGTAAGATTGACAAACTGACCAAGTATTACAGTCACGTCTGATCTCCTCTCCCCTCTGGTACTTCTGACCTCCGTGAGTGCAGGGGCAGTTTTCTGGGCTGACACACTGGTCACCCTATCAATAAACAAACAAACAAACAAACAAACAAACAAACAAACAAACATTAACCTGGCAACGACACAAAGAAGCGAATGTTACAGATCCTAAACTAGAGCTTATAGCCTTGCAGTCCCCCACTAGCTGCCCTTTTGTGAGAAGAACAAACATTTTATAGGCCTGGTCTAATTGTCCTGGCAACAACAACAAAAATTGCCTGGTAACCCTGACAAGTTACAGGTCTTGTACTTTTGCTTTCATTTGCTGATGACAGGGTGGTCTAGGTTATTGCAGGTCAGTGGACACATGGCACATACTACTTTAATTGTACACAACAAATAAACACACAAACAAACAAACGTACCTCCAGCACCATGCCAGTTTCACAGGCGCACCCCGGGTACTGCTGCACCTCGTGACAGATGACAGGGTGGTCCAGGTTGTCGCAGGTCAGTGGACACTGTGACACAAACTGTTTGTACACCATGTTTCCTGGACACACTGTCAAATCCTCACAGTCTGTGGTGGTGCAGTTCCACACAGCCATCTCACAAACACTGCAGAACAAACAAGGAATAGGATGTTTCAGAAGTGTTGCAGATAATTGAAAGTATTTGAAATGAGTATTATGATAATGGGGGGGATACTAGATAGAAAGGATTATTACTCATAGTATATCATATATAGTATATCGTGGCGTCGTGTGGTGTAGTGGTACATCACTGGACTATGAAAGGGGGAGACCCGGGTTCGATTCCGGGTCGTACCCGAACAAGTCCGAACATGCGCCGCGACGTTGTACCCTTGGGAAAGGTACTTTACACAATTTTCCTCACTTCACTCAGGTGAAAATGAGTACCTAGCTTCGGTTAGGGGCGTCTTATCGGATGGGACGTTAAAATGGAGGTCCCGTGTTTGAGAAGAGACACATCTCAAGCACGTTAAAGAACCCACGTGAGCGGAAGTGGAACAAACCATTATGGTCTAAAAAGGGGTAGGGAATTTTCCCGACCAGCCTCGTAACCCCTGCTTGTCCTATTGGGTCAGTTAGTCCACTACTTGTGAGGATGTTTCTGACTCAGGGAGAAGAGTTGCTGTTACAGTTACAGGCTTAGCTCTATGCCTAGAAGTGGCCAATGGCCTTGCATTGAGCGACACCATTAAAAAAAAAAAATCAGTTGTATCACATGTTTACTCCCATATTACACAGTACACATACATGTACCTGGCAAGCCCATACCACATCTTTCCACCCAGGGCAAACAGGGTTAAAACCCTGTCAATCAACAGTTATGGAATCCCAATCTTTTTCCATTCAAATCTAATTCCTGCTCCTCAGGATTTTTAAATTGCAACGAAAATGTCATCCATGCAAAAAATAAACAGCTCTTGCACATAAAAGTGCTAAGGATGTTGAAGTGATTTTTACCATTGGTTGCAGCCCTGCTTGAGGGTTGCCCCTGGTTCGTAGAACAGGTCTCCATTCATACACTTGCACATGTCTGGCTGGACACATGTACCTGTGTCATCCAACACCAAACCTGGGAAATAGATAAATAAACATACAAATGAACAAACAGGTCTTAACTTACATACTAGCAAATATATGTTCAGTTTGATACACTTTGAAACAATACCTCATCCCCAGTAGGATTCGGTCTTTATGAGTAACAGAATTCAAATACAGAAATGTTCAGACTCTGATTACATTTTAGCACAAATAGTGGTCCTGTCCTTGGTGCTGAACACTACAATACAACACTACTGGTGGCTCCTTTCTTGGTAGCCCAGTTGCTAACAGAATTATATCATGTAAGAGACAGGAGGGTTACCTGTAGGGCAGTTACAGCCTGCGATACAGGGGATCTCAATGCCCATGGTGTTACAGTCATCAGCATAGCGCAGGTCACTACAGGTGCTGCCACATGGACTCATACACTCACTGTACACCTGGCCACCAGAACAGGACGGGGCTGGACAGAAATAAAACAAATAAACAACAGGATCGATGCTACAAGTGCTATAAACTGTAAAACATTCGCTCATAGTACACAAGAGAAAGTAGATGAGAATGGAGCTACAATGTTAACAGGCCTAGGGCTAATGATTTGAAACATTTTGCATATACCTAGAATCAGAAGTCTATTATACAGTTAAATCATAATCAAGCACAACAGTAATATGACAAAGTAACAAATTTAGTAAGTCACAAAACTTTTACATAATGCTGGAATTCCATCTTGTTGTGCTCTAGTCAACTTCTAAATGTCCACTACAATTGTTGGTGGGGTTGCATACTTGCAGAAGCAGACTAGATCGTGAAATATTGTAAAATCAATCAGATTAGCAGATTATTTCTAATAAGCTAAAGTTGTATATTATAATAACACAGCACTATCATAAATCATCTAACTTGACTAAATCTACAAATCATTATTATCTAATGTCGTTACTGTGCAGAGAATCTTGAGACTAAACTTACCGCAAATGTCGGAGATGTCTTCATGCTCTCTCCAGTTGATGAACAGGTCTGTTCCAAATGACTTGGCACACTCGGCGGCGTAGGCAGCGATGGCGGAACACAGGCACTTGTTGGGGTCCTCACAGCCACAGACGTCATATTCACACATCTTGTAGTAAATGTCAACATCAACCTGGAAAATACATGTACAGAGATGTAAAACAGTGTAATTTTTACCAAATTCTACTACCTACAACCCTTTGGGAAGGCCTGGTGGAGACTAAATCTTTGAGCAAAACGTCAATGACATCGCAATTAAACTCAGCAGAGGTATACAAGCTTCCTAGCACCTCTGACTAACCGCTGATGTCACAAATGTTTGTAACTAGAAGGTCAAATACCCTTATGTCAAATTATTTAACCTGTAGAGATGGCTGAAATGTGATGTTATTTTTCTTTGTTACGGCATGGTCACAATCATCGTAGGTCATCATACAATTTTGCTGCCACACAATTTTCAAGCAAATTGTGACAGAACCAACTGCCGACAATGATCTAAGACTGTCACAGCATTTTTTGTGACAAGATTTTGCAGGACAGAGGACAACTTGCCCAAGAATCTCCTCAGATTGTGATTGTATGACATAAATGACCAGGCCTTTACATAATAGAATACAATCCACCAACTGATGACAAAGTGGATATGCTGCCTCTGCATTAATGTAGTCCCCAGACCACACTAACAGTTGTATGTATGACAAACCAAAGATAATGACTATAATCTATCTAATCAACGGTGCAAGGAATCTATTACACAGTATGCAAAAACAATCTTTAATCTGTCTGCTGGCACATGATTGAAGGTGTAACAGGCATGTTTTTCTTAATACAAATTTAGAAACAAACAAGAATCGTTACCTCAGCATGACAGCTACTGAAGATCTTGTTGTTGAGGAAGCTGCACTTCTCGGAGGCGTACATGAAGTTTTGTGAGTAGGTCACACAGGGGTTGAAGTTCTCCTGTGACTGGTCCACATCTGAACACTCAAACCTCATCTGAAGGGAGAGATATTATATCTTAGGTTGTAGCAGAATGTTTCATTGGTTTGGGGGGTTACTGGTTCAAATCTCATTTCTTCTATTGCACTACAGGAAAGTAATTTCTTTATGTTACATTCGAATTTTGTCTGTAAGGAGGCAAATGTATATTATTTTTTCAAACACAGCAACCACATGGTGCGTTTCTTAAAGAAAGTGTAATATTCTACTACCACCTTTCACTTCTGCTACCTACCTTAAACTTGTTGGCAAATGCCGTCAGGGATGTTTCGATGTCCCCTTCTCTTGTGGAATACTCGTCTTCTTGGTTCCAGTTAAATGTGCCGCACAGTCCACGAACCTGGGAGGAAAGTGGAAACAAACAAGATTTATTACCATTCATCTCATTTCATTTTAATTTTATATCATTGCATTTTAAATGTTAATAAGCTAAGGAAGCTGTAGAAGAGTTAGATATAAGGACGTACCTTGTTGGAGTAGACTGGGTCCAGCGTGATGTAGGCACGCAGGGCGTTATCCCAGAGGATGGTCACACCAAAGCCCTGCACCATGGTGAACATGGAGGACGCACGCTTCACGTACAGGTCCTGACTCCTGCAAGGGATCAAACCAGCATCGTGTTAGGCCCCTGTCCTTGGTGCTGAAAACTTTCTACACATGCAAACAAACCTGTCCTTGGTGCTGAAAACTTTCTGCACATGCAAACAGACCAGTCTTTGGTGCTGAAAACTTTCCTCACGTGCAAACAGACCTGTCCTTGGTGCTGAAAACTTTCCTCACATGCAAACAGACCTGTCCCTGGAGCTGAAAACTATTCACATACGTGCACACATACACACACAGACAGAGAAACCTGTCCTTGGGGCTGAACACTATACGCACAGACAGACCTGTCCTTGGTGCTGAACACAAGCATACTCAAACAAATTTGTTCACTGAGGGTGAACAGTGAACACTGACTACTGACTACAACACTGTAACTTCACCTGTACGGCAGGACTGTATCGATGCCATTGACTGTGACCTCCTGGTTCCTCTTGAGTTTGACCGTGGACAGGTACATGGTGATGGTGATGGACTTAGCACAGGTGACCGCTCCACCGCTGCCGCAGACCTCTGTCTCCACGGAGATCGACAGCTTGTTGTCGATATAATCCTGTAGGAGAATGGTAGTCTCATTTTAGTGAAAGGTACAGAAATACATGTTCATGTATTTTACAAAACAGACACTATGTACAGTGCAATATGTACAGGTTCCGATTCTCCCAAGTATGGAGATATTTGGAACATATAATGCTTGCAAGGAGTGACACAGATAAGTTTCGAATTCCATCATAGCTTGAACGTCTTTCTTGTTCCTCTCTAGTCACTGAGAATGAACATGTTTGTGACTGGCTTTCTAAAATCTTAACCTTAAGTTACACTAAGTCTTCTTGTAACTAGTACAGTGATATAACTAGTACCCGTTCTTGGTGCTGAACATTATCTCTATTAGATACACACTGAGACATGTTATTGGTGCTGAACACTATCCACACACACACACACACACAGACCTGTCCTTGGTGCTAAACACTTTCAGACATACACACACACACACACACACACCATTTCAGTGATGAAGGTTGCCAAAATTTGTTTGTTAGCCTCAATGTACAAAATGTACATTCAAGAAATCCCTGTTCTTTTCAATGAGTATGATTACTAGCAGACTAGAGGAACCATTCTAACTCTCAATTTCCTATCCAAAGAGTCAGAACTAAACATACAAAAAGACATTCAAGTAAAAGAAGATAGAGGAAAAAATTACCTCGACCAGTGTATATTCACAGACACCCTGGAAGGTGAAGTACTTGTTGTCAAAGGTGATGAAGTGAGGATCTCCCAGGATGTGGCAGGTGGAAGCACACCTGTCCTCTGTACACGTCCACAGACCCATGTTACACACACTGGGGGGATGTAAGGTGTCATGTGTTACATGTAAGGATTGTTCAGGTGTAGCAGGTACACAGACCCATGTTACACACACTGGAGGGATGTAAGGTTTAAAATTACCGGTAATGTGTTACATGTAAGGACTGTTCTGGTGTAGCAGGTACACAGACCCATGTTACACACACTGGAGGAATGTAAGGTTTAAAATTACCGGTAATGTGTTACATGTAAGGACTGTTCTGGTGTAGCAGGTGAACAGACCCATGTTACATACACTGGGGGGATGTAAGGTGTCAATGTGTTACATGTAAGAATTGTTCAAGTGTAAGTGGTACACAGACCCATGTTAAAGCACTAGGTGCGAGAGATCATACTCTTTTTGATAAGAATGGTGGATTTTTTAACATGCTTGAGGTATGGCTTGATTGCCTGAGGAGGGTGTATATAGTTTGTCTGATGCAGGTAATTCAGCACACAGTAATAAAAATTTGCCAAGCCCTGACCTACCAAGTGTTACATCTTTGCTTGATTGTTTCGCCAGATTCGTAGCGCGTCCGGCGATGATAGCACGGGCACGCCTCCGCCTGTACGCACTCTCCATCATCCAAGTACGTCCCCTGAAGGTTAAACAACAACCAAGGTCAAGATTCATTTTCAACTGTAAAAATGCACCAAACATTCTCTTCTTCAAATTTCTTTATTTTCTAAGGAAGCAGCATCTGCAATATGTAACTTGGGTGATGGTTTGGTTCATCTGTAAAAAAAATACTTGCAACACAAGGCTGACTTTAGGTTTAGTACCAAGTCAATGTCTAAAAATATGAAATAGTTACTTCAGTTCAAGTTACTTCATTTGACCTCACAAATATTTCACATTATCATTCAGCTGTGTACACAGAAGGGTAATGTACAACTCTTTAGATGGCCAGATTGGCACTCAAACTGTATTAGTCTGTCCCTGTTTCTGAGAGTTTTGGAGAAGACCGTACCGTGGGACATTCACATCCTGGGATGCAGTCCCCGGAGCAGTAGGGCTCCTGCTGGAAGTTCAGGGTTGCACAGGTCGAAGGACACAACGAGCCGCATTCAACATAAACCTTTCCATTGGGACATTCCTTTTCTGAAAGTAGAAAAAAATTCATTCTGTTAGTATTAGAGAATAGATACCTAGTCAGAAATAACATACAAATAGATAGAGGGTAGAATGGATTATTAGTAATTTACTCATACTATTGTATGACATAACTTACTTGGTATTACACTATGTTTTATGTCATACCATGATTACACAGTACACATTCCTGGTGACCTCCAACCAGGGCATGCTGGGTAATAACCCTGTCAATCAACTGAAACCCAATCTCCACCCACTCATTTCCAATCCTTGCTAATGTTGATAAGACTGATACCTATAAACTCCAGCACTGCCAAAAACAATACTTGCCATGTCAAGTCAACTGGAACCCCAAATCTCCATCCATCCTCCACTTTATATTATTGCTAGTTAAGACAGGATACATATAAACTCCCTCTAAAACAATACTTCCTTCCCAGAAGTATCAGAAGAAACAAACCACACAGTCCAGGTCCTCTCCAGTTGAAGACGATGCCCTGCTGTGCACACTGGCGTGAGTAGGTGGTGAGGGCGGTGCACAGAGCCACCTCACGATCCTCCTCATTCTCCCAGGTACAGTAGGAGTACATACAGTCCTCGTAAAACTGCTGCGGGTCAAGCTATATAAAACACGCAGGAAAAACCATTAGTCAATCATCAATCAATTTACTAATTTCTGTCCCCTTAAAATGGCTCAGATTTTACTGAACAGACACAAACACTTGACAAGAAACCATCAGTTGATGAACATTGCTAATCTCAGAACAAGATGATTTCGGACTGGTAACAAGTTAGCTCAAATAAAGTACGATATTGCCCACATAATCCCAAGCAATATGTTGTAATAATCACAAAACTACCATCACTCACATTCTCACTGAATCACTCATTCAATCACTATCCAGTTTAACGTCTGTTATTTGTCATCTTCCTAGGGTTAGACATGCATGTACACCAATGCTCAGGCTTACACACTTATCATAAAATGGATAAAGCTTCTTTGCACTCTTGGAGATACCATTCATATAATAATTGAGGAGAGGCAGCCTACTCACCACACCATTGCAGCTGTCGAATGGTTGCTGCATGAGTTTCCCGCAGGCCAGCTGGGCAGCCTGTTCCCTGTCACTGTGCTGTACACACGTGTGGGGGAGGGCTGCGCTGTCTGGACAGTGCTGCAACACAGAATAAATAAACAAGTAAATAAAAACAACAAAAAAAGCAAAGAAATAAATGCTGCTGGGTACGATTTATCTACTAGTACTATGTAATGCAGGGAATGAAGGGATACATATAAAATAGGATTTTGAGCAAGGATAGTTCTCGTCCTTACCTCTCCGATTTCTGGAATCTTCCAGCTGTTTCCAAAGATAGCAGGATATACTGCGATCTCGTTGTTGATCATCTTGAAGTCATCTGCAAGAAAAGGGTACGATACAACCTGTATTCTCAACTACACATACCAGAATTACTAACTTTGAAAGCAGGTAGGAAGAAATTTGAGATATGTGTTCATACAGTAGAACTGTTGTAGAGGTGAAGAGGCTTTACAAAGGGTTTAATAGTAAATACAGCCATTCAACTTACCATCAGGGTTGTAGTTGTAGACCCCACACAGACCCCTGGTCTTGCCCATGTACTCAGCCATGACTGTCATGTACACAGTCGACTCAGTGTCCCATTTCACACGGACACCGAGACTGGCCTCCAGAAACACAAAGTCTCCCAGCACCTTTAGACTCACACCTGGGGAAAAATGGAGACGGTATTTTAATCTAATCTCAGCTCACTGAGATCTATTCTCCTGTTAGTTGTGACGAGAGACATTAAGAAACAAGGGTACAATGGATGACAACAACTATTGCATATACTTGTTATTTGTTATAAATGAAAGTTTACCACATTTTACCACAGATTTTTTTAAAGTACACATTGAGGAACAACAGCAACAACAAGATTAAAATGAACTATTATAATAGTAATTACTCCAGATAACTTGATGAACAGACAGTTCTGTATCTAAAAAAACATACAAAAAAACATTGACACAGATACCAACCATTTCTGGAGAAAGGTTCAACCAGGTTGATCTGTTCTCCATTAAACACGATGCTATGTCCGGCCGCATGGACAGTTGTGGACCCCAGCTTCATCTCTAGAACCTGACAACATAAGAAATGCCTCATATGAAAAAAGTTACATATTGTAGGTACCTTACTAGAAAATTTATCTGTGTTTGCCGTAATACCTTTGAAAGGAGAAGGAAACTGGGCGTACCTTGTGGCAACTTGCTGCTGAGTCACAGTCTACGTCACGTACAGTTACAGAGAACGTGTTGTCAACATCCATGGCCAGCATGTACGCACACTCGCCTGTAAAGCTGAGCGAAAGGGACAGAAATTACAGCTTAAAGGCTGATTATATACAGCTTTAAGGTTCACAGCCACTTGTTTAAACAGAGCAGATGTTTCAATGACCGTCTCTGGCGTCTGTCATCTTCATTAGGGTTCACAATTGTCACACTCATTGCCAATGTGCTAAGAACAGCACATTTGCCACAAAGAACAGTTAATAAACTAGAAAGGTGCAAATGCACAATGTTTACCTTTGCATATGGCCTGCTCTGTTAATTCATACTCAAACACTTCATATACTATTATTATATAATCAGACAGGAGTCTAAATCCCTCCTGCTATAAAATTGCAACATGATGTAACCCAACACTAGTTATCATGGTGACAGACATCTGGTTCAGGTCATTTGGAGAAGAAGAAGAAGAGGAAACAGGGCAAAAACAATATGTTTTCCTTTGGTACACATTAAGAAGACATAATAATAATAAATAAGTGCATCACTCAGTAATACCTGTAGTGGCGCCCATCGAAGGTGCGGAAGTGGAATCGCCCCCAGGTGAGGCAGGTGGCGTAGCTGTGGACGGAGTGGGAGTCAGCAGCTGCAAACCCCGTGGACAAGGCGTTGTTGATGTCATCTGAGGTTGTTGGCAAAGGTGGTTACTGTTAGTATCAAATTATGAAATTTCTTGTCCAAGATAGAACTAGTCCGCAACAGTTGACTGTCACCAAAATATTTTGTATTCTTCATTCAGTAGATACAGCATAAAACAGGATATAGCCCTGTTCTGAATAAAATGCATTTCAGTTTTACATTGGTAAGTACCGGTATTTAATTTGTTGGATCATGTTGGCGTAAATGTATGTAAAAAGAGAAAAACCCTAGACCAGACACTTATAAATGCATAAATTTCCCAAGGCCTTAGAGTGCATAACACAAATGATACAGAACTCTGCGGCAGCGTAAACAGAGACCCAACAACGTAGCTGTTATTACAATCAATATGATCGATGTGATCGATGTGATCAATATGAAGGTGTTGTCTGATGTACCAGCTGGATTCCGTCATCTGTTGCACATCAATAACATCTTTGTTGTTTTCCTTCCTGTCTTTTTATAATTTCAATGTTCACACATTACAGGAAAGAGAGAATGAAAAATTGATTTATTCCGAAGTTGAAAAGGAACTGCTGGTTTGGACTTTGAACCCTGCTTGGATTACACAACTTTATTTTCTCTTATCTCAGATTTTAAAGAAGAAAATTAATGTCAAAACTGGAAGTTCTGCTGCTTCTATACCATAGTCATAGAAACCATAGCAAACTTGGGGGATCTGTAAAGCCGTATCAGTTAGATCCTTTTAATTTGCCTTATGAATATGATATATATCTGCCAGTGAGTCTTTGGTTATCTGCTAGGAGAGTTGTAGCCTGGTTACCAAACCTATTATAGCTCCCGAGTCCTACATCCTCTCCGCAAATATTTGCGGAGAGGATGTAGGACTCGGGAGCTATAATAGGTTTGGTAACCAGGCTAGGAGAGTTGATGTTAGTAATATCTGGACTTCAGGCTCTGATTTTATGTTGATCCTTGAATTCAGAATCCCTTTTTTCTTTAAACCTGAGAACTTCTAACAGATAAACTGAGGCCTTACCGATATTGCTGATAGCCTGTGGACAGAGTGAACAGCGGCTGTCATCTCCCCACGACATGGCGTCAGCCTGGGTACAGCACACCTCGTACGATGTGGAGTAACCTGAGAAGGCCGCGTTGCTGCAGTAGACGTCGGTGTAACAGGTACCAATGCCACTGGTGTCACCTGGTCAGAAATGTCATGTTATTGAATGTTTAACCCTCAAACATTTAAACCTGGAGGGTCATTTTCAAATTCAAGGACACCAGTTGTGTCTACAAAGTGTCCAGTCTGGCAGTCCCCATATACTAGAAATTTATTTATTCATTTATGACAATTTACCACATTTGTGGAAGGATTCACATAACAGGTTACTATCACCTCTTCAAGATGTCAAACCTGAGACCAGACTGTAAGTGTAAGGTTTGAACCACTCACACCGGGAGTAGTTAAATGCTACAAAATGTTTCTTGAAAGTGATGACTTAATTTTCATAAAAAAAGGTTACAAATGAACTTTATTTCTAACATTAGGCCACACTGACTTGATTATACAATCATGAATGACATCTGCCTGCTCATGAACTTTAGCCTGTTTACAAAATAAACCATTTGTGACCAGACTGTTTCTTGAGTTGCTTACCTCCCCACTCACACTTGAGTCCGTAGTATCCAGGTGGGCAGGTGCAGGTGTCAGGGCCACTGCACACACCTCCATGCTGACAGGTGTAGGTGCAGATGGCTGGGGGGGGGGGAGAACATGTTTTTTATTGCTGTTTCATCGGAAAACAATAATTACAGAACAGAGAGATGAGATATTTAGATTCTAGTAACACACATCTCTTAACACCCTGTCAATCAACTTAAACTCAATCTCTGCTCACTCACTTTTGACCTTTGCTGCTCAGGGCAAGATACACACAAACTGCCCATAAACCAGTGCATGTGCAGCCCAAAACAATACTCCCATCCCATGAGATATAAAGCTGTGAACTCACGCTGATCACAGGCGAGCCCCTCCCAACCCTCGCAGCATCCCTGCTGGGTCTCCTCCACCATGATGGTCTGGGTAACCGCAGGTCTGGAACAATAACACAACTACTATCAGTTAACACAAACGACAGACAAGACGGTCACACCCCCTGACCTACGACATGGGTCTTTGCAGAACAACACACAGGCAGATGTCTTTCTTTCCACGAACTGTAGCTGAGTGGAACTCCCTGCCTGCGGAAGTCGTGTCTGCCCAATCCTTAGAGTTAGACTCCTTTAAGAACAAGCTGGATAGCTTGCAGTAGCTGACATTTTCTGACACATTACATCAACATGCTACCGTGACCTCTGACCTCACCAACCAACCAAGTGCAGCAAAGCCATCAGTATGTTGATGTTGGCCGCCAATCCACTAAGAAGAAGAACTTAACTAACCAGACCACTAAACCATTACCATAACCCATTAACTTAAAAAAAGCACATAGCTTATAAACTCATAAGCACATAGCATATTGAAGTTCATTTTATCAGTTTGGATGTCTTATCTTTCGTGAGGATATGAATGGAGGGATCTGAGTTGCCTGACGCCTAGCCAGGCGAGGTATTAAAGCAGGCAAGGTAGCCAGGCCTGGCAGGTACCCAGGCTTTTCCGTATACCCCATACTAAAGGTGCCCTGTAGCATAATTTATCAGGGCATTAAAAGTAAATCTGGAAGTATTCTGAACCATGTAATTCGTATGATATTGACACATACCGCCCAAACTTAGCACATCTGCATCATTATTTCATACTTCAGACGTTTGAAACAGTTAGGTAACAGCAGCCCAATCCTGCCAGGAGGCGCAATTGCAACCCAGTGTTTTTCTGGATCCTCCCAACTTGCAAACTACAAGAATTTTTCAGTATATTTACTCACTTGAAGTAGACACAGGTTGTGGAGTCTGGGTCGGACGATTCGGCGTCCAGTTGCCACCCCTGAAAGACGGTTAAAAACACGACAGTCGGAGAAAGAAGACGACAGAGTAGCTCTAGACCACACGCGACTTCGTAAACTAGATGGGCCAGTCCACTCCGGCTAAGGGGGTGAGGGTCATCCCCCTTGGGATGGGATAGTAGGGGTAGGGCTTGGGACTGTCCAGTAGACCTCACTTGGGGAGGGGATGAGGATTAGTTTCACACACTCAATCCCGGATTTAATAGATTACAGAGAGGAAAATTAGCACCTCTATAATATATTATTGGAGAAGTATTTAACACTGCGCTGAACCAAGGTATCCTTTACATCGAGAACCGTGCCTATCTAGTTCTATACTTGAATGGGCTAGGATCGTCAGGTACGGTTATGGATAGTCTCCGCTTATCCAAGAAAGTTACACGTGGACTATCCAGAACCGCGTCTGAGCATGGTTCTAGCTGGTTCAAGCACGGAGTCTGTGACGTCAGTACGTCAATACGTCACCTCCAGCATTAACGTGACGACGTCGCTGCAGGGCGCGGTGGTGTTCTCCCGCGGAGTGATCTCCTCCTCCTGCGGAACCGTCACCGTCAGGTCACAGAAATGGGGTCTACGGGACAGAAAACACAATCAAACTTCGTGTTTGTTTGTTTGTTTGTTTGTTTGTTTGTTTGTGCCTTTTATTCATACTCGATATATATATAGATATATAGATATAGATTTAGGCCGCTTTTCGTGGGGGTCGAGTACCAAAATGTATGTTTCAAACAACATAAAACATCAGATTCAAACATTTGAAAATATTCATTTTAACTTCCTCAAAGCACATAGCGGTTGTTTCTGGAACTGCAAGATCGTTATTGTTAAACTCTTTGAAAGGGGGCAAATGAAAAGGGCTGCAGTAGATGTTGTTCATAACTGTCTCGAAGCTCTCTTTATCGTCTTGGGATGTATTTCAGCTTCCTATAATATATAACATCATTTAAGAAACGAAGCTAAATTTTGATGGCGACGAGAATCGAAAGGTATGGTACTTACTCAGCTTTTACATTGTGGGTCAGCAGGGTTTGTCCTAAGGCAACGGCCACAAGAAATGCCGCTGCAGTCGGGATGGATGGTGCCTTCATGGCCCAACCTGGAGCACGAACACACGAGAAGAATGAACCAAGTTAAGAAAACTGCTCAACACGAACAGAACTGTTTTACTTTTCCTACGAAAAAAACAATACGAACATCTGTCTCGGAAAATCAATGTCTTTTAACCCTCGCTGTTGTCATGATTTCTAAGTGACATCTGGAGATTGCGTTGATAATTTTCACTGCGACACTGGGCGTCAGAAATATTGACTAGTCGTCGAGGGACTAGCTTGTATAGATCTCAAATTGGTCGTTTAGTGTTCGACCATCCCTTTGTACCAGTATACATGACAGCTGTACTCATTCAGCTTATCGATGGTTGGAACTTGTGGACAGCTATCAGTGGATCGCGATGAGCCAAGAGATCTAACGATATCGAAAAATTCTCTTCTGAAGCATTTCATGTCAAATAGTAAAAAAAAACTGGGCCCAATTCGGGTCCGTAACCGCTGTCCACAAGTTAAGAGAAACTTTGTGGAACGTTTTCTTAAGTCACTTATAGTCTCAAGCTATGTCTGGGCTTCCCAACACTGTCGTAATCAAGCACTAGAGAGTTGGTCGGTAAATTACAATTGTCTAAACAAAGAAGAAGAGATAGAAAGCGTTAGTTCAGTGCCCAGAAGTGATCCATGTGGCTTTGCACTGAGCAAACACGTAAAAATATTTGTCAATCTTACCTCGTCTGTTGGTATACGTTCTCACTTCTCTCGTTCACACCGTTGATCTGAATCGTTTTCTGAAAGCTTGTTTAGAATTAAAACTATACAGTCTTGTAGTCTTCTCGAAGGGCTAGGTGTGTCTTCAAGTCTCCTTGAAGGCCGGTGCCCCTCTTCGCCCGTCCCTGTCTCGCTGGGCCTTTTATACCGTCCCTCCCAAGATGACGTCTGTCTCCTTTGTCTCCCAAGTTGTTGACGAGAGGAAAACTTTTGTTCCCCGCACCAGTTGTGCGCACAGAGAGAGAATGATGAACATTTGACGCCTCACTGATTCGACGAACATTTCTAAAGCCCGGTAACACATGGCGACACTCAAAGGACCATCGTATCGATGTTTTCCCTTCCTTTTGCTGATTTTCCGTTATTCATACTTTGTGTAAGATTGATTATTTTATGTAAAGGTCTTTTGCAACATCCTGTTCCTTTTTACGTGCAATGTGAACAATCTGAATATTATCTAACATTTGCTGGCAGGATATTTCTAAGAAGTTTCCAGAATCGACAGGGAAAACTGGTTTCATTAAAGAAATGAATGCCATATCTGTAAAAATGTGGAAAATGATAACTTACAACATATCCATGACATAACCCCGGGGTTATTAATAAAATAGCCACTGCATTCGAAAAAGAAATCAAAACCCTTAGTTATGTAGTACTATGTAGAAATTTGGTCACAATACAACGGGACTTTATTAACATTGTACATGTACCATAAAACGGTTAATGAGATAAATCACATCAAACATTCTTACGCTTATTGATAAGTAAAGCGGTTTCGTCTGGTGGGATACATACATAATACTGGTTACAATTTATGCAAAATTATAATCCACTGGCAAAAGTACATACATGTGCGTATATTATAACTAAAACTAGTGACTGTCATATTTGAAAAAATCGCAATACAATAACTGATAAGGCCATTTACAAATACAGTGCAACGAGCGAGTGATCAAAAGTGATCAAAAGTACTTTGTGCCTTACAACTTTGCAACCTATACATTAGTATACCTGTGAGTTAAACTTCATAAAGTGTATTTCCAGACCATCCTAGTACAATTATATTGATACTACAAGTAAGTGGGTACTAATATTTCTAAAAGCTAGTACGTCGGGACTTGGATCCACGCACGCAAATAGATTTTTAAATCATGCTCACATCACAAAACACATGTATAGACTGTCCCATTGCCATTAACATTATCATACAGTACAATAAAACAATATACAATACTTAAACATCTAAAGTATGATTATTTACCACTAAGTATTTACTTGACCATGTTTCAAATAACATGTTTCAAATGTACAGCAACAATTTTTTTTTTCAAAATTACTATGGTGATTTTGTTCAGCATTTACAAAATGCATCATTTACTATTGTTCAGTAGATGATTATTTTGTTTGAATTGCACATCGTTTCTCGTACATTTGATTAAAGGAAACCAACTTTTTTATTGCTGACAACAGTCGAGTGTACAGCTTTGCTTTACCCTTTCTATCAACGAAGCCTTTTCAAACAACGTCTACTTCCCTTAAAGAGTGAGTGAGTGAGTGAGTGAGTGAGTGAGCGAGCGAGCGAGCGAGCGAGTGAGTGAGTGAGTGAGTGAGCGAGCGAGCGAGCGAGCGAGTGAGTGAGTGAGTGTTCAGACGATGTAGTTCAGCATGCTGTTCCAGATATGTTTATACCCCTGGCGGATATTTCTGTTCATAAGACCATACAGAATCGGATTCAGAGCGCCGTTCAGAGCCATCAGTACCTGACCTACAATGAAAGCTTCGCGCGGGACTCGGCTGGAAAACATTGCCATTGTTATCAACGGCATGTAGCAGACTGTGTACACTGAGAACAGTGTCATCATCATTCTGGTGAGCTGCTTTTCGGCGGCGTTGTTTGGAGAACTGTTGCCCAACTGACCAACACGATTCTGTTCCTTATCTGTATCTACCCTATCGGACACTGTTTTGTGTGAGTGAACAGGCCCATAGCGGGCATTCTCCTGTTCTTCTTCATCAACTGATGGTGGATTTTTGCCCTGAACAAAACGATTCTGTTCCTTATCTGTACCTACAGACACTGTTGGGACGCTTTTGGTTGACTGAACAGGCCCATAGCGGGCATTCTCGCGTTCTTCATCATCATATGATGGTGGATTTTTGCCCTGGCCAACACCCTCGTGATCTTTCTGATCTGTCATTGGGCGGACATTTATGATTTGGACACTTCCCCTTTTATCCTCCTCATAATTTTGATCCCCCATCGAAACGCTAGTAGTACTGTCTTCCGGGGTTTGGGACGATTTTGTCATTTTGGCGGATGCAGTCCCTACGAAAGGGCCTCTTTCGTCTTCAGTACGAGTAAGGCGTGCAGCCAAAGGGTTCGCGTGTGCTCCTACTCGTTTCTTACTCTTCCTTACATGGTAACGAATGAGCGCGTACAGGGTGATGGTGGCTATGAACGGGCCATAGAAAGAGAGAATGGATGGCACAATCTTGCCCCATAGATTTGGAGATGCTCCCAAACCGCATCGTTTCAGCTTTGGGTGAACCTTCACTTCTTCAACAACGTGAATGGGCAAAAATGAAACGGTGGGAATCAACCATGTGAGCAAGAGAATGATGAACAGGACACGTTTGGATTTTAGGTACACACTGTTAGTACAGACCATGAAGTATCGCTGAAGGGCGATACACGCCATGTGACAGCTTGATGCCCCCCATAGGACTATAGTGACGTAAGACTGAAGCCAGCACAGCGCCCCTGGCGGTTCCCAGTCGGGATGCAGGAAAGCATGGATCAGAAGAGGGGCGCCGAAGCTGGAAGAGAGGATGTCTGTACAGCTGAGGCTGACCAGAGGGGCGTTGACCAGCTTCCTCAGGACTGGGCGTGTCCAGATGGCGAGGACGGTGAGGAGACAGCCAATCAGAGTCACTGCGATGATGACTGTAGGGGTACATTATAATCAACATTATCGAAAGGGCCATGCTACATTTCTGCGTATCGTCATTGTGTATGAGTGTTAAAAAGTCGTGCTTTGCTCTCTGAACTTTCTGTCACTCACATGAGCCAAAAATGTACATTTTTTGTCGGAAAAAGCAAACAAAAACTATTTCACGCAATTTTGAAGTGGTGTACGTCAAAAGGGTGAATGATGTACTGTGGACATGTATTCAAGGTATCACCATACCAAATATTAGGTCATTCGGATTTAATACCAGGGCTCAGATCCCAACATGTACATTTATGCCTGAAAAATGAAAAGAAACTAAAAACAGTTTTAAAAGCCTGTATCAAATAAAGTTTAACTTCTACCTTCATGCCAAATTTAATGTCATTTAGCAAAAAAAAAAAGAAGAAATTGAATCCATTTAACGAGTGGTAGGAGGAGGAGGAAGTGAAAAAGAAACACGAGCGGAAATAATATATTTCATCCATACCATGGTATGGACTGAAATATAATCAATCATGGTAAAAAAATCTATATACATAGCAGAGAAGTGAAATGGTAATCTCAGATACATACTTCCCAGGATAGTAACGACGACGTAGATCCAGCCGGGTGTCTCCATGAAGACGACTGCGTCCCTCTTCACGCTGATACACAAGGGGATAAAGGAATAGTGTTGAATGTGACATCACTCACCTTTGCATTAACATAAAACTACTCTTAGGCGCCTTTGATATATAGTAGATACCGTGTTCTTTAAGGGAATAAAAGAATAGTATTGAAATGTGTGACATCAGTCCCCTTTGCTTTAAAGATAGAGCGACTCTTAGACGCCTTTGGTGCAAAGTAGAAGCGGATGAAAGCTTAACATGGCGAGGACGTTCTTGAGCTTTCACCCCATGGCGGGGACACGCCGCGTTCTTTGTGAATATCTACTCCTTGATATAGCCTGTGTTAGACAACCTCTGTCGGCCGGAGGTTAATGACTCCCACCCCAACCTTCGGGGAGCGCGGTTTAGTCAGGCTACTCTTTGATATACCAAGCTTCGGTAGCGGTTGGAAGGAGTAGAAATTGGCCAATTAAAGCTAAATAGACAGATATGGAATGCCAGGGGAGTTGGTCCGCTAAGGAGTACATTTGTCGCCTCCCTCACCTCGCCTATCTTTGATAGCACATCACCTGACCGTGCAACTGACTTATAATTTATATCATGACACGAAGTTACATTTTATGACTAAGCATGAAAACAGTCAATTTACCACTTATGGATATAAAGCAAGTGTTTTACCAACCTCTTCAAACCTTGGCTGCTGTCATTTCAAAGTAGATGGTGCATGCCCAGTACCCTTTTGAGGAGCTGTGAACAAAAGCTTTCCTCATTCACAGGAGGCAGCTATAACTGGCAAAACATCCGAGACGAGATGTCGTTGTCCATATATGTTATGAGGACGGTGTCCCCAGGTACACGATATTTCAGTTAATATTCACGTTGCCATGACTATATATGCCTAGGTGTCCAATCAGAGAGTTTTTAAGCCACCCACATAGACCACTTGAAATAATAGGCAGTACCTTCCACGTAATCCCAATTAAGACCCATTGAGAACCAGACACGACAAATTGCTGTTCCGACTTTCATGAGGAGATTCTACCATTGTTGCAGACGCTTGCGCTGTCTTGTTGACGTCAGCCGGAAGAGTTACCGGAATTTTAGATGCCTTCATTAAGAAGCTTTTAAGAAGCGGGACAGGTGCATACACCACTTGAAATAATTGACAATACTTACATTAAGAAGGCATCTGGCAAGACACATAAGGCAATTAACAGAAGAAAGGAGGCAACCATATCTTTGATAGAGAACACAAAAGGGAAATCATAGAAGTGTCTAATTAAGCTACATGAATACACGATAATGGAAAAGCATTTTTCACTACAGGAAGCAGCCTCTGTCTGCAAATGTTTGCAAAATAATAATTCATGAGAAAAGGGAGGAATTGATGGTCAAGTATATGAGCATATGATATCAGGTATGACGGAGAGGCACTATAAGACGCACATAGAGGAGTAACCATGTTATATAAAAGTGTATGACTGATATTTTATAAGGAAAGATGCTTTATCTCGCCCCTTGTCCGATTAGAAGACCCCAAAAATGTCAACTCCTCATTGTGTTGCTATCATTTTAACGTCTGATTCCACATTGTTTCCGGGTATGTATTGTTCGTTGGTCCTCCGTCGCCTGAAAAACAAAGTATGTTGTTCTGACATTGGTTTCATTTGAAACCCAGTTCTCAGAAGTGTAATATAAGAATACGCAATGGTGAGAAATGCCATTTGAAAAGTTCGTCCTAATTACAAGGCGTGCTAGCTTTTATTACCTAACAGCGTGTTCCCATCCAGCATTGATGCCAAAGAAGGTTTAAAAGTCTTAACAGTCTAAAACAACCTTTGCCGTACAAAGATTACCCCACAAATTCATTCAGATTACGCGCGTGCGGCGCCGTATGACTGGGTCATTGCGATTGCTTTTAATCATAAAACCCACAAGGTCAAAACCTCTTTTATAAGACTGACTGTTGCATTGAAATAAAGTAAATCATCACTACAAAGAGTAATGTTAAAGCGTACCTTCCGAAGTGTTCAGCTTCCTCCGAGGTCTGTGGCAGGGGCAGTCCGAGCGTCTCCGGTAAGACGAGCGCCAGAGCGCCGGCGAGACAGGCGGGAGCGCCGAGGATGATCAGCGGTAACGGTCCCCACACGTCCTTCAGCAGGGCGATGAAAGGAGAAGCGATTCCGCCGCAGCGAGACCACAGGACCGACACGCCAACACCGACGTTCCTGGACATTTTTATTATTCAGAAAAACAGTGATAAAGTTAGGGACGACGTATATTCTCGAAGCCACTTTTACAAAGAATAATAAAGTTATTTTAAAAGGTATTTAAGAGACCTAGGTGAAAATGTTTGGATAGCCAGAAAAAATCTGATATAAAAACCAAATGATCAAAATTTCTTTGAAATAGATACAATATGTAGGAATATGTGAAATGTTTGAATAGGACAATGTACTTACCTAACAACAGTAGGGTAAAGTTCTCCAGTCCAGATGTAGATGATGTTAAAGGCTCCAGCGGCGCCAAACTTCCCAATCATGACAAGGGTGATCGTCAGTGGCGTCAGATCTACAGATAGATAATTATACAGTATAAACAGCATGAAAACATTATTAGGCAATGCTTCTTACAACTGAATGAGTTACCATGTTTTCACATAAGTCTGTTCCATTTATAATGATAAAATTTGAAATCTTTTTAATGATATACGCTAGTCAACACATTTAGTTGCATCAGAGTTTGGGACAAATCTATACGGAGGAAAACTTCCAAAGTCATGCAAAAGTGTTCAAAGTCCTATGAAAATTGATACCGAAAGGCCTCTGAATTCTATACACATTGTCATTTGAAGGTTCTCCTCGCAAGAACGTTATAATCTGACTAAAAGCAGTAATAGCTAAATCGGTACAAACTTTTAGATACAAAGTTATATATTTACGTTTAGGAATAAATGCGGCAGCGACACACGCCACCCCTCCCACCACCATGTACAGCATGTGCGGAACCCGGCGGCCGAATCGCTCAATGACGACACAGGACGACAGATATCCCGGGACCTCCACCACACCGGACAGGAAGAAGTTGACGTAGTCGTCTCCGGCCAGGTCCGAGGTACCGAGGGACAGTCCGTAGTATAGGATAGTCACCACAAACCTGCAGAGAGAGAGAGAGAGAGAGAGAAAGAGAGAGAGGGAGAGAGAGGGGGAGGAGGAGGAGAGAAAGGGCCCAATTCTACACTGCGTTAAGACAATAAATTACATACGAAAATTGCTCAAAACTCGCCCGTTTTATTTTGTATCAGGCATCGAAAGGTTTTAAGCAGTCATCTTTCCTGCACGGTAGCCACTTATTACACGTACATGTATTATTTTGCATACCTACCAGTTAAAGAATATGAGGACGGATTTCCTCAGCATGTTCGGAGTACGCACAAGGTCCAGGGCACTAGGCTGGCCTCCACTGCTCCTCTAATTAAAGAACAACATTTTGGAAAAAAACGTTCATGTACTACTGTTACTCCGTTTAGAACTGATAAAGTATAATCAGTGGAAGTTGACAACTATCATAGTTAATAGATGTCGACATACACACACGTCTACAAAACAGTAAAAGTAGCACCAGACAGTTACTAAATATACTGTATTTGCCGGATGATCTTTCTTACATGAAACCAATGACGCCGGGGGACACGGTAAATGTGACAATATTTTTCAATTTGTGACACAGACATGCACGTGTATCTGTTGCTGTTGATATTGCTGTTATAGCGAGTAGATTTTGTATCAGTGATTACCCGTACGCGTGTCTTAACGTCTAGGTCTAGATCAGAGGGAAGGGTCTTCCCGTTTCTCTTGGCCATCAGATGAATGACTTCCATCGCCTCCTCTACCCTCCCTCTGGCGATCAGCCACCGTGGAGACTCAGGGATCAACCTAGTGTTACCGATACACAGCAAAGGGTTAGAAATTGCACTACAATTCCAACAAACCCATCGAATGGACGTTAGTAGAAAGGTAACATTTGCGAAGCAAATGCACAATGTTTACCTTCACATGGCCCATCTTAACAAACTACTACTACAAACACACTCATATATATGGTGACCATGCAGCCCCTCTTGAATTCAATTCTGCATAGCACTTGCAATATTAATTATTATGTAACCTAACACCAGTTACCACGGTGACGGACGTCTGGTCCTGGTCATTGGCCTTTTGTTCGTAGGAGAAGAAGAAGAAGAGGAAGAAGAAACAGAGCAAAAACAATATGTTTTCCTTCTGTGAAGGTAAACATAACAATACATGTACCACCGTGGAAGGAAACCCTCTTTCACGATTACGAAGGCAATGATGAGGCTCACCACCAGGACAGGATGGACACCGCACTGGGGAGTGTGATGGCCAGCTGTAGGAAGGTCCACTCCCGAATGGCGTAGGCGAGACCGGCTAGCACCATGATGGCAGCTGCAAAGGCGAGTTCTATCACACTCCCGGCCAAGGCACGCTTGGACGGCCCGACAATCTCCTGTCCTGAGGAATAGACCAACATTTTGTCAGTGTTTCATCTTTTAACTTTAAATGTCATCTAGATGCAGCTTCAACCCAAAGACGAATACGTCCTATAGGCACACTCAGAATTTCTTCCTTACATTTCTTTTTGCATCCTCCATGCAAGAGTTACATGGATAACAATTATTTTTCCTTTCACCTACAACACACTCTCGACGTAGCCTCATATAGCAATAAATTTAAAGCACAGATGTTATGAAAACGTAATGAAAATTACCAATAACAAAGGCGATCATGAAGACCGGGTAGGCACAGGCTCCCACTAGGAACCGCAGACAGACAAAGGCCGCGTAGCTGTGGGTGAAGGCATTCGCCACGCCGAATATAACTTGTAGACTCAGCACTATAAAGAACGTCAACTTTCTTCCATACCTGGAAAAAGCAATTGGAAATCTGGACAATTAACAGTCAGAGCTCTATTCAAATAACTAACTCTTCGGACACACAAACACATCGTAAACAAAACCTCCATACATGGAGGTAAATATTGAGATGATAACAATTCACTGTTGCTATAATGCTGAAAACTATTAGTTACATGCAGGTCACTTGCTAACTGTGTACCTTGTAACTTACTAGCTTACCTGTCTGAGAGATCGCCAAAAAGAACTGCTCCACAGAGCACCCCTACCATAAGAATGGACTGTGCCAAATTGTTCAGCCATTTTCTGTTGCACACTAGGTCAAACTGCAAAACAAGTATTTAAATTTGACCTTGAACATTCTTCACTAAAATTTCAGGTCCACTCGAGATTATTTAAGTATCATTTCAAAGAGTAGATAATAAGCTTTCTAATCATACAATTAAAGTGATATCGTAAAATTGAACGAACAAAATCAAGTTCTCTATAAACTATTTTCTGTTAGGTTTAGCAGGGAATTCATAACCTCCATTGTGACGCTGGTATGGAACTGTGACCGGTCGTACTCCCATCCTGCATCGCACCCTGTGATAGAGAGATTGGTCGCCATGTTGAATGTTTCAGCTGTGGTGTTGGTCGGGGCCAAATTACTGTACTCGTCACTGAGGTTGTATCTGGAGAGAGGAAACGTGAAAATATTTCTTGAAATGATAAAAATAGTATCTTTGCCACGTTGATCAAGCATGTTTTAAACATAGAGAACACAAACAAAGCTTTGTGTCTACAGCACTACAAGGGCCAAGGTTTTGCATATATGAACTCAACAATAATTGTTCCTTTCTCCGGCATGATTTATAGATTGTCGTCACATTGTGTCGTAATAAAACCATAAAATCTCTGGACTTTGATATGTACAGCCTCTGAACGAATTTCATAAATCAAAAACAAATCTTTCTTTACGTTTTTTTTTAAACTCTAATTTTGTCTTTTAAGTCACAATTTCTTGCATCATATTTTATTTGTAAAACCATTGGCCTCTCAATGGTCGCTCAGTGATTGCCATCTAGCGGAAAGGGCCGGGATTACAAAGAAAACAATTTTGGAAGGGATAAACATTACTTCCGAGCACGACAAGCATGCGTTTGATATCGATAGCAGATCAAGTTACATGTATAACGGTTGGCGTAATATACTAGTATGTTTATTTTAATCTCTTATCGTATTTACGTACGTCTTTTTGGGCAGAGTCTACAATCTTGCTGGCAGTGCACACTCTCAAATACTTCTCCCCCATCACATTAAACAGAAATGGGCAAACCTTGTGCAACTGCTGTGCTGCCAAACACCGTCTGTTAGCTCCCAAGGAATGGTTGCATTCATCCTCTCAGCCCAGCTACCGTTTCGTTGCAGCAGGTCCATCAAATCCAGTTCTGGCGTTGCACAGTAATGTACCGGAGTGGCCCCAATAAACACCATAGAGAACATGTGCATACAGCACGGTATGGCTGGGAGATACACAAGGAAACACCACCATATCTGATATGGCCCCAGCTCTCCAATGTGCTTCTTCAGAACTTGGTCAAAGTCCGCCATGTTGGAATGCTGACCATGAACTTCATATGGCTACGTGACAGCATGAGGGACCGTCGCAGAGTATTGATGTCTCTCTTAAGGGGATTAGTTTTACTCGGCCTCATGGACAGGGAATACTAGTTAGTAGTACAATAGATTTTCCATTACAATAAGATAAACCCATTAGAAAACAATCATTAAAGGCATCATGATACATATTTCAAACATCGGGTCTTTAGCAGTTTAACTCATATTTTGGTCGTTGATAAAAAGATCAGTGTAGACTGTTTACCTCGTTGATTTATGTATATCTACTTGCAGTCTTAGACCTTACGAAAGTCGCTGCACTTTTGTTGTGTCAATATAGTTCCATTTATCTTGTGTGTACAGTGTCTGTCAGAAGTAACTATGTATATAAAACACTTTTCTGCATACAGCACTCTCAGTAGAAGATACACTGAGAAGCCTACGAAGGTCTGGCTGCCAGCCAAGACACCACCAGGCCCTGACCTAATTTTGTATCTCCTAATTCTGGCCATAAATAATGTTAACAGACTTTACTGTCACTTAAAGTCCCAGTTAACGGGGCGTGACTTATCGTTTGTGGAGACACTATAATTATCTCTCCTTTGATTTCACACCTTGTTACCTCTCAGCAGTGCCCTTTGGCATTTCAAAATGTAAGACAAATAGTGCTATTTAGTGGGAATAAGGGCCTACTGTATACTAAGACTAATTATTATACTGTTTTGGGCCATTAGTAGGCAGCATTCACTTCAAAACATAACTCATTGGTACGTATTTTCCGTCATTGGTTGTTTTTGTACTATATTCCCACGGAAGAGTACACCAGTGTGCCATGCTTCAGGCGGGTCTTCATTGTAACTGCTTAACCCATGCAGGCGCATCGAAGGTCATCCCTTCTTTGTCCCTTGACTAGAGTCTGATAACATGAGGGGAGTCACGTAATGTCCTTTCTGTGAACCATGTATATCTGAAAATTTGATATTTTAGTCTATAAAGATACGTGTCTTCACGTTTGTGCCAAATTTCAACTCATCCTGTATAGAAGAATTTAAACTTTGATGAAAACGTGGCATTTCTTTTTGACTTCCCCTGGTATGTTTAACATCCGTTTAAATCTGAGGACTTGCCTTACAACTTATCAAACAAAGCCTGTCTAAATCTTCGCCTTTTCATGTTCAATCAGAGAGTTGTCATTGCTCACAAAGGAAGGAGCAACGTGTGCGAAATACGTCACCGGTATTACGTGTTGTATTGTCCGTTTCTTTATATGACTACTGAGATGTTATTAACTGTCGCCAGTGGCTATTTTTTTCTGGACGCTGCTCCATTTTGTTGTAACTCAGTGCTTGTATGGAAGCCATTTTGCCGTGTAACGAATATGTTGTAGCTCCTTTACAGTCTTCTCTGTATCTACAAGTTAGTGTTTGGACTCTCAAGCTACACGTATAGCAAGAGACACCCAGACAAGGTAATGCGTGTTAAAAGAGTTCAACTCTAATATGTACAGTGGGCAAGGAGTGCTATCAGTAGTGAGTATCAGAGATCAGAGACGTGTATCAGAGACGCCACCCAAGGGCCTTTGAAGTGAACACGTGGAGGCTAGCTGTAGATTAGGTTCTAATACTATCGCCATACAGGTGGTGGATTATACATGTAGTATTGAATGGACGTTACACTACAGTCAAGGACACCACACAAGAGACCAAGATGGCGGCCGCTGACACTGGCTTTAGGCAACAAGTACGAGAGGAGTTTCTTTCCTGTCGGATTTGCTTCGAGACGTTTCGCCAGCCGAAGATACTCCCCTGTGTGCACACTTTCTGTGAGAAATGTCTCCTGAGACACGCCGGGAGGCGACAGAGCTTCAGCTGCCCGACATGCAGACGTGAAGTCACACTGCCACAAAATGGCGTCGCAGGTAACAGACGTGCATTCTGTCCAAAGCATTTCAGTCTAGCAACCTAGGCAGTAGTCACGGCTTTCGGCTATGATTTAGCGAAGTACGCAAGTAGAGGATTGTTTGAAATCAAATCATTAGTTTGGAAAAAATTCCTTTTCTTCATTTAAATAGAGTTAGGGCATCTGTTGTTGACGATCAATTTGGACATTTTTAAGTCTACCTGCATTTTCACGTTTAGGTTTTGAATTCAATGATCACATTTGCCGATGAGACAAATGTTGTTTTATCAGCTTTTCTGAAATGAAATGTTGAGTTGAATCAAATATGCGTACATAAATGTAGTATGCTTCTGTTATTCGTTGGAACAGGTCTCGAAGACAACCACTTCATAGCAAGTCTCACAGAAACCTTCAAGGCGACAGTGGTGCAGCGTGGAACCGACCCGGCTGCCCCGGCGGATCGGTGTTTGGTGCACCCTGACCAGCTGCTGAACCTGTTCTGTGGCCGGTGTGAGGTCATGGTGTGTGGGGAATGTGTCAATGAAGAACATGACGGCCATGTTGTCACAGGTAAGGCGTTTTCCTCCACTGAACACCCAGAGACATCATTACTTAGAGTTGTGTAGTTCAAATTATTATTGTATCGTTGTCACATTTGTCAAAGTTTTTACACCACAATAGGTAACCCGGTTTGAATATAGGTATTATTTTCTTAAATGATGTGATATTTTTAATGATACAGCTTTTAGTTGCTCTATGTTTTTGCTTAAAAAACACGAGGGATTGATATTTATATCCCCTGAAATAAATGAAATACAACAGAATAAACCGGTGCAGCAGACGCGCCACGTTTGTTATGACAAAAATATTTGACCACTTTAAGGTCTTATTTTTCACTTCAATCTAAAAGTTTTTTCCACATTTGCAGGGCTGCGAGGAGCAACAACCCTGAGACGTAAGAACATCTTTGCTCTGCTTCAGAATGGACGAGAGCAGACAGAAACGCTGTGCGACCTTCTCCGCCGAGTGAACTACGCAGAAGGGGAACTCCTCAACAGCCACAGGAAGGCCAAGAGTGACATACACGACAGTGACCGGGAAAACACTGGTGAGAGCGACACCAACTTTTCGTCTGCAGAAGGTGAACTGGACGTGAAGCTGAGCAGGAGAATGGCGGAGCTGCAGACGACAAGAGGAAGTCTACTTCAGCACCTGGGCGAACTAGCCGCCGCTTGCGAGCGCGCTGGAAATGTTGCAACTGAAGATGACTATGACATGCTCTGTGGAGAAGAGGACAGGCTCTCTGAAGTTGTCTCCGAAACGAGAAGGTTCGAGGTACCAGAACTTTGTCTGTTCTATTTTATCCCGACCCATGCAGAAGAGAACGGGGGTGAAAACATCGGGGAAGTCATCATGCCGCTCGCTGGTCCGGCGTACGCACCTCCGTCACCGGGTGTCAGTAGGAGCCCGTGGCACACGCCCCCCTCACCACGCTTGAACAGAAGCCCTCGCCTTTCCCGAAGACAAAATCGTTCCCATCAAAACACCGAAGTCGGCGGTCCAGGGTTCGAGCCCGGTCGCTTTGCCGGACCCGCCAGCGCGATCATTTCTGACAGTCTCGGCTACGTAGTGGACAGGGGAAACAAGAGGATCCAAGTCTTTAACATGGAGGGGGACTTTGTATCGGAGTTTTCCACAAGAACAGTCGGAGATCGGAGAAGCAGCATTCCAAACGGAATAGCTGCAGATTCAGAGAACCACCTTTGGGTGACGAACTCCTCCGGTGATGTTACGGTGCATGATACAAGAGGATGCCACATCAAGACAGTCAAGACGAACGGAGAGCCGTGGGGCATCGCGTACGACGTCAAAAACGACCGTGTGATGATCACAGACGTCAGACAACACTGTGTCATCATCCTCCGCACAGACGGATCGCCGCTGGCCACGCTAGGCACTATGGGTAGGGATGACTACCAGTTCGACACGCCGTCTTACGTAGCCGTCAATCTTCTCGGTGACGTCATCGTGTCTGATTGTCGGAACCACTGCGTCAAGGTCTTTGACGAAAGTGGGCGTTTTATGTTTAGGTGAGCATGGATAGACTGTTTTGTCACGAAATTTGCATTGTTATTGCCAGTAGGTAGAAGACTTTGCCCAAGTTATGTTCTTCTTCAATTGGTTCCAATTGATTGCTTGATTATCAGTAAGAGGTATACAATCTACACAAGGCGTTCACAGTTATTTAATATATTGCATGAAATTGATTCCACTTGTTATGCTTTCAATGATTTTACATTTCTTGTAAAATCACAGTACAACTTGCATCAGTAAAACGTCATCGATTCATTTCTCCAGATTTGGCGGCAAGGGTTCCGAGGATGGCCGCCTGAGCTACCCCCGTGGAGTCTGCGCAGACGAGTCAGGCAACATCATCGTGGCCGACTACGGAAACGACCGAGTGGAGCTGTTCGACAGTAACGGCAAGTTCCTCAAGCACGTCGCGAGTATTGAGTGGCCGGCGGCCGTGGCTCTAGGAGTTCAGGGTCAACTCCTGGTGACCAACGACTGTAAGCATAAAATGACCATCTTCAGTCATTACCAGCGGGTTTCCACAAGCGACAGTCTCAGTCTCTGTTGTAGCATTCGGTCACTGTATGATGGCAGACTCCCGAATGTCTGATATACTGTCAGAACAGCCTCGTTATCTTAATATATATTAACAGGTAAACGACAAAGCCGACAAGAAATTAAAGAATGGCGCATTGTGAACGTATCTCAGTATCATCAGAGGAATATATATTCATCTATAACTCCAACCACGTCAACATCAACTTTCTATTAACATCATCAACATCAACTATACCCATCCAATCCCATGGGTATAGTTTGATTCCTGGTTCTATGTGTAACATTTCTTGGTTTTCCACCCTACTTTTGTGAAAACATGTTATAAATGTTATGTTACTGATACAGTAGTAAAAAAATCTGAAAGTATGCACTCTTCAGATATCCAATAATCTACATCTATGTAGCTTGACCTATATATAGTAAAAAATAATGTTGTGACTAAATGTTACATGTGGTACTAGTAATCAGCATGCGTATAAGCGATTCCACTCGAATATATATCGAATGATAATCCAGGCTAACATTTTTTTAATGTGATATTGTTTAATAAGGTTATTGATTGATGTTAAATGTGCAGTTACCTTAATGACGTTTGTTGTATTATTAGTATTGTTATTAGATGGCGAATGTAAATAGTTGTTATAATTTTTGTATGTTACAATGTATGAAAGAGGACTCCTGGAAGAGTAGTGGTGTATTGTCACTTATTGGAGATTCCTGAAATAAATAAACAAACGAATTACCATTCCGTTTATTTACTAGGTTACCTGTGTATGAGGAGTTAAGGTATGTGTATGTTGAAAACATCAATGTATTCATAATGGTCAATTGTCAAGAAAAAAGCCATTTCATGCGATGAAAGGCGTAATATATACATGTATTTGGTGGTTGTTAGTGTTCAGAGAGGCGTAGTTTCACCGTTAGTCGTCCCGTAAGGATCAACCTTGCCCTCGGCCATATCTCCAGCCGCAAATACCTGATTGTCTTTTCCATTCTTCTCGATGTCTGATAGATAGACTTTCTTCTTCTTTTTCCTGTAAAACAAAGTGTTAAAGTTGTTATCAAAATTTGTCTTGAAATAAAATTTGAATACATCTATATTTTCTTGTCATCTGTCGTCTGTTATGCCACGGACACACTTTGAAGTGTTAAGTGAAAAAAGAATGTTATACTTGTTATGTTATGTTGCACAACACGATACAATGCCCCCCTCCCACTATTCTAATCTAATCCTTACTTTCCAAAGTTCTCCCCCTCTTCAAGTGTCTCAGGTAGTTCAGCCCCCAGTGTTTCAGGCAGGATGACCACGCTCACGCCCCCGATAATAGACAGTCCACCGAAGATGAGGAAAGGCAGGGGCAGCCAGAGTTTGTTGGTGAGAACAACGAACGGCGAGATGACGCCTCCGAGTCGAGCAAACATGGACCCGGCCCCCACTCCAACATTCCTGAAGGAAATAGGATATTTACATGATACATGATTGTCTTCCAGTACTTAGAGTTAGAATTTAGCATTTCTGTGTATCACACCCTGTTGACCACATATGGTCACATATGCATTAAGCTCATCTGGGAAGGGAAATGCAATCAAGATTATTCAGATGTTTTGAAGAATTTAGTTTATATTCAAGTGTACCTGAAGTGGTTACTGAGATCAATCCACCCAAATTATCTCAGATTAGTAAGTCTAGCTAGGGAAATTTGAGTCATTCCTAAAACTGATCATTTACGTGTTACATATATACACAAAGCACTGGCAGATTTAACAACTGCTTTCATTCTATTGAAATTGAAAGCATAAAACCGCTAGATGTCGCTACTCACCTGATAGCTGTCGGGTTGAGTTCTGCAGACAGCAGGAAGACGATGTTAAACCCCGCGCTGATCGCTGCCTTCCCTATCATCGCCAGGGTGACAGACAGGGGAGCCAGGTCTGTATGGAAATCAGTCATTCCTGTTATCTCTAGTACACGAAGTACTGATTATATGGTTGAAAGATTGTTATCAACTGAAGGTTGTCACCGAGTAGAAAAAGGAAAAAGTTCTACAAGAGTATGTTAAATCAAAGTTATTCTACAAAACAAGTTTCTTGTTAATAGCAAGGTTAGATTAGTTGCAGAGTAATCGGACTAGTTGCCCATGAACTGTACTTACGGTCAGCGACGTAAGGGGGCGCCAGATACGGTGCCACAATGCAGGCTACCCCAGACAGAATCATGAAACCCGTGTGGCATTTAATTCTGAAAAGGAATAAATTTTTCTAGGTCATTTTTTATGAAGATCATACAGGATTTAGAATATGCATAAGCATCAGAATAGTTTTTTTATTACGAAGGGAAGCAAAAAGTACTCTTACAGGTTTTAGCATTGGCCAATCTCCATAAAACACTGTAAGGCATGATGGGAAGAGATATATCAACGCATGCGCACCTCCCTATGATATCCAGTAGCCACCATGACAGGTAGTAGGCGGGGATCTCCACAGCTCCACTGATGAAGAAGTTCAGGTAGATGTTACCGGCAAGGGAGCCGGTGTTCAGGGACAGGCCGTAGTACACCATGGAAACTACCATCCTGCAAACAGTGCATCATTGAGTTCATATGTGCTGGACCAGGAGTCATGCTTTCTAAGCAAACCCTTATAAAGTTGCATTCTTAACACATTGTATGCAATATATTTACTATGTAATTATCTAAGAAGCAGTTTCTAAAGATTTCACAAGACTTCCGTGTATTCAGCTTAAATTGCACGAATATTAATTACCATAAACAGTTCTTGTACATATGTTTAAAAGGAGCCAGCTGCAGCAACACTTACCAGTTGTAGCAGCAGATGATGTTCATGAGTCGCAGATGAGGGGTGCGGATTAGGTCAATGGCAGTGTATTGCTTGACGTCCTGTTGGGGAAAAAGTTACATTTCCTTAGCCTGGATGTCAGCTTTTCAGTGCTGCTATTTTTTTCCGTGGGATTAGGAGGGTAGGAACCTCTGATTTCCTTTCCTTGTAATCTTTAAAATAATTGTTTTACATGCGTTTTCTTCTAAAGGATATCAGGGAAATATGAATTCATTCTTCGTGTACAAATGGCATTTGTTTTAATTTAAGATCAACATATATTGAAGATTATATATATGAGTATATATGTGTACCTTCTTGTGTGCTTTCTCCTCCAGGACTTCATCAGGTATGGTGACCTTGTTGACCTTTGCCGCCTTGAGTAGAATCTGTTTGGCCTCCTCATCACGCCCACGTGACAGCAGCCATCTTGGAGACTCAATCACAAAACTATTGAAATTTACAAATGAAGTAATGATAATTTGATCTCAAAGCAAGCAAAGTATAGAATATTAGATTTATCAAGTTTAATTTATCAACACCTCCTAAACCCGACAATTTGTCCTAAAACCTCACTGGCAATATGATGCAACAGTCTGTCAAAGCTTTCGTTAAAAAATTAGTAAGGTAGATGCTTGCTAGCTTCTGAGGCAAATAGATTTTTTTTTTCCTTATTCTGTTTCCAAACCCATTTCAGTATCTACTGAAATAGTTCTAAATTTAGGTATCACATACTATCTATATTAGCATAAAATGGGAAACCTAAGTGTAGCATAATAATGTTTAAAAACTCTTGAACATTGTAAAAGTAATCATGACAACGTACGGCCATGCGAAGAGCAGTATGATGTTAGGGAGAGCCATGGCGAGTTGCAGCTGTCGCCAGTCCCGGATGCCCCACGCCATCAGAGCGTACAGCATGTAGCCGATGGCGAAGGAGATATGTGGCAGTGTTCCCGTCCACGTTCTGTCTTCCCGTCCGGTCAGTTCCGTACCTAACAAGAAATCGGAGATCAGACTTCCAGGAAGTGTTTGGAGGTTTCGTATATGTATTGCAAAAAATGGATTTATCACTCAAAAGCATACGGTTCTATAACGTATCTTAGTATAACATAATGGTCTATGTTTCATACCCTGATCATATAGTACATATTACTGGAGACCTCATACCACATTCTAACACGAGGGTGTACCGGGTCACAACCCTGTCCATCAAATAAACCCCAATCTCCACCCACTCACTTCCAATCCTTGTTGTTGCGCGGACAAAAACGTATGCATGTAAAAACCAGCGCCGCCCAAAACAATACTTCCAGTAGGGAAGTAAAAATACATTGCGATATCTTGGTTCTGTTGTTAAGATGATGTCGCTAGTCAGTTTTAATGAATTGGACTAAGCATTACTTTTTGCAGTACTCACCTATGACGAAAGCCGACAGAAAGACCCCTGACACTGAAGCACCGACAATAAATCGCATGATGACGAAAGTGATGTATTCTGGAGAGAAGGCTACCACGACCCCAAACACCAACATCAGCAACAGACTGATGAATAGTGTCTTCTTTCTTCCGATTCTACAATGGAAACATTACATATCACAATGAATGTATAATATATTGGAACAGTTAGTGACAATATGTTTCAAACTTATTTTATAAAACATAAAGACATAGCGGGAAGTTTAGCTTCGTAGTAATCAAAGAGCACATTTTTTCATGCAGTCGATAGGGTTAAATTAAAGATTTCTTAAAGGACTACTCGATAGGCTTTCCTTATATGTAGTGTTATACGGCATAGATATTTTGAATCCATGACCTTCTTCCCATGCATTTAAGCATTCATTATCAAGACTCATAACTTACAGGTCAGAAAGTTGTCCAAACCCGATGGCTCCAACCAGGACCCCTGCCATGTAAATGGACTGTGACAGGCTGTTCAGGGTACTTTTCTCGCACACAAGATTGAACTGTAGACAAAACATTAAAAAATAGATCTGTTTGCATATTGTGTGGTCAGTTTTTCATTATAATGACAAGAATGATGACATGTCTAATTCTAAAAGTATCAACTTGATGATGACACGTGATAAATAACAGAGATGTTTTGGTGACTTGCCTCCATGAATATGCTACTTTTATACTGGCTAGTGTCATACCAGTATCCCCCATCACATCCTTTTGTCGGTCTTGTGTCATTTCTGGTGATGTTGAGGGCGTTATAGGGGCAGCTCAAGTTGCCCAACTCATAAGCTGTCACAGTGTACCTGTAAAAGAAATGGTACATTTAGTTTTCTTGCTTTATTTTTGAAACACGATGCGTTAAGACTACCTTAAACTAAGTTTTGACCATACAATGCTTCCCTTGGATTTTTTTCAAATCCAAAGACCGTTTGATGGACTGCCATAATTTTTTATTATTCTCTTATCATTTTTGTTTGACAATATATATGTACATAGGTGTGACAATACGTTTGGGGCTGCATTTTCGAACACTACAACAGTGACACCTAGCTGTAATAATATTGCCCTGAGGAAGGTTAAGGTCACCAAAACTTCGGCTTGTAAACAAACCCCTTTGGTTGTGAATATAGAACTTCGAAGACTTCATTCGGGGTACATATAACGACGGTTGTAAACTATATAGAACAGTACGTTACTTATGATTCAATCAAAACAAGGTCCCTTTGTTGTTAACGTAGGTCAACAAATTGACCTTTAATCGTGCTGATCTAAAAGACCTTCAATAGTTATTGACTCTGTGCAGAGAGTGTGTTGCCTCCTTAGTTACAAGGACAGGGCGCTGAATAGACGCTTCAATGATTAACTCATGTTGCATAACAGACATCACAAAGGCACCACCAGAAGGGCTAACAACACCTTGTGAATGTGTTGTGTGTCTTTTACATGTTTTCTTCGTTGTAGACTAAGACTGTGGCCTTAGAAACCAGAGAATGGTCTAAGAATGAACTGTTTATACAAAACTTTTAATATTTTCTATCTTCTACTGACGAAGTAAATAGTCATGACACAGAAAGACACTAAGTAACGTACCCCTTATCTAATCAAGTGGTGGACTGATGTTGTTGACTCAGTGAGGCTGTACCGGTCAGATCACATTCATCGTAGGTCATCGTGTTGCCGTAGAATTTTCAAGCAACCGTCGACAAAGTTCTATCAAAGACAGCCTTTCCGTAGCAAAGCAGCTAAATCACACAAGACACGGACGCCACTGTTCCAAGAATCTCCAAACTTTGCAACCGTACGACGTATTTGTGACCAGACCCTAAGTCCTCTTGCGACTTGGTTCAACCTAAGACATTGTCAAAGTTAACATCTAAAAGTGCGTAAAACTATGAAAATTTCAAAATATCCTTGTCAAGGTTAAACAGCTTATCATCCAGCTGACTTCATCATCATTGGAAGCTTCTGAGCTGATAGGATTTTTCTACGCAGCAAATAAATGATGACAACACGTAACCTTGACTCCACCCACTTCACGACCAAGCCATATATGTAGCTAAGCATGCCTAATAATAACGTACAAAGGAGTCTATGGCGTCCGTCTTTTTCACAAGATGATTGTAACCTAGGTAAATCCTATAACACGGTGTCTGAGGATTATTCTTATTGCTTGGCTTCATTGATATTGGCATAAGCGTACGAGATATACATGTACATGGAAATGACATACGAATTGCATTGTATTCAATATGGCGCCTGTAATCACATGACTCTGGCACTACGCATGTCCAGAACGTGGCTACATAATACGTTTTTGTATGGACTGAATACATGTGTATAGTATAAGTTAATTGTATCAGGCTGTATTTCTGTTTCGTAAAAAAATAACACTAAAAGGAATATCTTTCTTTTGAAAGCGGCAGTAAAATTTCTGAATATTATCTTCTTATCATCCCTACCTTGAACATTGGGTGTATCTCCACGTGCCACCTTCCGTAGACCGTTCCCAGGGTATGGAGTAGTTCCACACGCACTCGGTCTCGTTCGGCAGACGTTCGGCCGCTCGTGACTCGGGCACGGCGCAGTGGTAGTCCACCTCGGCGTCAAGAAACGAGCTGCCCAACTGATGGAATGGGCAAGTCAAGCATAGCGCCAAAACAACGTAATACGTGATCTTCTGATATTTACCGTACGAACCGATGTATTTCAGCGAAGCGTCGAAATTCACCATCTTAGCGGGCTCGGACGCGGTTTAGTGATGATTATGTTTCGCTGAGAGCCCTGCTTCCTTTGTCTGCTGCGTTATCTCCAGAAAGATTTACTTTGCGATACTGGACGGGGGCCGGTACCGGTGACTGCTGTTTTCAAACATTAACGAACTCGGCATACAGTCTGCCAAGCTATGGTAGAAAGTCCAACTTTCTACCACGACCTACAAAAGGGGACACAGGTCGTATTTGACAGCACGTTCAAGCTGACCTAAGTTGACCTAACTCAAATCTACCATAGACGTCATTAGAACACTTTGCAAGATTTGGAAATAAGAGATCGCTCATACTGTTGACCAAACACCCTTAATTAACACAAATATTTAAGAATCATTCTTCAGATCTCTTTCTACTACCAGAAATCTTAAATCACATGAGACACCCATGTGTTTTTTTTGCTTGAGCTTTTGTTTATTCATGATTAAGTTTGAAGTTTAGACTGTAGATTCATCACATATTACAGACCAAAAAAGTTGATAATTTTGTTTTCAAATTCCTGTTGGGGTCAAACGCTGAGAATACTGAACTAGAGAAAGCTGGTCACACTGAGGTAATATGTTGAGTCTCTAATGGACCACGGAACTCGGGAAGTCCTCCTTTCGTCACACTTCCGGTTTCTGATGCATCATGGGAGAATGATGGGTTTACCCTGCCTTCGTCTGTGGGGACTTCGGTGCTTTCCTTCACACGCTGCTGTGTTTTACCGCTGAAAAAAATGTACACTTGACAATGCTACAAAAGACTTTAACATGAGACACTCTCATTAGTGACTCTTAAAAGAGACTGATGCTACGTACGCACCATGATAATAAAAATCACACTCCATGTCCATGGTTCGCAGTTGAAGTTAGAACATAGAGGTACAAGATACTAGTTACTTGCTGTAATGAACTAAAGGCTGTTGCCCATTTGAAATCCTAAAATCTAACCAGCCGAAAAACCTGGTTCATAAAATCACCAGGTTAGCTGAATCATTGAAAACACTTAGATAGATAATACTTTGAATTTTATTTGATCACTGCCATAATTGATACAATTATTGCTCTGCAGAGGGATCAATGGGCACACAGAGTTAAATATCATTTAAAATTATGCATTAAAAATCCATCCATTTAGGCATATCTATTTCAAGGATGACATGGCCGAACGTACCGACTGGTGATTAAACTGGTCCATTTCCAAGCTATCTTCTGATACAAGTACTGTGTACCCATCATACCTGTGTTAGAAAAGCTCAAGTTAGCACTTTTTAATTAAATGTCAGTGGATAGACAGCAAGCTGTGTGATATAACGCTACATGAGCTTGTCCTGATAAAAGCTACTATAGCTGATTCATTGATGATGTGACATGCATGCATGTATGCAGAAAAGGAGAGTCTGGACAACAAGATGTCTCAGTACTCACTTTCCGAAGTTTTCCCCATCCTCCAGGGTGACCGGAAGCTCTGCACCGAGCGTCTCCGGTAGAAGCAGCGCTGCCAGGGCGGCCAGAAAGGACAGCGCTCCGAAGATGATATAGGGCAGAGGACCCCACACGCTCTTGGACAGCTCCACATACGGGGAGATGATCCCACCTACACGGGCAAACATGGACGAGGCTCCCACGCCAACATTCCTGTGACAAAAATTACAGAAACAACTCGTCAAACTCAATGGTAGTGTGAAAAGTTTGTAAATGTTCGGCGCTGCATGTCAGCATGTGTGATTGCTAAAAATCTGTGAAAATGTTGTAAAAGCTTCCAAATAAGAAAAAACAAACAAATAGTTGATTAGCGTTTGTGATTATGAACGAGAATATATCTGTACATTGTTCTTTAAAATAATCATCTTTATGAAAAAAATGACTTAATTATAGACATCCGTATATTGATATTTTCATCAATAAGGACGAACGTACCTGACCATGGTTGGATACAGCTCCGCCGTAAACAGGTAGATGATGTTAAAACCAGCGGTCAGTCCGAATTTACCAATCATGGCCAGAGTGATGGACAGTGCGTTTAGACCTGAAAAATATGTAGGTGACACACGTTTTGGCCATAACATGTATGTAATATTTTCTTGCTTGCTGCACCTGAACTCCCGGTGTACATCTTTATTTCATATCACGTCAGGCATATATTTTGAATCAGTCCAAGTACAAAACGAAGCTGTACTTACCTTCCGGTAGATACGGCGCCGTGAGGAATGGACATATTATACAGCCCACAGCTCCGATGATCATGTAAGCGGCATGAGTCTTTGGTCTGCAAGAAACAACCAATTGAGCTGGTCATAATCATTGATTGATGATGACTGGTTTATTGATTGAAAACATTTTGCAGCTCGGATGCTGAATTGCATGTTTCCTTACATCAGTGTCCACCTTAACAACTTTAAAATACAACTTTAAAATATCCTTCAAGCTCAGAATTTATACATAAAATTGAATTGCGATCTCCACGTATTTACATGATCTCTACATGTATACATGATAACAGAAAATACATTACTTGTTAACGTTGACTCATTTAGGAGTTTTACTATGTAGGGCAAAGGGCTCTTGGACTAGCGCTACGTGCGTGATAGAATGGGGTCGAATTTGTTGTTTTGCCTTGTAACCTCCCCGTTACTTCGCCTCAGGATTGACCAATTAGATGTTAGAGAAATTATTTGCTTGTGTATATTTTTATGGCTGAAATATCCTTACCTTCCAAACCAGTCAGCAATGTAGACAGACGAGATGTACGCTGGTATTTCCACCACACCACTGATGAAGAAGTTAAGGTAGTCGTCTCCTCCAAGGTTGGAGGTGTTGAGGGACAGACCGTAGTACACTAATGAAATCACCAACCTGAAAATGACAAGATGACAAGATCTATTACGTTTAATAGGGTACTAAGGTTTCCAAATAATCCACAACTACTTCATTTCTAAAACAAATGACCACGAAGTGATCTGGCCACGTTCATTTTGACTCACCAGTTAAAGAAAATTAGCAGAGACTTTTTCGCCATGTTGGGTGTCCGCACAAGGTCTATCACAGTATATATCCTCTCGTCTTTTGGCTAGAAGGAAGAATAGGAAAAAGCTCTAAGAACATAAGGACTCATGAAGACAATAATGCTCATTATCGTTACACATCGCCTAATATTGTAATGTCTTTTGAGGATTGTAAATACTACATGAATCTGTTATATCTTCACCTTTTCATTATCGACTTTCTTTGTTGTGAAAACCTCATCAGGCAGTGTGACCCCATTGACCTTGGCTGCCCTCCGCATAATGGCGGCCACTTCCTCGTCACGACCTTTGGACAGCAGCCATCTTGGAGACTCAATGATCAAGCTGTAATAAACAGAGCGTGACAATTTATGACTGGTTGAAACAGTTATATGATTTAAGTTTGCTGCCGCATTACTATGACATGAATCGGTGTCGGCAGTGTCTGGGATTTAAAACTAATTTCTTAGAACCTTCTACTCACGGATAGGCGAAGAGGAAGACTGCATTTGGAACACTGATGACAAGTTGTAAAGTCCTCCAGTCCCTGATGAAGTACGCTATGAGTGCCAGCAGCATGTAGCCAATGGCGAAGAAGATCTCGCCGACAGTTCCAGCCCATGTTCTCATGCTGGGAGCCACCAGTTCTGTTCCTGGACATTTCAATACAAATATTGTCACTGTCATCTATTTATCATCTTGAGCATGGGATGAAGTTCTAAAATACAGACAGGTCATACTAATATTAAGTAAATTGTGACTCGCCAATTAAGTAAATTAATATATTTCCAGGTTTTATGAAATCTATCAAATATAAATATTTCACCTATAACAAAACATGGTAGGAAGACAGCAGAAGCGGAGGCGCCGACAAAAGCTCGGAAGACGACGAACAGCGTATAGTTGGGAGAGAACGCAACAGCTACTCCGAAAATGAGCTGCATCAAGATGCCCAGGAAGAAGGTTTTCTTCCTCCCTACTCTGAATAAGATACGGGGAATGAAATAACAATAATAGTCGTACATTTGATAACAATAACGGTTTTGTTGAAATCGTTTTTGGATTACTTTTCATTTGGTAATTTTGTTCGTTTCCCGCAATACATATCGAAACAAAATTTCGTTGTGGTCAAAATCATTCATTTCGTAATTGAAATAATTTTGTGTGGTTATGGACCCATGTCAAGTAAACGCTCTCAGTCATGAATTGGTTTTCTTCTATGCCAGTACGTGATCTAGACTGTACAGCAATCAAGCTTCCAATACAATATGCCCTGCTACATGTTTCCTGTGGTAAAATTTGACATTTAAATCAGTATACATAGAATTTTAGATTATAGATCTTACATATCTGAGAGTTGTCCTGAGCCAACAGCTCCGATCAGCACCCCCACCATAAACATGGACTGGGCGAACTGGTTCAACTCACTGCTGCCACACACCAGGTCAAACTAAACAATAAGAATTAAAAAAAAAAGATAAAAAAAAGTATAAGGGATGTAAACAGCAATTATAAGCTAGTTGGTAAATGTTAATATTTACATGTAACTACACTGGTTTATACAATTACTATTACAATGTATGTAACAAATCATTATCTTTTGTTTGTTGTACATGTAAGCTATTATTTTAATAATTTTATTGTACATTATATTTTATTTTACATATTTTATTTTATTACCTATCTAATGTGTGCAGCTGTAATTATTATCTCTTCATACCTCAGTGAAAATGCTGCTGTGATACTGGCTCGTGTCGTACCAGTAACCATGGTTACATGATGACGTGTTCGTGCCATTAAAGTAGCCGAGAGCTGTTTCGTTGATGACATCAAAAGGACATTTGGCTGTCGCCAGGCTGGAGTTTACAACGCTGTACCTACAGAACAAATGTACTGATACCGTCATGAACACAATTTGGCAGGGTGAATATATGCTCTAAATATGCGACGGTTGTCATTCTATTATTCTAAGCCATTATTCTAAAAAGAAGCCAAAGCGAGCGAGCACATGGGCATGGTCTATTCACTAACACATTTGATATTCCAATTACAGAGTCGTAACAATTGGGTCTCTGTCCAGTAAAATAGGGTCATGTTGAGGACAAGGGGTAGCAAGGTGCGAGGTTCGGGTAGGTTTATTGATTTTGTAAACAAAGAAGAAGCACACATACACTTGCGTGCATGCATGGTAGGAATTTGTTCACATAAACCACAATGAAAATGAAAACTGAGTATATTTTAGCTAGCATTCAGCAGTCTGGGTTGCTCTACATAGTTTATCCTATATGAAGAAGTTCTGCAAAGCCGCAGGTCACAATGTATGAATATGAAGATACAAAATGTTTTAATTCTTATAAAATAATTGTCTCTTCGTTGTGATAGATTTTAGCGTCAAAGCCTAATGCAATTGTATTTGTACAGGTGTTACTTATTGCTGCTTTATGCCATTTGCCTTGTATATGTACACGCATCTGACAATACGACTAAAAATTAATACTATGGTCAACAAACTGATCATACATACCTCTCGCAGCCAGATAGTCTCCATTCTTTGGTCTCTTTGTCTTGTTCCCATGGTATGGAATAGTTCAGCGCACAGCTGTAGTTCTCTGTCCCAGGCTCGGCGTGACGTATCTCAGGGACGTTACAATGGAACGCCACCTTGGCGTCCAAAAACGTCATAGCAAGCATGTGCATAGATACCGGCAACGTCAGGACGCATGTTAGGCAGTAGATGAGTTTTTGGTACTTCCCAAAAGCCCCGAGATACACAAGAGCGCCGTCAAAGTCGACCATTTTGTAACAACATGTGGGAAAGTCGTCGTAGAGGGGTTGTGTAAAATATCTGGCACGCCTTCTTTTGAACTTTGTCCTGATTACGCAATACCCAATGGACCTTACTTTGTAAGCTTTAATAAATATAACTAGTAGATACTACGTGTATTGTTACAATGGCCTTGATGTACTTGAACTTGTACTCAAAGTATCTTAAGAAAGCGCGTTTGTAAAAGCCCCATTGTATTAGGAAGTGTTGTTACGTGCCGTTATATGTAAATGAGAAGTATAATGACCCATTCTTCAAATACGTGGCCCAATCAAGGAAGAGTCTGAACTGACGAGTTATTTCTGCTGCTATGAAACAGCATAAATTATATGATTTATTGTACGAAAATACTGTTTATCATTCTCCACATTATGACTGGCAATTACGTAATAACAATGCTTTGCAATGCCCCCGGTGTTACGTTGACGTATCATTGCTTTTAGCTTTTAAAGACCATGTTTTCAAGGAGGCGAGGAAAGTTTTAGAGGCGAGGAACGTTGAAGCACCAAACGCAGACCGGGAACGTTTTGCAGGATGATTGGCATCAAAGCAACGAGAAACTGACCACTACAAAAAGGGGGAAAAGTTGGAAGTTCCATGGCCTTCTACGAGTAACTTTGTATACAATGACTAATGAGTCAATGTAAATGTAATAATAAACATTTTCATTCATAAAAGTTATTAGATTGAATGTGTTGTAGAAATAAAAATCTTACTATGAGTTACCAGGAGTAATTTTCCATAGAGTTTATGGACAAAAGATAAATGTTCATAAAAGTTTCCAGGTCAAACCGCAAGCCTTCCTTAACTATTAATAATGCTCCATGGACTGTTTATAGGTCAGTTTATGAAGAAAAAGATTAATGTTGTCTCTGAACGACGAACTCCTGTTTACAGTGAAGTCTCCATGTTCTCTAACGACCCTTGGTTTGAAACAGAGCCATTTTCTGCACTTTCAGGTGTATCATAGGAGTATGGTTGCTTTACGTCGCTGCCGTTTGCTTCGTGGCTCCTAGGACGTTTTTGCTTTCTCCTGCCGAAACAAGGAGTACAGTGTTATCAAGACATAATGAAACACATACTAAAATAAAAAAAAAGATACAGCCTTTTGTCCAGATGTTGCCGCCCCCTTTACTACAAAGAAAAACCGTTTTGACTCAATTATCCTGGGTCTACTTCAATTTTAAAGGTACTCACTTTCCAAACTTTTCCCCATCCTCCAGGGTGACCGGAAGCTCTGCTCCGAGCGTCTCCGGTAGAAGCAGCGCTGCCAGGGCGGCCAGAAAGGACAGCGCTCCGAAGATGATATAGGGCAGAGGACCCCACACCCTCTTGGACAATTCCATATACGGTGAGATGATCCCACCTACACGAGAAAACATGGCCGAGACTCCCACACCCATATTCCTGTGGAACAAAACATGTCAAAAAACAGCTAAAAAGAAAACTATGGCGTAAAAACTGGTTCGTCTTGTCCTGTATGTCTCTATCAAGTATAGCTAAAAATGCGGCGAAAATGAGTATGATTGGCGTTGAGATCGGTTCTTGCAATTAGGTATGACAAATATTTTATTGCAGCCTGTACCTGACCGTAGTTGGGTACAGCTCCGCCGTCCATATGCAGATGGTGTTGAAGCAAGCAGTGACGCCGAACTTACCAATCATGGCCAGGGTAATGGACAATGCGTTCAGATCTGAAACAAAGTGGAGACAGTGTGTATAAACGCTTTGGACATGTCAGGCAGTATCTTCTGCACTTCTGGCATATCGATGAATATGTAATTTTTGCATTATAATTTCTTTGTGAGTGCCATGTCTTTCAAATCTGTCCAGGCACTCAACGAAGTTGTACTTACGTTCCGGTAGGTAGGGTACCGTGAGGAATGGACATATTATACAGCCCACAGCTCCGATGATCATGTAACCGGCATGGGTCTTTGGTCTGCAACAATAGTGTGATAATGAATTAATATTCCAGAAGGTTTGAATTTGG